TCTCCACAAGTGTGAATTCGCAGAGCACCACTCGAAGAAAGATGGTCACAGGTATGTAACCTACCAATTTTCAGGTTGAAAATAAAGATCTGGAGGGAACAATTTTAAATAGCATCCTCATAGACCTCTGGAATGTAATTGGTATTTGTTTTTCAATGCTTTGAGTCCATTGTCTTGCTCAGGGTGTCTTTCTTCTTTTGTGTTTGAGACCACAGACACCTTTTTATTGCTGCTATTTTTTAAAAAATGTGATCTCTCATTCAGTGCTCTTATCTGAGTGAAGTGCACTGAGGACCAGACCACATTTTTGGGAACCACAGGGGGACCTGGAGGAGTTTTAACTTGTATTGTAAGCTGTCCTGGGTTCTGTAGTGGGATAAAGATGTAATATATTTCATTAATTGCATATGAAAGTATGATATAAATAAACATTGTGTTAAATAAACATCATGTTACAAGTTTGGCTAAAACAATCAGTTTTAAAGTGATAAAATAATTAAAAAGCAATGAAATATATGTGCATATGATAAGAAAGAAACACAGAACATTACACAAGCAGTGTGCTGTTATAGGATGCCCATCAATGAAAATCATGTGTTGCTCTGAAGATTGGAATTATAATTTATGGAATAAACAGATATAGCTGAGCATTCCTTGCTTGAGAAAACTCCATGGAATTCATGGGATTGCCATAAATTGATAACAAATTAGAAGCCATACACACACACAGGTAAAATAAGTGCAAAGAAAAGATATGAAAAGATGACTTCCTTACCACTGGTTATCAGCTGCCCGTTTATATTACAGAAACATGGGGAGAGTCTGATTTCTTGTTTTGCTGGTGAGATAGTGGAAGACATAGCAAATTTTCCTAAAACAATTCCAATGTGAAATTCTTATTGTACACTTGAAACCATTCCAAAACAAAAGATGAGCGTTAGCTGTTTTTGGCAAACTGCACACACATTTATCAACACATTTCATTCTACAACTTATGCAAGAGCTAGAATTTTACTAAACCTAACCTGACACTTTTAAAGGGGAAGTTAGTTTAATATTGTTTGCATTGTGGAGATATGGATGGTTTTTTTTTCCCAGTTCTACTAGCCATGCTGACTGGGGAACTGTTAAAGCCATGGTGAAAGTTTTCCCAAGATATAGTTTTACTTATAAGAAAGTAATGGTTAATACATCATTTTACTGACAGTAATTTGTAAATTAGACTGTTGAAAGTTTAAATCCACACAGATGGACAATAGTGCCTAATAGCTATTGCTTAACCGGAGTAGACTAAAGAAATGGCTTTATGTAAATGTTGGTTTAACATCCATTAGTCATTCAAATTATCCTCTCCAATTTGGATGAGCAATAGGATTTGGGCCTTTACTTATCTTTATTACTTTCACTCTCTTCCTTCAGAGAGTGTGTGACTTTCACATGGTCACTTATTGGATTTCCATGACTAAGCAAGGACTTGAACTCTTGTTTCCTAGAGTCCTGGTCAAACACTCAAGCCATGACACTATGCTTGCTATTTATGGGACTTTATGGACTCCATTTATAAGTGGACGTTCAGAAAGGCATGTTATGAGTTGAAGCTGAAGGAAACGTTTTTTATACAAGCAGAAAAATACTTGTTTAAGAACTCTTTAGCGAACATCACAATAGCAACTTATTTATGGATATTTAGTTGAAGCAATGACTACTGTTAAGTCAAAATTTATAGATTTAGCTTATCATGGACTGAAGAAAATCAAGAGTGAATATTTCATTAATACAACTAATATAGATCTACTACTTGGACATCTTACCATTTGATTTGTTCAAGCAGAGTATTTCTTTTGGATCACTGTGGGGAAATTAAATATATATTGTTAATACTAAAATTAAAAATGTATTTGCACACAAACTCACACATTCCATGTATGCCAGATTAGCATTTCATGATCACAGGCTACTGAGAAAAGAATGAATTCTTTCACCAATAACAACCTACCATGAGATGCACTCAAGCATTGAAACACATTCTCTTTTTTCCTCATCATAATATGGTTTTTCAGCACTGCATTCTGGGTAACAACCTACAATAGGAGCAAACTGGCAAATAAACTTGGTTTTTAATAGTCATTGACTAACACTAGAATAAGATTGGAGTTATCAGAAACTAGACTGATGTTGATGGTTATTATGTTTATAACAAATGTCTCACAACATGCTGCTTTGTTACAATTCACATCATAAGCTTCACATCTAAGTTATTCAAGACAAATGATCTTCCCCATGTAAATGAGGTCTCAAACAGCTGAGATTTTCTAAATGTCAGCAGAACCATGCTATTTGTCTCATTTCATTCTGCTATGTAAGAATCACCAAAATCTTACCTTCCAAACTGTAGAGTAGATAGTCACATTTCCCTGCAGGATTCTTGCAAGTCTTTAAACAAGGTTCTCCACAGGGTTTATAGTGCCACTCTTTTTTGTTTGGTGGATTGTAGTAATCACAAAACATGGCTATATGAGAATACATGTTAATCATAAATTTGCAATGGCGCTCTCTCCTCAACCTCATCCCATTTTCAGCTGCCCACTGGGTATAAGCTTATGCATACAAGATGAACTCTGAATCTATATTTTGTCTATTTAGTCCATAAGACAATCAAATGTTTAGTCATTGGCTAAATAAATAAAGTTAGCCACTAATTTGCTCTAATCCCATGTACGACAACTCACAATTGAATAATATGTTCAGTATTACAACGGGATGTATTCTGAGGATAAAAACAAATCCTGATTCGGTTTCCCAAGGGGTATTTTATGAATTAGTCACTTTTTAAACTGATTTAATATTATCAGTGAATTTTTACCCTCAATTCTATAACACAGCCCATTAAAGAGAAAATTCTTCTTGATTTTTAGGTATGACCTTGGGATTATTTAGGGCATTGATTCAGAAAATTGCATTGAATAGGCCACATCAATTCTTGTTTCTCACTACTGCACAGATCCCATTATTTATTTACTTATTTCATTTCATGCATTTTTACCCCACCCTTCTCCCCCCAAAAGGGGACTCAGGGCAGCCTCACACATGCATCGTATGATACTATCAGTATATAAACAATCAAAAATTGCATTTAAAGCATTAAAAATAATTAAAAACACATTATACAATTCATTAAACAATTCATTAAACATGCCAATTAAAACCAAATCCAAGTCAGGGTAAATCCAATGTCGCAGATATCCTAAGTTCCTTTCCAATTGCTGCTGTTCACTAATTGAATGCCTGGTCCCAAAGCCAAGCCTTCAATTGTCTTCTAAAGGACAGGAGGGAGGTGGCCAACCTGATGTCCTTAGGGAGAGAGTTCCACAGATGTTCCACTGCCAAGAAGGCCCTGTCTCTCATCCCCACCAACCGCATTTGCAAAAGTGGTGGGATCGAGAGCAGGGCCTCTCCTGATGATCTTAAGCTTTGTGATGATTTGTAACATGAGATACATTCCCTAAAAGATACACATGGGGACTTCTGACGCGGCTCCGTGCCAAAAGAGGAGAGAAAGTGCTGCACACCACTGCAACATGGGAGCCTTCCCATGTTGTCTTACCAGCAATGGGAAGCTGGGCAGCGACTCTTCCCCCCATGGGATGAGAGGTAAGGCAAGTCGTGTGATATGGGGTGTGAATCGATGGCTTCTCCATGCCCTCCCCCCCCCCAACAATGCGTGGCAAATCCATGGGACTTTGTGAGGAGGTCCTTAGATATGGTTATCATGATTTTTATGGGTGAGTGGTATATGACATCTGTAGCTCAAAAGCTAGAGTTGATAGGGGACAACTGATGCCATTTTTTGGAATCCAAATATACCCAGAAACAAGTCTAACATTTAAGGCACCAAAATATGCATTTGCAAGTGTAATAAGATGTGATAGGATCAATCCTGCTGAATTCAGGTTTGTTCTGTGAGTACTTACGACAATTTCTAGGACTCCGCCAATCAATACAGATGCCAGCTCTACCACAACTTTTGGAATAAGCAGCTACAGCAGTACAAAAACATTCACAGTTTGGCACATTGTCACAGCCACAGAAATCTGACACACAGGTTTCATAATAAGGTGTTGGGTCGATCTAATAGAAGGAAAAACAGTGATAAGAAAGACTTCTATCCAGGATCACACTTGGTATTGCTACTCCGCAGCAATAAAGGCAGCCAGAAAGACTTTCTTGACTGCCCGCATTGTTTCTGCATCTAATAGACCTGCCGAGTTGTTTTGGGTGGTTAGGGAGCTCCTTCACCCCCACCAGGGTGGGGAGAACCTTGACCACTTGGCAACTCTATGTGGCGGGTTTGCACATCATTATGCAGATAAAGTCACTCAACTGCGTTCCAAATTAGACGCCGGTTTTGATGCAGTGTCCATGGATGTAACCAAGGTACCTATCTGTCTGGTTTTGATTGATTTATTTCAACCTGTTCAGCCTGATGACGTGGACAGGATTCTTGAAGTGAGAGCAACCACCTGTGCCCTGGACCCTTGCCCTTCCTGGCTAATCAAGCTTGCCAGTGGGGGGTTGGCCGAGTGGATCTCAAAGACTATAAATGTCTCATTGGAACAGGGACATATTCCATCTAGCCTGAAAATGCAATTGTAAGACCGTTACTGAAAAAGGCATCCCTAGATTGCTCGGTCCTAAAAAACTACCGGCCAATTTCTAACCTTCCTTTCTTGAGCAAGGTTCTAGAGTGGGTGGTTGCCTCCCAACTCCAGGGATTCCTGGATGACACCGACTATCTAGATCCACCACAGTCTGGTTTTAGACCTGGCCATGGTACTGAGACAGCTTTGGTCACCTTGGTGGATGACCTCCGAAGAGAGCTTGACAGGGGGAGTGTGTCCCTATTGGTTCTCCTGGATATCTCAACGGCTTTCGATACCATCGACCATGGTATCCTTCTGGGGCAGCTCTCTGGAATGGGTCTTGGGGGCATTGCTCTGCAGTGGCTCCACTCCTTCCTGGAGGGTCGCTCCCAGTTGGTGAAGCTGGGGGATACCTGCTCGGACCCGTGGCCTTTGACCTGTGGGGCCCCGCAAGGTTCCATTCTATCCCCCATGCTTTTCAATATCTACATGAAACCGCTGGATGAGGTTATCTGGAGTTTTGGAGTTGGGTGCCATCTGTACGCAGATGACACCCAACTCTACTACTCATTTCCACCGAATTCCAAGGAAGCCTCCCAGACCCTGAACCAGTGTCTGACGGCTGTGATGGACTGGATGAGGGCTAACAGATTAAAGCTTAATCCAGACAAGACAGAGGTCCTCCTGGTCAGTTGTGGGGCTGACTGGGGTATTGGGTGGCAACCTGTGCTCGACAGGGTTACACTCCCCCTGAAGGACCCCCTGAAGGTCCGTAGCTTGGGGGTCCTCCTGGACTCAACACTGTCACTTGATGCTCAGGTGTCAGCGGTGGCCGGGAGGGCCTTTGCACAACTCAAACTTGTGCGCCAGCTGCGACCATACCTCATGAAGTCTGACTTGGCCAGGGTGGTCCACGCCTTGGTTACATCCAAACTGGACTATTGCAATGCGCTCTACGTGGGGCTACCCTTGAAGACAGCCCGTAAGTTTGATCTGGTACAGCGGACAGCAGCCAGGCTCCTTACTGGAGCAAACTATAGGGAGCATACAACACCCCTATTAAAACAGCTTCATTGGCTGCGCGTAAGTTGCCGAGCCAAATTCAAGGTGCAGGTCATGACCTATAAAGCCCTAAACGGCTCGGGCCCTGCCTATCTCTCAGATCGCATCTCCTTCTATGAACCAGCGCAAGCTCTAAGATCTTCTGGGGAGGCCCTCCTCTCAGTTCCACTACCGTCTCAAGCGTGGTTGGTGGGGACAAGAGAGAAGGCCTTCTCAGTGGTGGCCCCCCATCTCTGGAACGCCCTTTCAAAGGAAATAAGGCAGGCCCCATCCCTCTCCTCCTTTCGTAAGAGCTTGAAGATCTGGTGGTTTCCACAAGCCTTTGAAAATGACCAGTTCTAATTCAGCCCCACACATTGTCTAATACGGCCTTATTCTTCCTACCAGTTATCCAGATTCTTTCCTCTAATCGGCCCTGGAATAGACAGCCACAGACCTAATATTATTGTTGCCTGCCATAGCATTGTACTTAATCACAGGGCCCCCTAGAATTTTTGGGCTTGCACAAATCTTGGCCTGGCCTTTTAAATTTTTAATTGCCTTTAACAGGCAGAATTACTTTTAATATATGTGTGTTATGGCGACAATTTTCATGCTTATATTTTGTTTGTTAATCTCATGGTTATGTTGTTTTTACTCTGTATGTTTTGTGATATTACTTGGTAACCGCTCTGAGTCCCCTCGGGGAGATGGAGCAGTATATAAATAAAGTTTTATTATAGTTTTATTATTATTAAAAATTAGTAAAATTATAAAGTGAATACAAAATTAATGTATGTTTTATATATACATTATACAAATAGCCTATTTCTAATAATATTGTGCAAGATTGTGCGCACTGAACCACCAGAAGGCAACTGTATCACTATTTCAACCGCTCATGTGGACAATTTCAAATTTAGCTTTCAGAATTCCTGATAGGGAATCTATACACAATGATATCCAATCTCACACATATCATTGTTGATAATACTCTTTACTGATCTTTTGGGAAAGAATTTGACCTGTCAACACTGGTTGATCATCATCTTAATAGAAACAAAGCTGACCCACATATCATTTCAAAGTGAACAACCTCCATTCTTGCTCAGTCTTTAAGGTAGTTCCAGTCACCATTGGCTGCACTGGCAAGGACTGATGAGATTTGTGATCTAAGTAGATCTGGAGAGCCACGTGATTCTCATTCTTGTCTAAACTGTCTGGAAATATTTGAGTAAGGAAATGACTACCACAATCACCATGGATGTTATTTTACCGAAATCATGGAAAATTTACAGGCAATGCAGTTTATAGCAGATTAGTCATAAATTATGAATGTGATATAAAGACATATAGAGATAACCAAGGGAAATCAGCAGCATGGCAGAAAGCAGGGTGGATGGAAAAATATAGAGAAAGGCACACTTACCTTACTATGGCAAGCTCCAAAAGTTTCACTTTTGATGATACTACAATACTTTCTCCCCAGTGCAAGCTTGGAAGACTGTTTCCCACAGAGATCTCTCTTGTTCATATCTGAACAGCTGGAAGTCACTTTCCAGCTATTTCCAAATGTTTGTGCATCCATTTCCACAGACTGCCCTCTCGTGGTAAAATCATTGTTGGTACTGTTGTCAAAATTGCCACAAAGGCCACAAACTCTGCCCTAGAAAATTAATGGAAACTATTTTACCACTTTTATCAAAAGAAATGGTGCTTCTTCCAGGCTGCTACAATTTCTGCATCCAGTTTCTATAAATCAGTACATGATAAAGCACTTTGTTTTAAAACATCTTTCTTTACAAAGGTATTGTGCTATTTTAAGAAAATGAAATATTTCCAGGTTTGGGACATTCAAGATACACTCAACAACAAAATGTCCACCATACTTGATCAGAACTAATGAACACAAAGGCTTAATTTGATGAGAGACTAGCACACCTTGAAGGCACCAGATCGGTGAATACTACACTAAATGTATTTAAAACAGGACTTCCTGAGAAATAGGGATTACTGTTCCAAGTCATTTCATACATCAATTCTTTTCTGCTTCTATGTCTATGTGATTCGGTTAAAAAAAACCAAAAAAACAAAACACTCATATGCACTAAAATGCATTTTAAACACGTTTCTCAAAACATTCCCATTTCTACATATAAATGTTAACTAAACATTTATATTCTAACTAAACATTTAAATTGTTAATATATTTTGGTACATTTGTTAAGACAAGAATTGCATCCTAACAATCAAAAATTGTAAAATCCAAATGATAATGCAGTTCTGATCAGCACTTGAAAAAGTTACAGATGGCTTGGTCAGCATGATTCATGAAAAGTCCCCAAATCTGAACAACTATAACAAAAAAAGTGTAGTACTGTCACAAACTCTATCAATAGAGAAAACACACTGCAAATAGCTATTTATTTTATTTGCTTATTTATTTATTTCCTACCTTTCTTACAAAAAAGTGCTATACATGAAAATGAAATTAGCAAAGATACACATCTCTAATGTACCCTTACCTGAAAAGAAGGAGCCACTTGCACATTCAGAGTTGTTTTTTGATCCCAAATGAAGGTCATTCCATTGGAAGTTTCAATTATGATATAAATCCCCATAAGATAAATTTTATAGCCTTTTTGAGTATCTGGTTTACTGGTTATCTCCTTAATTTTCTCTTCCAGAAGCCTGATTTCACTGCCCTAGAAAAAATGATTTCAAGGGTCAAAGCTGCAGCTGAAACAAAGGCTTACTATCATAATGCAATTATAACAATTTATAGATAACACGTGTCTGCTTTAGGTCTCAGAAAGTGACTACATATCTTCCTCATAGTCTAATTTTGTTAATTCTTTGAGAAGCCTAGAAGTCAAAGAACAGAATTCTACCTCCAGTTGTGGTAGTCTCATGGATGTAAGACCATTCAAACTACTGAAGAATAAAACTGTTTGAATCCTGAAAGGAAAAATCTATGGGCCTTTTAGAGGGGAAAGGAGATGGCAATATTACAGTGTTTAAGAACTGTTATGCCAGGTGTATGAGATAGGGCAAGATACAAAATATTTTTTCACACTTTGATCAGGTTTATTCTAGCATAATTCTTCATTGGCTACATGTTGTGGACCACAAAAACTTGGTAGTCTTTAATTATAAAGTGGTAATGCTTGGCATATAAAATCCATTTCCTAATCTAATTAAACCAATGGAATGGATTAAATATTCTAGTTGTACAGACATCTGGATATTAGACCTGGGGACACCATACAGTACATACTGGAATCTAAAAGCCTTCAAATTGGCAGTTCTTCTAGCAAAAATCAGGACTCTCCATCCATCTTCTTATTGCTTTCCATAACAGAACAGAAATTAAAATAAGGTCTGTCCTGTACTGGAAAAGATTTCTTGAGTCCTATTACAGGTCTGATTATAATACTGTGTTATAATCAGACTCTCCAAGAGCAGCAAGCCAGTGTTGCATTCAAAACACCTTCACCACAATGATGGGGGATCTGCTTTTCAGATGTTATAGACTTCATTGCACCCAGAGGTCTAGTTAGCATGACCAATGGTAACAGAGTGGGAAGATTGTAGCCCAGCGCATCTAGAGGGCCAAACCTGCCCTAGACCCCTTTTCAGATGTCCAGAACAGATTGGGCAAGAGGTTAGGAGAAAGTAAGCATAATGCTCCAATAAGTGTATCACTGACCTCTTCCTCCCTTCATGGGCACAACTAATCTGTTGGATTGACAAAACCTTTTTGCCTATGACATCCAACAATAAAGTAAAGGTCCAGGAGGAGGACATCATGAAGAACATGAAGAACACCACAAGATTATGTAGAACCAATGCTATATCACCACCAGGAGATCACCAAGCAAGGCACCATTGGAAAAAAACAATATATTTGGGAAGTCTCTTAAGTAAAGCCAATGCTAATCTGATCAGAAAATGTGTGTCTTTGGTAAAAATTCTATAAGAATGACATATTCTATCATGTTATTCGATTCACATTTCCTTATGCTTAGCCTCCAATGCAAGCCTCCAATGCAATGCAATTCACTTGGCTGCAGAATTGTTGTTAGAGGCTACCTTGGTACTAGCATTTTGCACTGATCTCTAACTGGTGCATGCAGGTCATTGAGCAAGAAGATACTGAATATCTCTTTGTGCACTGATACACAATAATATTAAACAATGTAGACATAATGGGAATTTACAGCTGTTTTTGTCAGCATCAAGATTTCAGCTAAACTTTCTCAAATTCTAGTGGATTTCAATATTTTTCAGTTTCAATTACTGTGAAAACTTAATGCAGAAATTCTTTTAAAATATGACTAAAGGAACGGGGTGCTAATAGGTGCAGGCAAGAAACCATAAATAAACATGTAGCCAAACATTTTTACACTTCACCACTACTAAAACTAATTATGGACTTACCTCTAAGAAGATGGTAATTTTCAGAGAACACACTGAGAGGGATTTACCACATGCAGTATTTTGCACTATAATTTGAAAAGTGCCTGGCTGCAAATTATTGGGACAGAAGTCCTTAGAAAAAGAAATCAAAAGGACACTGAATGTTATGTTTTCTATAAGAACTTCTAACCCATTAGGGCATGTGGTCTCAAGAAGAAATGTCTACGATCAGACATCTACATTATGGTTTGAAATTGCCACACATGGAACCCTCCAAGAGCAGCAAACATGAATTTGGCTCAGTCCACAAAACAGACTGAGAAGTGCATAAATTCAGATTACACTTTAATCAACCTTGCTCTAGAAATGTTTTTTTCCCCACGTATTGCCTAGTGTTGCTTCTATGTCTAGTTTCTCCACTGTAAATATACACACTATGGTATTTAACTCTCCTGTCCAGTTTTTATACACAGCTACCATTTCTGCCTGGTTTCATCCATCCAAAATGCTCACTTTTGTCAGCAACAATGCTACAATACACAAGGATGACATATGCACATTCTTTCAGTAACTGACATTGTTGTTCTACCTCTTGGAAGGTAGCTCTAAATACAGGTTGAAATCCTTTATCTGGAATTCTGAAATCTGAACTACTCCAAAATCGAAAAGTGTGCATGACTGAGAAAGTGACACTTCTAGGTAAGTACAGGTTTGTAACTTTCATCAATGCAAACACACTTCATTGGTACACTACTACATAGCCCATATTTTAAAATGATAACAAAGTTTTGATACCTGAGCTAGGATATAATCACAGTCTCCCATAAAATCAAATTTTGTTCCATCAAAATTGCTGTAGTGTCCATTCCCATACATAGTGCATATTCCTTGGCAGGGGTAGTTTGTACAATTCCACTGTCTCTTCTGGCACATGCTAGATTGAATAGAAAGGATTACAGGTTGTATCATACAGGAAAGTTTTGTGTGTAGGTAAAGAAAGACAAGAGAAATGTAGCAGCACCTTTAAAAGTAATGTATTTTTGTGTGAGTTTTTGTACTTCTTCAGACACACTGATGGAAATAATATAACAGTATATGTATATTAACAGTTACTTGAGGGATTCAGGATATAATTATGACATTTGTATACTTAATGATGCTATTTGTATCACTGTTTTTTAAACTTCGGAAGATTTTGTAAGATGTGGTGGTCTGCTTTAACACTGTAGTGAGAAAGAACTGTATTTCTATTTCTATTTCAGGTAGTCCCCAAGTTACAAACAAGATAGGTTCTTTTTCGTTTGTTCTTAAGTTGAAATTATTTTTAAGTTGGAACAGGTGCATTTTAAGTGTAACTCCAGACACACACACACACACACACTTGTATTTACTTGAATGCAGTGTGCCATCAGTCATAATGTGCACATTTGAGATGCACATTACCCAAAAAAAATGGATTTTCTATTCATTTTGTGCCCATTCCCACCAGGGTGCAAGCAGAAGTTATTCCACTTGCAGCCTGGGCAAGGTTGGGGGGTTACTGGGTTCTCTCTTGCCTCTCAGCTGGCGAGTGAAAAGAGAGAAGCCAGCTGGGAATGGAGAGGGGACTTTCTGCTATTTCCCTGGTTGGGAGAAGCACCAGAAACTCAGGGGAAAGGGGCCCCGGGGGGCTTTGCATGCTTCCTCAGTTGGAAGAAGCACCAGAAACCCAGATGGAGGGGGGTGCTTTCTGCTGCTTCTCTCAGCAAGGAGAAGGATGAACCGTCTGAGAAGGAAGTAGTTTTGTAGTTCTGCCCCCATGCTGAGACTGGTGAACTCACTGGCCTTTGCTTGGTGGAGGGGCATGGCTTCCCAGCTGGCCTCATTCAGAACCTGAATGAAGCCAGTTGGGAAGCCCCCTTTGGCACGCAATTGTAATGCTCCATTGAATCTAATGCACACTCAATTTTGACAAGGTCATTTAGGCAAAAAAGGTGTGCATTATATTCAAGCAAATACAATATATATAGAAGGGGGGTTGGATAGCATAGGGAAGGATTAACATCCTTGTAGTGTGTGTTTTTCTATCTGTGCCCCCGTTCAGAAGATTTCACCTCACTTTCTGTCCCTGTAATGACTAGAGTTTGAAAAAAAGATTTTAAGAATTCTAAAAAACCCACATACCATGTATTACAGTTAACTGTAATGTATGTCCCAGAACTGTAATAATTTCCTCCATGGATGCAAGGGCATTGATCCTCTTCAATACAGCTACCATTTCCATTGGTCAAGAATCCATTAGGGCACACACATCCAGAGACACATTCTGTAGCATACTGGGTAGATGAAAATGTAATAAAAATTGATGTAAAAAAAAGAGAAAGAGAACATAAATACTTTACTTGAGTCTTATAGTTCAGGATGCTATTCATTCAAGTCATAAAATACAACCAATATACAATAGAGTAAGCAGGAAGAAATAGTTTTGGAATAATAATCCAACAGAAGATATCCACTTAAGAACGCCTATCCATGGAACTTGGAATAGGGTATTTTCCCCCTGTAGCTCTAATTCACACCCAAAATCTGTTGCACAGAGCTGAAAAACCATCTGAAACAGGCTTCCATGGGTTGTCAAGGATTATAAGGGGAGTTTTGGTGTGCACGCCAGCATGATGATGGATCTATCCACATTCAGGAAGTGGTTCACCCTGTGAGACTTCTGACTTGTTCGGTGGGCTAGAAACCCTTCCTTAAAGTAACATCAGGTAGAACCAGAAAGATGCCCGATCTGTGGGGTGAGTATGAACAGTTCTGTAGAGTGCTGGAAAAGGGGTACCAGAAGAAGGAAATGGCTCAAATATTCACGAGTACATGCAAAACATTTGGTAGATAAATTTAGGAGAATTGGGATATTGTGGTCATTGCATTCATAGAACCAAAGTGAGGTAATACATCTAAAGATGTGTTTATTCGGAAAATAACAGCACAACTTTGGCTCTCTCTGGTTATTTATTATTACTAGTCCTGATGAGAACTCTTTTTCTTAAATCAGTGATTAAAAGGGGTGAGGCATCAATTTACAACATTAGGGATGTCTTCATTTGTTTAGCAGAAACCGTCTGTCCATACAAAAGCTGAGTGGTAACAGACAGACCTTTGGTACAAGATAGCAGTAATCTCTAGCATGGTAGTGGAACTTCTAAGATCCTCCAGATATTATTGGACTACAGTTTCATCAGTTCTGGTCAAGACAGTCAACTGTGAGCTAAGATAGGCATTGAAGTTCATCACTGTCTGGAGGGCCACACATTCCTCATCCTTATCTTGGCAGTCTCATACAATAGATGTGCATGGCTTTTTAAAAGACTTATATCAGACTAAAATGTAGGCACTGGCAGTCAAGTGGATAAAGATTCGTGTTATATACATATACATGATATAGAAGCATCATGTTTGGGTACAATTCCCATGAAATCAAAAGTCTAGTTTCTTCTCCACTCAACTAAAATATTTTAGAAAAAATTTAGAAAATAATTCCTTCTTTATTAGCCATACAAAAAAACAGCAGAGCTTGAAATTAGCAGGCATTGTCATCAACTAGGGGATTATACTTGCTCTGTTCTAGGGGAGGACATGTGGAATGTAAATAGTAAAAATAAGTATAGCATTCATGAAGTTCACTCAAGTGCATAGAATAATGGCCAAGTACACATCATTGCTAAGAGATTAATCCCTTACACACTGCATGTCTTGCGTTTTGCAACTTTTCTGACATTCTGATCCAGATGCACCCGAGCCAGCAGAGTCACAGTCAAAGTAGTACATTGGAAATGGACATTCTGAAAAGGAAACAACATCACCAAAACAAGGGAGTCATACAGTGGAAAAGTATACACAGTACTATGCAGTTTCCAGAATTGGAACCATCTAAAATACAACATTGTCTCTTCTGTTATATCAGTGGTTCTCAACTTGTGGGTCCCCAGGTGTTTTTACCTACAACTCCTAAAAATCCCAGCCAGTTAACCAACTGTCAGGATTTCTGGGAGTTGAAGGTCAAAACATCTGGGGACCCACAGGTGGAGAACCACTGTGTTACATGAGCCCCATACTGGACAAAAGCTGTACTAATCCTGATTTGTGCTGTGCATTTAGATCATGATAATAATTTAGAGTAATCATGACAGTAACAAAAAATCTCACCTTTCCTGTTTTCTGCCTTTCCAGTGCAATCCAATTGTCCTTGAATGCATTTGCTAAAAATATAAATAAATAAGTCTTATGCCAGTGCATAAAAGAAATAATATTGATTCCAGAGCCAATCACACAAATAAACCCATTCCAAACCACATCTCTAATTGTCCACCTCTAATTAATAGAAGTCAGGTAGGATACAAAAGTAATTAACAAGGCCAGATACTAGAACTAAGGAATATGTTGCTCAGCAACCAAGTTAGGTTAGTAAGGTTCTCCCCAGCTTTGGCTTCTGGGCTAAAAAAAAAGGGGGGGGGGGTATTGAAAATTTGAAGAATGTTGTCTCTTCGGTACATTGTATGTCACTCTGAATGTCTTATAACTACATTTTCCAGAGTCACTTCTGCTCACATTTTGGAGCCCCTTAGTCTCTCTTCAATGTATAAGTATAAGCATTTAGGAATGAAACCATGGGGAGAGGGGGGTATGGAACTTTGAATGGGAAGAGAGCCAAGGTTCATATTGAGCCCTCCATATGCATACAGTTTATGGGGTACACAGTTTCCACCTGTCTACCATGATGCCAACAGTCCAAGATGGAATGCTTGAAGTGTGATGTCCCAGCAGCACTTTTAAATGAGGTAACTGCATACTCTACCATGTTACAAAAGAAAAGGAAATAATTTATCAACTGTTTCTGCTGTAACTTGCCCCCCCCCCCAAAAAAAAAATCTTTCTGCTGAATGGTGAAAGAGTATGGAAGCTTTAGGTATTTGGGGCAGCAATTTGCATGTGTAGGGTTGTGTGTGTTTACACATTGGTACTCTGACACCTGGAGTCATTATGATTTTGAAATTAATGCTTCAGAACAATTGTAACATCAATTAACAACTTTTGCTATGGTTGTGTACTGCAGGCACTTAAAAATGTGTGAGTTTTTATTTTTATCTAAAACTGTTTACCACATGAGTCCATCCTTTTGGAGCAAATTTCCAGGCTGGATCATCTGGCCTTTATAATAACACGGACAGTCCTCTGGAGAGACACATTCATTCTCATTCATAAGGTAGGTCCCGTCTGGGCAGCCACAGCCTTCCACAGGGACAATGTGAACATTACACAGTAGGTCAGGCTCCCTCAGTGAATGACACGACCTGTTACAGAACTTCACTTCGTAGCTGTACTCCATTGTTCTAGGGCACTCCGTGGACACATCTTTGTAAGAGAAATAAAAAAAGGTAGAGTCTGAAATGGGTTTAGGGTACATAAGTGTGATTAATTGTATGCCAGATGGACACAAAAGTAAGTCTTTCTTTAGGAAGCCATTCAAATATCAAACAGATTAGGTCCTACATTGCACTAACAGGCACATATTTACACAATTTGACTAGAATATAATACATGCAAAGAATGAAATAGGATAGATATGATCTGGGATTTTATAGGAATATCTAATTCTTGAGAGTGTTTCCTCTAAGCATTATAACTGTAAAACACACACACACAACATGAACAGGAAAATTGCTGTTAAAATTAGTTTCTATGCAGCTGGCACAAATACATTCCAAGGAGTTTCACATGGAAACAAAGTGGAATATGAGAACTAGGTCTGGAGGAGAGTTTTCACATGCATATTCATGATGCAGGATTTCATGATGAAGTGAAGACAACTATGCAAGAACTTGTCTCAGCTCTAATCACAATATTTCTGATACAATTACTAGGAACATCATTAAACTGTGATACAGTTTTTGATCTTCAAATAGGCCCTTATTTCAGTCAGATACTGCATTTAGGCTAAGTGTGAAACTTTCAACAATGACAAGACTCCAGTCTAAACTGAGAAAATAATGGATGAAATATCCCAAAACATCTGGGTCCAATTCATTGATCTCTATTGATCTCCCCATCATGGAAAAAAGTGTATTCTACAAGTTCATCTACTGCCAGCATCACAACACATTTTAACTCAATCTAGATACAGTACCCTATACATGGCAAAGAAACCAAGTGAACTGTTTTAAAAACATGTTATCTTAAATAATAAAAAATCCTCATTTAGAAACATGAGTGTCTATCTATTGTTGTTGTTGTTGTTCTATATAGCTGATACCTACCACAGATGTCATTTCTCCAACCCTTCAGATGTATTCCTCTTGAAGCACAATCTCTGGCATAGGCTGAGAAGACACTGCACAACACTTCTTTACTGTTTCCAGCATTGCAAGTGTCATAAGCACAGTTCTACAATATAAACACAGAAGCAAATACTGAGGGATCTTTCACCCTACACAATTATTGTGCCATGATTCCATTTTAGCTGCCATGGCTGCATTCTATGATGTCCCAGGGTTTGTAGTTTGCTGAGATTCTTTGTTCCCTTTCTTAAACTATGAATCCCAGGATTCTATAAGATGGTGTCATGGCAGATAGGCTCAATACTGAAGAAGGAACACTTTCAGTCACAAAATAGAATACAGACAGATGAAGATGAAGAGTTAGTTCAGGTATTCAAAAGACATTGTCACAGAGCCAGTGGTGTCCAGTGGCCTGTGGTGGCAGGTGGCAGCATTCCTCTTAAGAGCGAGGTATGGATCTGATAACACAGGAAGCCTCCCATGTTGCCAGCTCCATGGGAGGAAGTAGCATGCACTATGAGTGCTCCTTGCTTCTTTCCATATGATTGTCCTGCCGGCCAGTGAAGGAAGATGAGGGCCTTATGCCTCGCTCTTAAGAGGAGCACTGCCACTGGCCCCTGCCAGCTGTGTGATGGGGTCCTAAGAGAAAACAGATGATCTGACTTTGTTATCTCTTGTATGTCATCTCATAATATAGAAGAAAGCTTCAAATGCAAGGATGACTGTTTATAATACATGTGTGGCAACTTGTTGCAATGGGGAAATTGATGCATCAATACAAATAGAGTTCTTTTATTAAGCAAATTAGGAGGATAGTTGCTTCTTTAAGGCAAAACACATCCAAGACTAAACCAGAATGAGATATAAATCTTGCTTCTTTGGCTTAGACTTTTCTTCTCTGAACTACATTACACTTGTTAAAATAGAGAAAAAGCTGTTTACTTCTCTCCAGTATCTCCCCTTTTATGAATCAAGGCCTTAATTGACCACCACATTTTCTTCCCTCTTTATTTTGTCTCATTTCAAAGATGTAACTGTGTTAGTCTGGATCAGTATACATCTTTGAGGTCTCATCTACACTGACCATTTTATTGTTACAGTCCAAGACCAAGTGTTTATAACATTAAAAACAGAGTTGTTTTTTTTAAAGTGTTAATTTAATGCAGTTGTGTGTCTTCAGAATTGTTTGATAGGTGAACCTTGGTCTCCCAGTCATAGTGCACACCTCAAACCACAAAACCACACTGCGCCTTCTGATTGAAATTCAGATTAAAAAGATATCAGAATATTATTATTATTATTATTATTATTATTATTATTATTATTATTATCATTATATTTATACCCTGCTTTAACTCCCAAGAAGGAGATTCAAAGCAAAAGATGATTTATCCTATTACTAAATCTATTTCTTACCTTAGCATAAGGGGTAGGATCACTAACAGAATGACATTCAGCGAACACTCCATTTGTGTTCAATAGAACTGCACACCACTTCTGCCCAAATTTTTCTATTATATAAAAATAAAGATATCCAGTATTATTTGCAGAGTTTTAACTGTTCTCACTTTTTCTCTTAAGATGATTCAGGACTTGGTATTAATGGTTTTCTCCAGACACAAGAGTGACAGAAATGCCACATTAACAACTAAAGGTTGTTGTTGTTGTTATTATTATTATTTCTTACCCTCCTCATGGCTCAAGATGGGTTACAGAACAATTAAAACACATAAGCACAGCAAAAACACCACAAATACAAATATTAAAATGTATCTCTATAAGAGTTACACACCAAAATGTATCTCTATGACATACATATTAAAACACTCAAAACAGAGATTACACAAAATACATGCATTTAAAATTCATATTTAGAGACTGGGTAGGCCTTCCAGAAGAGATAGGTCTTTACATGGTTTTAAAATTCCGACAACTCATTTAGCTATCTGAGTTCTTCTGGCAGGTCATTCCACAGTCTGTACTTAACACTAAGATGAGAAGGTTCTTTGATTTTTGGTTTGAGTTTGGTTCTTCTTTTTTTGTCATGTTGCTAAATGTTTGTCAAAAATAATTTTATATACATACAAATCTTCCTTAAATGAAGTCAGATCATGTAGGTGACAGTATAGTATATACAGACTGGCATTCTCCTCCAGTCTTCTCCAGCCCAATTTGAATGTGGACCTTCTTCTTGCAGATCAAGTTCTCTGATACTACGCTACAGTACCTTTCCAGCAACTTAGCATGGATTGTGAAAGACACAATGCAATACCTTTGCCTACACTTTTCCAACATGGATCTTCAGAGCTATCTTGAACATCAGCACAGTTGGCCATGATTTTCCATGAGTTTCCAAATGCAGATGCAGAGTCTTCTATAATCCCAGTGATGGTTTGAAAATCATCAGCTTGTATGTTGTTGAAATTCCCACAAAGACCTAAGTAGAACACAGGAAATCCAAGATATAACTTGTACAAAATGCATGTACAGTCTCATCAAGGTTAGTTGTCACTGGTGGCTTCCATTCCTGTGGGACAGTGAATTCGCCCTGGCTTTCAGCCTGGTACTGTCCAACATGCTGCATGTATTTGGGAATAGGGTTTAGCACATCAGATAGTTCCTTTCAGATCTGGGTCAACATTAAAAATGGATATATTGCTTCATGGAAATGAAAATCATCAGTTACCTCTAATTAGGTTGATATTCAGAAACACCTAGCTCTTCAGGGTGGTTCTGTCAACCATTTTATGACTGGCAGGCAATAATAATTTAGTGAATGTATTAAAACTTAAAACTCCACATGAAAAGAGGACCTCACCATTGTAACTGCTACCAGAGAATCAAACTATGGTTGAACTAGAACTGTTGGCGAAAACTGAAAATGTTGGTGAAATTATATGATAAATCCAAATTTTAATAACCATGGTCATGCCCATTGACTGAAATGAACTGAAAGGAGAAATGCACCTATTTACCCTAGCACCTCTCACGTGTACATGACTTGATTGTTACTATAGCAGCATTACAATGGCAATTTCATTTTCATCCTCTGAGGTAGTGGTTCCCAATCTGTGGGTCCCCAGATGTTTTGGCCTTCAACTCCCAGAAATCCTAACAGCTGGTAAATTGGCTGGGATTTCTGGGAGTTGAAGGCCAAAACACCTGGGGACCCACAGGTTGAGAACCACTGCTCTAAGGTTTCATGTATGGTAGTTCTGTTACTTTCATTGTGACCAGGAAAGGACAGAATGCTTTTCCAAGCCCACTTATTGAAGCAAAATCACTTCAAAATGGATTGTTGGAAGCAAAATACCTCATGTAATTCCATTCCCAGATATAATTTGATAACACTTGATTTTCTAGAGTGAATATACTCACTGAAAGGTAGGAAAACTAAGTATGCCAGCCACACAGAAGCAAGCTATACAACTGGATTTGGAGAATATGGTATTTAAATATAAATTTATCTAAACAATTTAATGTAAGTCACCAACATCACCATAATCACCATCACCACTACCTCTATGGCAGTCATTATTGACAGTTCAGATCTGAGGAATACAAGTGTTTTTGAATATATAATGAAAAAAACTTCTCAAATAATGAGAAGGGGAGACTCATTTCAGTAAACCCAAGGAAATTAAGAATGAAGGAAATGAGAGAAGCACTTTACCAGAACATCGATTTTGGTAAGTTTCATCTACTGTTATGAAGAGCTGCATAATGGGTTTCAGCTGTACTTGAGTTTGTACTCGTGAAGAAGTCAGAATGCTGACATAGAATGTGGATGGTCTGAAGAGAATGACACCATCTAGGAAATAAACCCACAATTTTAGTGCAAGTATGCAATAGAATTTTTATTTGAATTGTAGATGAAACTAAAGACAGACCTTTAGTTACAGGTAATGTTGCAATGACATTATTGACATAGACATCTCCACAGGAACAGATTCTTATATTCTGTAAAGAAAAGACAAGCAAGAGAAATTTCGTCAATGCAAAGAGAAACCGTACTCTGAATGGTGCCGATAGCCCCTCCTAACCTAAATTCAGTAACTTACAATGGCTCCTACAGTAATTAAGACATTTTTCAGGCATGTCATAGTATTTGAAAGGCCACACTGAACTATTTCTCCAATGATCACAAAAGATCCATCAGTATCCTGAAAAATGAGACAAAAATTACTATGAATATGATTGGCATATCGGACAATCAAGGACATATTGAACTGACAAAGGTAGAGAAAAAGCAAAGTAAATGACAAACAATGTCACATCCCCTTTCCCACTACCTATCAAGCAGTCAGTGCTATTATTATAATTTTGAGAATTTTTACATGTGTCAGTTTTCAAGATAGACAAATGACTAAAACAAACACTATATCTTCTCTTTGATATTTTTTATCAAAAGCAGAGGTCTATACTTTAAAGCATTTGCTTGACTGTTAAATAATAGAAATTCAAGTTCATTAAACATAGTGTCTAATGGGCCCGAAATAAAGAAGGTAGTAATATTTTTGACCAGATCTGTCAATAACCACTCATTCAAACTATAAGTGAAATCACCAACATTAGCCAATGAAAATCTGGACAAACCTTTCAGTGTTCTCTTTTTAAATAACTTATATACAAAGGTAGTTTACATTGTATCTATTATATCACGCTGAAGCACTCTAATGGGAAATTTTTGATGACAAATAAAACTTACAATGAATTAATTATGTTATGAATTAACATAAGTTCAGCAACTGTTCCTCTTTCCTTAACCTTCACATTACTAGTCCAAAACAGTAGCCACTTCATCAAACTGGTTCCCTAGAGCACTGCTTCTGAAACAGTGGATCTTGACCGCAAATGGGGTCCCTTGAGCAAAATGATCATGAAAAATCTGACAACCAGAAAAAGGTTTCTGCATATAACCTAGCGGTTGTTAGACAGTTACACATATCTCTTGTGCAGTGTTTACAGTAGACTCTGAAGAAAATGCTTCAACTTTACTGAATGAAAAGAAACATCATGCTCTTTGGCAAACTTTGCAAATGGTGATGTATTTTCAGTAAAAAAAAAACAATTTCCTCTCTGTGGTGGAGGAAGAAGTGTCTTGTGATGCTTCCCTTCCACTTTGGGAGGAATGTAGGCGGGGCCAAGCCAGCATCATCTTATGATGCTTGGCAGGCCTCCTCAACAAATGGAAGAACAGGGTGAAAAAAGCCCCATATGAAGACCAAATATGTGTAGCCCCACAATAAGTGTGTCTTACACAGTTAAACATTTAAGCCCTATTGAGTTCAATGCCTTAAGCAGATTTAACTTTTTTGAGCATGCTGAATTAACTCCTGGTTGCTCAGCTCCACATTTTATGTGACAAAACATGTTTACTATTAATATATCAGTGCTATACCATTTTTCTCAGCAAAGATTTGAATAGAAGCCAACATCACATTTCCACTGGCTTCTCCCTGTACCATCTTGCAACCACAAAAAATTTCTCTGGAAAGCCCCCAGCCTTTCTTCACTGCAAATCGAATGCTACAGGTAGAGGGGAAAATGTTCCTTACCCAGTTCCTCTCATTTAAAAAAGAGAGATTGCATTCCATTGTTGCATAACATAAATGTTGCATTCTTTTCAAAAAACCAACAGAGTTGGCAATTGTATTTGAACTGTGTCCCCTATCCACGAACAGACATTCAAGTCATCCTATCTTGTTTAGTTTCAGCAAAAAGCTAGCACGAAAGATGTTTTCCATGTACATTACATAATTGCTCTTCAGGCCTTTCCAGACTACTTTGCCCTCAAACCACCTCCTGATATAAATTGCACAGTTGTTACTCATGGGTTGTGCTGGACCTATATGCCTTTCTCGGGTCTGTTTTAGAATCCTTATAAATTCGGGGTTTTACAGCATTTCAATAGGGTAGATTGACTACACAAATGCCATAGTCACCTATTAGCTAATGTTAATACTGCATTACATTGGAAAATATTAGCTGACTTGAAGGGGCACAACAGCAACATTAAAAAATATACAATTGGTAAATGTCTATTACCAAAACACCTGAGCAGGCACTTAATTGAAAGTATACTGAATAACCATATTTTCTGGTCTTTTTGTCACTCCCAAAAGGTATAGAACATGTTATTTTATTTAAAGTCCAAGATACCTTAGCTAAGACATAGTGACAGTTGCCATGGAAAATGAATTGCTTCTTGTCAAAGGTAGTTATATGAAATCCTCCTTCTATTTTACAGTGTCCAGAACAAGGCAGGGATAAGCAAGACCATTTGCCATCAATGCAGGTACTGCAAAAAGAAAGAAAGAAAGAAAGAAAGAAAGAAAGAAAGAAAGAAAGAAAGAAAGAAAGAAAGAAAGGGAGGAAGAGTAATTACTATGATAAAGGGATAGCTATATGGAAACTTATTTGACCATCCCTGAACATTTATCAGAGTCAGGCAACAAAAGTAAGATGTTAAACAGGCAACTTATAAACATAACACACTTTGGCTCTTTTCCTTTTTAAATGCAATGTGAAAGTACACTATGTGTGTGAGAGAGGAATTGGAGCAAAATCTTCCTTTGCTCTGCATTCCTAAAGCTGTGAGAACCTGTCCCTTTGACCTGTCAAGGTATTTTTAACTTGTCTCATCTCAGCCTTTATCCAGATATTTTGATGTTTCATGACAGCTGTGTAGTGTTTGCAAGTCAGAATTGATGCTTCACATCAGACATTGTTAGAAATGCTCCCATAGTTGTGCTGAAAACAGATCCTTATGATAAAGTTTAGTGAATTCTAACAATGTTGATGCTCAGCAACCATGCAAGGTTCCTGAGGAAGCACATATGTTCAACCTAGGAAAATCACAAGTGCAGTAACTATTTTTTTACAAGGCATCTCTTCTAAGAAAATCTCTTCAAAGCACATTCTGCTACTCAAAGCAACAACAAAAGTGATTTTAATAGGCTAACCAAGCTGTACAAAAGACATAGAACAGAATTTGTTGCATACTTGTGGTTTTCTCTCTCCCCCACTGATCATGCTTGCTATGTACTTGGGTGCTTATCTGCAAAAAAAAAAAAGTGTATATTTTCTGCATATGTAATTTTGCTGTGATCCTGTATAAAACCTCCATATTTTCCAGCTCATGAAGTTGGAGCAAAGCCCATTTGCTGTGGTAGCTTGTTGCCCACATTAGATCACCCACACCATACTTGACAAAGTTGGTCTTCGATACTCATGGATTCTGCAGCCACAGATTCAACCATCCACAACTTGATTTTTTAAAAAAATCAAAAAACAAACCATGATTTTCCCATTTTATATAAGAGACATTATTTTATAATGCCATTGCATATATTAAGACGGGAGCCCCCGGTGGCGCAGTGGGTTAAAGCCCTGTGCCGGCAGGACTGAAGACCGACAGGTCACAGGTTCGAATCCGGGGAGAGGCGGATGAGCTCCCTCTATCAGCTCCATCTCCTCATGCGGGGACATGAGAGAAGCCTCCCACAAGGATGATAAAACATCAAAATCATCCAGGCATCCCCTGGGCAACGTCCTTGCAGATGGCCAATTCTCTCACAACAGGATGCTCCTGACATGACAAATATATATATATATATATATATATATATATATATATATATATATATATATATATATATGAACATCCTTGGATTTTAGTATCCACTGAGGTCTTGGAACCTAACCACAATGGATACTAAAGGTCCAGTGTACTGCCAGTCATGCTGAATGCTTTTACCAAAACATCCAGTAGTGATTGGTGGCTTCCATGTGAGTTTAAGCCAGAAATGTAAAGGAACACCATGAGATGCTGAGTTCCAGTTGAGAAATAGGTTTAACACCCTGGGCAGATGTGAAAAATTAAAAACTAGAATAGATTCACCACTCCTCCACCAGCACTGCAATTATTAAGTAAATGGATACAGGATTTTAGATCCAATGCACTGTTGTCAAGGAATGCACTTCAGATTGTTAGTTCTGAACTTCTCAAAGAAAAGCAAATTGGTCCCTCTATTTCCCATTAGCTTCATCATCAGTGGAATACCTGGGTACATAACTGATATTAACCAAATATTAGCTAGTTGTTTTTATTATTCTGGTGTACAGTTCTTAACAATGTTGTAACAGTACCAGTTCTGGCAGGGAAGAGAATAGGTGTCTCCAGTGGTATAGATTTTGCCTTGGTAGGTGCATGGACAGTTGGCAGCAGGAATGCATTTTTTGTCACGGATGTCATCGAGAATTGTCCCTGTTTCAAATACATTGCTTAGTTATGTTGATAAGCAAGTAATGAACTAAAAATTAAAACTACAAAATTGTTACTTTAACGAAAGTATTGTTAGGAGTGCTCTCAAAACTTATGCCCTTGATGGGTGGTTTCCCCTATTAATCGTATACAGTACACTTCATTGTACCCTCGTGTATGTGGATCTCAATAATGTAATGCTACCTCTAGTATGACTTGAAAGAATAGCTCTTTTCCAAGGAAATATCACCTTCCTGCTGATTCCAATATGTTGCAAAGCCCGCACTGGCTATTTGATCACAAAGACAAAGGCACTCTGTACATGCTTGCTGTAATAAAAACAGTGACTAAAAATCATATGGAAGGGCTCCCAATTTCAAATCAGTTCTGTGAACCACATTACCATTAAGTATAAATACTGTCAGTAACAGTCCTTTTTTTCAAAGGAAAAGCTTTGTATATTGAGTTCATTTTATGTGAGGTTTCAAGTGCTATGCAGCAAAGATGGGAATCTGAGTTATGATGTTGTTTTGATTGTGTTTTGGTTTATTATTTTACTTGATTGGTTTTAATGTGTTGTATTTTATCTGCGATTTTTGGGCTTGTGCCCTTTGTAAGTTGCCCTGAGGAGAGATGTTGGCTGGGTATAAAAATAAAGTTACTTACTTAGTTAGTTGTGCTTTTGTTATACTTATTTTACGCTAAGAATTGATAAGCTGTAGCTTTGTAAACATTTTCCCAGTGGTATAGGTGATATAGAAACTATGAAGTAGTAAAGTGTGACTAGTTCTACACAGAAGGTTTCTAGGTCAGATAATATGACAGGAAAGTAGGTTTGAGATCTTTTATAAATCAAAGATTGCTCAACATCCCCATGGCAAAATGAACAAATCAGAGACCTGTCCCATAGGTATATTGCCCAAATGCAGGAGCAACATCTCAAAAACTACTTTGCATTATTTAAGCGCCATAGAAATTATAAACAGTGTCCTAAGTAATATTCTTACCTTTAGGACAAAAGCACCCATCAGTACATTGGGCTCTACATATTTTGCTCCTTTCTGGGTTGAAACAAGTATCAACACATGGGTTTCCACATTCCATATATTCCAGGTTGTGTGGACATTTTTGGTCTGTGACAACAGACAAAATTAAATAAATGTTTGTGATAAGAGCTCAGTCATATATAAGTAGAATTACAAACTTCAACACAGAAGTGAGCTTGCAGAGGTAGTTGAACACATGCACACACATTCTGTGAAAGCACTGTCTCATGTGAAAATGAAGAGAAAAATAATTAGATTTCCCTCACTGAAATTCTAAGGGCTGGTGGAGCATATTCACAAGCTCAGACAGACCTTCTTATACTTTTCCCCCTTGTCCTTGTCTTTTCAATTTCCTTTTCCTTGTGAACAGGACTTTGCACCAGTTCATACTATGGTCATAATTCCTCTGAAACATCCTCTTTAGAAATGTCATTGGGGTTTGGTTTCTCTTCAGATACTCTGGTTTCTCTTCAGATTGTAGAAATGTCATATGTGAGCCTTTTGCTATCAAGTCCCATTCTTCTGGCAGGTAATGGCATATGGATGGTCTCTCCTTTTCAGGTAGGCCATAACACCTTGGGCATACAGTGACTCTAGACCAGGGGTCCTCAAACTTTTTAAACCGGGGGCCAGTTTACTGTCCCTCAGACCGATGGAGGGCCGGACTATAGTTTTTAAAAAAAAAAAATCAATTAAAAAATTCCTATGCACATTGCACATATCTTATTTTGCTGTGTGGAAGGGCCCTTAGAGGGGGTTCTTTCTAGCCCTCTTTAGGCAGTAATTCCAGGAGCAGAGAATGGGAAACCTTCCTATTTCTAGTCTGAACAAAATCTGGCTACCAGTATTTAAAAAACTCTAAAATTATAACTGTAAATAAAGAACAACACTCAAACACAGGGGAACTCCAGACAAGAAACAATCAGGGCCAGCTAATCATCTCTCAACAAAGGATTCTCCCTAAAAACTGTCAGGCTATGAAATGGCAATCAAGGTGGCCAATTGAAACATTCATACCTACCTCCAACAGACAAGAGTTCTTTCTCCCACCCTGGATCTTCCACAATTTTCCTGGTTAAAGGTTTTCCTCTGACATGAAGTCCAGTCGTGTCTGACTCTGGGGTGTGGTGCTCATCTGCATTTCTAAGTCGAAGAGCCGGCGTTGTCCGTAGACACCTCCAAGGTCATGTGGCCGGCATGACTGCATGGAGCGCCGGGGCAGCCTCACTTGGCTGGCTCACGCTGCCCATCGGGCATGACAGATAGCGTGAGCCTGCCAAGGGAGGAGCAGCACCGCGTGGCCTACTTGTGAGTAAAGCACTTCGCGAGGTGCTTTACTCGTGAGTAGACCATGCGGAGCAGCCTCCCTTGGCTGGCTCACGCTGTCCATCAGGCCTGACGGATAGCATGAGCCTGCCAAGGGGGGAGCAGGCCCGCGCGGCCTACTTGCGAGTAGACCACGCGGAGCAGCCTCCCTTGGCTGGCTCACGTGGCCTACTTGTGAGTAAAGCACCTCGCGAGGTGCTTTACTCGCGAGTAGACCATGCGGAGCAGCCTCCCTTGGCTGGCTCACGCTGTCCATCGGGCCCCATGGACAGCGTGAGCCAGCCAACGGAGGGGCACTGTGGGGGGGGGGCCCTCCTCCGCGGCCCGGATTGGGGCCCTTGGCGGGCCGGAAGTGGCCCGCGGACCGTAGTTTGGGGACCCCTGCTCTAGACCCTACTGAATCTTGAAGTTGATATAGAATCAAGTTGATATAATTGACAAGAAACCACAATGGCCAATCTCTCTTCATCAGATAGACAACTTTAGCATAAAACACAATGGCCAGACTCTTTTCATGAAAACGACAGGCTCAACTTCAGCATGATATCATTATGACCAGTTTCCTGAGATCCTTTTGGACTACTACTCATTCCCAGAGTAAACAGGGAAATCAGCCCTTCACACTGATTTCACTCTAATGGACAAACATTTAACAGTGACATGAAGATGAACTTCTCCAGGTGAATGTTATTTACTCTGAAACATGCCTTTCTGGAATGTGATGAGAACAGATGTTTGGGGGGGGGGGAGCATTTTCTTTGGTGGTAGAAGAGGCAATAACTCTGCTAAGAACAATGTTTAATAATAATAAATGGCTTTAGTAGGAAGATTCTTCTCTTCTCATCTTGAAAAGTAAGACAGTAATATAAACAGAAATAATGGGAAAGCAGAGAAAAGAAACTTGTGTAGCTTTCACAGTCTTTAGCATTAACACCATCTTTAAAAAAGGGGAGCAGGATCCTTCACTACATAACCACACCTGACCCTATTGAAATGAACACATTTGCTTCCTCTGAAGTTAAGAGGAAAGACAGGTTGATGAAGAGGACTTAAGCCTATGTACATAAGCTTATGCGACCAATATCTTTCTCTCAAGACTATAAAATGCTACACAATCCTTTTACATAATGCTATATATTTGAATTCTACCACCACTGAAAATATATGTTTAAATTAAGACAAATGCTATGGCAATGTTCTGTGTGATGGCTTCTATTTCTCCTTTACGTTTCCTTCCAGTGTAAGTTTCCCATACTTGCTTTGCACCAATCAGTTACAAAGAAATATGTTTCCTTTTTTGCTTGCCAGTTGCTACCTTGTATAATGTAAACAAAAGGGGGAAAAACAATCTTGCACCATCCCGTGGATTAGCAGTTTGCTGCTTCTCCTTTTTTACGTCAATGGTGAAACCATTATGTTCCACCCACATTCTTTCAGGCCACAGGGGGCAAACTCAATAATACAATTGGCACATTCTTAGAAGCAGTGCTCCTGAAAGTAGCAAATGGTGTCTGGTTCTTAGATCATATGCTTTTCCTCATTTCCAAAACTTGCATTTAGCTATGTTTTGTGATTGATCACTGAAAGGTAAACATGAACTTATGTTACCCCATTCCAGAAATGTTCAAGGAAATTAAATCTTACTGAGAACAAAATATTCAACAACCCAGCAGAAGCATACGAAAACTACCACAGCTTTCAGAGAAAACCAGTACTTCCTCTGAGTTCACTCTTTTATCTCCCTCAGAAATTCTTAAAGGGGCAGCAGCACTATCTATCTATCTATCTATCTATCTATCTATCTATCTATCCACTTTCACAGACAGACTCCCACTTCTATAAACAGCTATAGCTCCCACTACCCAAGAAACCTCCCTCCCATGACATTGCAGGTTAGAGTAAGCCCCAAAAAAACCCTGCCAATGTCCTCCACAAACACCATACTGCCCACCACCTAACTGAATGTTTGCCTACAGGGACAATTTCATCCTAGTTTTATGTGTTTTTCCTCCACCATAGACATCCCAGTCTTTCTGACTCTCCATTGGTGTGGAATTTTCCTGACCCAGCCCACTGCCTCTCCCTTAACCCTTTCCTACACTTTTCTATGGCACACAGCAAACTGAGGGATTGATCAGCAACTGAACATACTAGAGAGGTTTGGGGAGAAATCATCATGTTTTATAGGAGTTGTAGGTACTGGGATGTATAGTTCACCTGCAATCTAAGAGCATTCTGAACTCCACCAACAATGGACCTGGAACTAACTTGGCACACAGAACCCCCATACAGGAGGTCTTTGGAGGGATTCATAGGAGTTATAGTTCGCCTACATCCAGAGCACACTATGTTTGTATGTATGTGGCAGGCAATGTTTCTCTCTGCTTTCTGATTGGCTCCCACATCCACAGGCCACTGCAACCTCCATGAATCACGGACCTGGACCAAACTTGACACACAGACCCCCTTTGACCCACTTTACTTCAGGTGCAGTTTAGGGGAGGATGGTACTTGGATGATGAGATTTGCAGTAGCTTCACTGAATTCATCTCCCACAGACCACTGTGACCCCCGTGAATGATGGACCTGGATCAAACTTGGCACACAGATCCCCATGATCCACTTTACATCCTGTGCAGTTTGGGGGAGAATGGACAACAGATCATGGGATTTGCAGTACCTTCATTCACGTCCAGAGACCAGTGCGACCCCCACAGATCACAGACCTGGACCAAACTTGAAATACAGAACTCCTGGTACCCAATAGAACATAATGGAAGGGTTTGGGGAACAGATTCACCCACATGGGAGTTTTAGTTCACCCTGAACCCATAGAGCATGTGAACCCCCATCAATGATAGATCTGCACTACATTTGGCACACAGACCCAACATAGCCAATTGTGCATACAGGTGAGGTTTGGGGGTGATTGTCCTTGGCATATGGGAATGTAGTATCCCCGCACCCACTGAACCCAGCCGACATTGGATCTAGACTAAACTTGGAGCACAAACAAACAATGCTTTTTAAAATTATCCCAGGCATCACCGGTTCACCAAGATAGTATTGAATAAAACCAATGGTAACAGAAAAGAAAAAAATCAAACATTTTCCACATTCTAAGGAATCTGTCATTAAAAGGCACTCATGTTAATCACAAGGGGTACCCATTCATCTTAATGGGTAGTGTGACACTTAAGACCTCATCACGTTGAAGCTGGGGAACAGTGAGGGCATTTATTGGGCAGTGCTGCAAATCCTCTGGGCAGCATGGGAACCCGTTGCCTGCATCCCCCATTGCCCCTTCCCCATCCCACAGGGAGAAGCATTGCCGCACGGCTTTCCCCCACACTTTCCCTGTTCTACTTTATGAGAACACGGGAAGCCTCCCATGTTCTCCTTGCTTCATCGTAGGATGCTTCCAGCACAGTTCATGGATGGAACCCCACAGGAAGTAAATGTGCTCCATCGAGGAAGCATCCTGGAAGCATACTAGGACACTTTCCAAAGACAATGTGATAAGGTCCTAAGGCTTCCGGCAGCCCTGTAGCCAGAATTTTGATTCAGGAGGGGCTGAGTTTGATTGGGGAGGGGGCTGAGTCTGAGTGAAAAACTTTTGTATCATTACGCCAATACCCCCATGCATATGGGATATATTGAGAATGGTGATCAGATCATGATATGAATAAATATAACAGTTTAAATAATGTACCAGTAAGGCCTTCTCGCAGACCACCATGAGAGTTTCGGGGGGGGGGGGGCTGAAGCCCCTCAAGCCCCCTCCCTGGCTACATGCCTAGCTGCCGGTGTACCCACATTTATCTGGGATTACATCCCACTAAAACTAAAAATGGTTATTTTCTGAATATTATGCTTCAACATTACCAGCCAGATTTTTGTTGGTGATACATATTTACAAACCTAATATTGAATTACATCAGAGCACGTCTTTTTGTGGTCACTGTAGAAGGATATATTGACTACCTTCTTCTCACAATAATACCTCTTATGGAAAAGTCACCTTCTTCCTATAGAGACTGATTTGACATGAACACATGATGCATCAGCATACCTAGCAACAATGTCATCTGAGAGGATGCCTTTGTCAATAGGTATTTGGCTGTAGAGATACAGACGGATGCTCCTTGGCTGCTCCTGCTGTCCCCTAGTCACTGAATCATCGTGTTAAGAAGGAAGGTGAGTTCTCCATGTGGAGAAAAGGGATAGGGCAGAATTCCCATCTAGGATAACTTTACACTCTATCAAACAATGCAAAATCTTTGCCAATGCCATGACAATACAGATAATAAATGCAAGTGTTTATTGCCAGGGAAAAATCATAGGCTAAGGGAAATATATATAATAAATACAATTATTACTACACTGAAGATCTAGAAAGTATTTGATGTTGCTTTAGCATCTTTATGGACTTACAGCAAAGTTCTTTGGATCTCCATTTTCCTGGGTTTCCACCTTGAAGGACACAATCTCGGGAGTATTGGCTGAGAGTACTGCACACACAACTTGCAACCAGGTCAGAATGAGAAGATTTCTGAGAGCAGTCACACATGTCCTCAATGCAGAGGGATAAGTAGTCCTCAAGAGAAATCACTTTAGCACAATTCCCAAAACGAGACAAAGCCCTTTTGCACCTAGATTTCTGAAAGCAAGATTGGAGAGCTCGTACATGTACTGTACTTTACAGAAATCAATATTATATCAGCATTGATATTTTACACTTTGTTACATAACCTTCTAATGTAGTCCAACTTACATATCTACTTTTGCATTTATCTTGCTGGTAGGAGTTGTCTCTTTGCTTTCCCTTGTTTCCAAGAATATTAGGGCACTTCATTGTTGGATCCTCTACTTTTTGAAGATTTCCAAACTGCCATGGGGAAAGCTTATAACCTGTAAAATCCCATTGTTATTAGGGCGTTGTAAACCTTTGCACTGCCAATATTAAATGCTATCTTCATACCAGCCGTGTTTATGCATACGGGAAGGTGGATTGATTTCACTTCAAGGTCTAACATTTTTAACTGAAAATAAATAAACCTGTGAATATGAAGGTATTTGGAATTTAAGGAAAGAACATTTGTGCTTCACTGATAAACAGAGCTTTGGGATTGTAACAAATGTGTACACTATATTTTCATGGAGTTAGGAAAAATGCTTTATTATACCTGTACAAAATGCAGGTGCAGCAACACTATTGATAGACCATCATAATCCAGCTATTCTATTCCATTGTCATATATCAGCACTATCTTCCATTTTGAATTGCATAAATAAATTCTAGAGTGATTTCAAGAACCCCTGAAAAGCAAGGTTATCCATCAAACTTATACAAGTCAAACTGGGCTTATTCAGAATGATTGTAGAAATATTTTAATGGAAACATGGCATCTTTGAAACAGATTAAATCCAATCTGAATTGAAACTTTTTTTGTGAGTTGGAGATTTAGAGGCCAAAAAAAAAAAACTGGTAAGATTTCTTCCTGAAGCTATCTATGTAAAGGAAATGTTGGGGAGTTGGGTTAGGAGAGGGGAAGGAAAGGGAGAGGGAAAGGGATAACTTTGTGACTAGGAGCTCTAACTTCCAAAGCCAATTTTTGAGGAGAAATGTCAACTAGTGCCCATATGTATAAGGGAACCATTTGCTTCCTTTCTCCTTTTGTTTTATTTTCTATTTGGAGGAAAGGTCCATTTGGAGCTGCAATGGCCCAGAGATGGACAAAGATTAATCTTCATAATCTATAAATGAATTGGGAGCATTTGAGGGCAAAACACATTTTTGATTTTTTTTTTCAGATTGATAAAATGGGCATGCAGCTCTCCAAGGCCTCCTGGGAGAGACAATGCAGTCCACAACCCCTGACAGTTGCCGACTACTGGAGTGCTTTCACAGTAAGTTATAGAGTTATGATGCAATGACCAATATCTAATGGGATTTTGGACTTGAGGTTTAAAGAGTGACATTTAGGGACCGCAGCCAGAGAGATCTTGTACCTTAGCAAACTGCAAACCGTAGGATTTCATGGAATGTTTCCTAAAGGTCAGAGAACCATCCTCTATAAAGCATGACATCTAATATGATGCAAGTGTGTCTGTCCCTTCAAGTCACCTGTTGACTTATCATGATCCCATTAACTTCATAAGATTTTCTTACAGCTTACCATGAATAATCAGATCATTCTTTTCAGTGCCATCATAGTTTCCACACAAACCACAAGTCTTTCCCTTGTACGTATCTTCTAAATTCAACTAAGGAGAGATAAACAAAAGACAAACATTTGAGTTTTTCCCCTTTTCAGCAAGAAATAGTCAGAACTATGATATATAATACTATTTTGATCATGTTTCGGTGTGACATTGTGACACTTGAAAATATGTCACAATAGTGTATAGCCCCACATTTGCAGGTTTGAATTATTCGTGGATTTTGTTAAAATATTATATCTGGGAATCTCTAGGTTCTTCAGTGTGATTCTATGGTTGGCTTCTGATAGAGAAAGCCGAGTTTTTAAACTTTGTGTTTTCTCAAATACATTGGTTCGCTCCTGATATGATAAATAAATAAATTCTGGTAAGGATATGCTCCTTAGATTAATTTTTAATCACTTTTATTTGGGCCTCTACCCCTAGCCATGATGAATATGGAAGGCTAATTATACAGCCAAATGAAAGTTATTTTCTCTGATCTTAATTCTGTTTCTAAATGTGGAATTAATATCTATCTCACTGATGATTTAAATAATGATATGCCTTGAAAATTAGAATTGTCTGGACTAGTTAATTTAATTCAGGAGTTGCAATCATACAAATTACTATTGGATTATTACTTCTAGTGTAGCAACATATGCTGGGGAGTTATTTAAGATACAATTCTTGCATATTGTTGACAATAAAAAACAGAAAAATGGAGGGCTCTTTTTCTTTTCAAAATTAATTCCATGGATCAAGCCACATCTATTCATAATGTTGATAGCAAACAAAATGTGTGAAGTCTGGCAACCCATTACATTTTACCAGTTCTAAAATGTGTCAAAACAAATCCAACTAACTGGAGTTTCATACTAGGAGAGTGTCACCCCAATTCCACTTGAGAGTCAGGCCTAGTGTAGAGAAGATTTGGATGTAAGGGTAAATATCTTCTATTACAACGCTCTTCAGGCTGAAAGGTAGAGAAATTCTAAAAGAGGAGAAAATAAAGACATTTTAGAAAATAGCAATATTAATTGTTTCATGTTGAAAAGATTATTAGCCATTTTCTCTTACTATCACCTGGTGGCTGGATATTCCCACATCACTGGAGTAGTGAATCCTTTCCATGCTAGCTTTAAAGAAGATCTCCATGGTCCTGGAACTTCCTAGGAATAGACTTCAGATCCTTGAAGAAATCCTTTAAAGTCTGGATTAGAACAGGAAATTGGAATAATGCCTTACATAGAAACCTCTAGACCAGAGGCCAAGAAGCTTTTCGAGAATAAAAAGTCAAGAAGGAGAGAAAGAAGATGGTTGGACATACTTATTTCCTCTTTCTCTTCACCCTGTTCATCTCATCCACTGCTTACACATAGAGCCTGAAGACAATTCTTCTCTAGCTGCACCTGGCTTGGCCTGGCCTTGCACATGGAGTGAGCTAAGTGGTTTCAAAGACATTGCTCAGTGAGCAGAAATGTGTGACTTGGTGTAACAAGGGATGAAAAGCCATAAGTGCACAACAAGATGAGACGAGGGACAGAAGACTTTTGGAGACAGCTCTAAAATTATCAAGCTTTTGTTGTTTAAATGATGAGGATATATTCACTTGTTGTTTTTTTTGTTTTTGCAGCAGCAGTTTCTATTTTCTGAAATGCTTTCACATCTAGCAGAGACTACTCTAACTAGATCTGCATAAGAATGGAAAAATATTCATAAAGATTTGGGTCCCTGGGGAAAAAAAATGTTCTCTGTGTATCAGTCTTGATGACACATAACAACCTTCAGAGTTTAAGACTTACAATTCATCCCACAAGCGAGGGGAAAATGGAGGGAATCATCTTACTTTGTTCCTTCCCATCTTTCCCCATCTTCTGGGATGGCCAGCCACCCCATGTTCTTACTGTGTCAATGCCCATCTTTCCCCTGCTTTCTCCTGCTTTTCTCAGTTTGGAGTCAGGTGTTACTAAACTCTTGAAGATGGGTTTAGGGCTCCGTTTCCATGAGCTGCGGAAACAGAACTCCACAGAGTCCCACCAGAAGTGCCTGTACATCACGTGATTGCCTCTGTGGAACTCCTGTGAGGTTCCATTTCTGAAGGGCATGAAAATGGAGCCCTAAACCTGTGGGATGAATCTCAGGTCTGTGTGGAAAACATATTTTCCAGAGAAAAATATTTTTTCTTGACAAAAAAATATTTGGTTCAAAAAACAAATTTCTGGTACAAATATGTGCATATTTGTTGCAGAATAAACCCAGAACTGCAAATAATCCTTAAAACAACAGGTTGAAGAATGCTACATTATTTGATCATGCCCACAGGAACAAAACTTTTGAAGATTTATATCTGCTTAACACTCTTGCATACCTTCTAATGATTCTCTTGATATTCACATCCAGGAGTTCCAACATCATAAGCACACTCCCTTGTGACAAATTCGGCCTCAGTGCAGTATTCTCTGAAAGTTTGCCTCCAGAATGTTTTGAATCGTGGATGAGTGAGGGTAGTCTTGACTTTCATTCTTACTATTATGGCCCCTTCCACACAGCTGTATAAAATCCACATTGAACTAGATTATATAGCAGTGTGGATTCAGATAATCAAGTTCAAAGCAGATATTTTGGATTATCTGTCTTGATATTTTAGGTTATTTTGCTGTGTGGGCATTAAATCAATGCAAAAGAAAGTTTCACAGCTCCTTGCAGCTGGTTTGCAACATCATTTTCCACCAATTTTAGGACATGGTATAACTGTCAGCCGTTCTGCTTATAAATGGGAGCCACAGAAGAGTTTGCAGCTGGCACATGGGAATGCAAAAAATGCCTCCATATTTCATTTTTATCTTATTTTTCTATCAATTGTGTATGAGCATAATTCTCTGAGTAAGTTAAAAAAATGTAAAACCCCCTAGTGAAAAATATAAACGCCTGACAAATACAACAAAGGTCAGAATTAAAATAAATTGGATATATGCTGACTTTTGTTCCAATTCTGTCAAACAATGGCCCAAATAATTTCCTTTAAGAATCTCAATGTGACATTATGCAACACTTCATGAACACAGGGTAGCAAAAAAGGGAGAATTGATGGACCGCAAAGAACAAATAGCCAACAGTCCAAAGCACATTGTACAAAGAAGAACCCATTTTGAAAATATTTCTAAAAGAATTATTAATTTAAATGTCAGGTCCAATGATGCATATGAGCACCTGCTGTTTGCCAAACTGTGGGATAACCTGTGGTTTGTTTGTAAAGCTACACTGAAGGCAGTTTTTCACCTGTTACATTTTGCCATTTGGAACGAATACTCATTTACCATGTAAACTATACAATTTAGATCATTGGTTCTTAACCTGTGAGTTCCCAAGAGTTTTGGTCTACAACTCCCAGAAATCCAAGCCAGTTTATTAACTGTTAGGATTTCTGGGAGTTGAAGGCCCATCTGGGGACCCATAGGTTGAAAACCACTGATCTAAATGAACTGGTTTGACCATTGGCACAATGTGTCTCTTCTGCTCCGCGGGAGGTTTCTGTCCTCCCTGAGCTCGCCTTAGGACACCTGCATTACGGTTTGACAGGTGTACCGCCCCAGTCAAACTCCCCACCTGACGCTGTCCCCTTCATAGAGTTAAAAAGAATTGATGCATTGGGCAAGGAGGCTGAACAATATCTCATGGAGGCAATGGGGAACATCTATATTTATAAAAGCTGCAAAGCAGGAAAATGGCTACTGAGGGAAGCCCCCAGCTGCAGATATAGTAATGTAAAAGCCCCAGTTTTCTGCCGGTGTTCCTCATTGCTTCAGGAAACTGAAAACTTATGAGAGAGATGATTATCTTTTTCTGCCGAGAAATGCACTGTTAATTTATATGACTTTTTCATTCTTTCCCTTGAGCTCATATTCATGAAGTGGGGCATAGCTGTTTAATGAGGCGTACTACGTTTTGGTAAATAACACAGAGAGGCTAGCTTTTCCATCTGAAATGATGCAATATTCTTTATTTCCTCTTTTTGAAATACGCTGAAGTTTGGTCCTAATTTTTTTAAAGCGAATAACTGAATAAAGTTTCACTCAGTAAGTAAATCTTCTTCACATTTCCATTTTAGTAATCAAGAAAAATTACTGTAAGGTAGATAGCATATCTGGTGCTATTTTGTCTATTTTAGCCTGAGTAGAAAAGAATTTTTAATGATAATTGAAGCTATGAAGGACTAAGGACCCTAGCATACTCACTAGAGACGTAATTCCTCACTAAGTTTCATCTCAAAAGTAGAAACATGCTATTTCAATAATTTTCTTCCCACTGTGAGAAAATCCTCAAAAAGCACACTATTTCAAAGACTATTTGCAGTTTGGGCCTTAGGTAAAGGTAAAGGTTGTCCCCTGACATTAAGTCCAGTCATGTCTGACTCTGAGGTGTGGTGCTCATCTCCATTTCTAAGCCGAAGAGCCGGCGTTGTCCGTGGACACCTCCAAGTTCATGTGGCCAGCATGACTGCATGGAGTGCCGTTACCTTCCCATCGGAGCGGTATCTATTGATCTACTCACATTTGCATGTTTTCGAACTGCTAGGTTGGCAGAAGCTAGGGCTGACAGCGTAAGCTCACGCCGCTCCCCGGAATCGAACCTGCGACCTTTCGATCAACAAGCTCAGCAGCTCAGTGCTTTAACCCACTGCGCCATCGGGGGCTCCAGTTTGGGCCTTATTCTGTGCAAAATTTGCATGTGGGTATTTCTCACAGAAAATAGTATTTGCTGCATGGCAAATAATATTTCAATATTAATATAATTCCTGCACAGAACTCTAATTTCACCCTGTTTGGATTGTATGCAGACTAAATTTCCAATTATGGCTGGTCTTCATCTGAATGTTGAGGGGGCTATCCAAGGTGATCAACCCATTTTGGTGACCAGATTCAGCAGTATAAAAAGATCATTTAAAGTTCAGAGTAAAGTCCAGAGTGGACTTAACACCCTACCAGTATGGAATACGCCAACCACAGTTATCCTCATGTGGATCAATTCCATATGAATTATCTCCAGAATGGTATCAATAAATCAACCACTTTATTCATACTCTGCTTTTACCCATAAACTGGGACTTCTGGCAGCTTATTACAATGGTTATCAGATTTCACAGCTCAGAAAAGGCTACAGATTTGTGAATGCAGAAACAGTAATGTTCTTAAGAAAACAAGATGCATGAACTGAAGTTAGACAAACTCACGCATTCCCATCTACAGTGATACTTGATTCTTTCAGCTCCAGACGCACACCATCAATAGTGGCAGTGAAGTAGATGACTGTTCCATTCTTGATGCTCCTCATGATCTGAATATTGAAGTCCTGGTGGTCATCTTTGCAGTGGGAGGCAAAAACATAGTAGCAAAGTCCAGGAAAGTTAAATTTCATGTGGTCAAATGTTTGAAAATGGAAGTTACCCCAAGTGGAACATTCACTGCTGGTGACTGCTGCATGTTGGACTACAGAGAGAATCAAGAAGGTTAGAAGGATAATAAAATGGGCTACAAGCATTCATAACCATAGTATCATATCTAAACATTCAAAGAAAGAGACTAAAAAGTGTGACACAATTATTAAACAATAGCAAATATTTACATATTACTTCTGTCTTTGAAAGCCTCACATCCTGAGTTATGTAGATCACGGAGGCTACCATATTGTCCCATTTATTTAATTTACTCTCTACATTTCTCCTGCTAGTTGAAATGGGAAAGTAAGGAGCAGAGTGAAAACCAAATAGGACAGAGGAAAGTAAACGAGAGCTTTAATGTACATATAATTGATGGCCTCTTTATATTAGCCACCAGGTGAAGTGTCCCTCTTCACCTGCCTTAGCCATAGAAATGGAGAGCAGTTGGGGCAAATCTGTTATCCTGTGCACTACTCCCTCACAGCAATGCTACCCCCATCACATGGGGCAAGCATTACTCAGACAGCATAAAATTGTGCTGGCTCCATTGGAGCCAACACAACAAGATGCCTCTTGTGTTGAAAGTGAAGTGTCAAATGATGTTTCTATTCCAGTTGGAAGTTGCTTTGTGTCATCTGTGGAAGCTCCTTTAATGGGTGGCATGCTCACCCAAATTGTAGCTGAAGTGGAAGCATCGTAAGACACTTCCAGAAGTAAGTATGATAAGGAAGGAGACACATGAAGCAAAGCTCAAGCAGCTAAAATTACATGGTGGCAGAAAATGAAAGCCAAGAGGATATGGTGCCGGTAACAAAATGGGGACTTGGCCCCCCACAAATAAGAATTCTGTCTCCAAATGCATTTTTCTTTCAGCCCCCAAATTATGTTTTGTCTAAATATGATAATGCCAACAGAGCAAGTGATCACATGCTTTAATGTTGCAGAAATGCTTGAAACAGCACATCTGATTTTAGTGTTTGGACCTGACTAGAGAGCTCAGAAATGGGTTCCTGAGAGTTTTAGTTCACCAAAGGTTCCATTCCTCAGCTTCATAGATTACTGCATGAATAGCTGACTGGAAGTAGAACATTATTTCCAATTTACATTGGGGTATAATAAATCTTTTGAACACCTTCATATCCCATTCAATAAAAGAATTCAATGTATGCTTGAGCACTCACATTTAAATCAATATATATCAATCCTGTTTTAAGTGCAGACAGCTGATAGTTGTTTTATTATGTGGGAATCAGGTATAATTAGCTCAAATCTAACATTTAATAGCATCTGGACAAAAAGTATGAAAAAACAGATTTTCTTCTTACCCTTCTGTATCAATGTTTTGCTGTGGCAGCAACTGCAGAGAATGCATAAAATCCACAAGTGGCTTCCTTTCATTATTCCAGTCATCCTAAACAGGATGGTAGCAGGACAATTTTCTCCTGGGAAGTGATTTCTTTCTTGTTCTTGGTTTATGGTCCAATTATTTTGGCATATGAACAAACAATGAAACTTTGAAGTCTCAACAATTACTCCTCACTAGTTTAAAAGAACTGAGAGGACAACTTGTTTCTCTTGTAGATTTAGAATGATAAAAGACATTTGGTTCTTCATCTCCATAACATTACATTTAAGCTTTGATTCTGTTAGGGTTTCCGACTTTCCCCAGACTAAGCTTGGATGTGTTCCACAATCCAGACAGGTGCCAAAAAACCTTCATCAGCTGCATGAAGCTGTGTCTTGATTTCCTTCAATGATTTTACTGCATTGCTCATGAAGTCTGCCTTGAGACACTAGCCTATGCATCCACGTCCCATTTTGTTCAATATCTTTAAGAAGAAAAGTGAGCAATCCCAAAGTCATAGGTGCACTTGAAATTATGCTTCCTGACTTTTTCCCTCCATTTTTTTCTGTATCTAAAGACAAGAGGTCACAAAGGTAGATAACCCGTGTTTTGCCTGTTGTACTTAAGATTTCACATGGCAGTTGGATGTTCTGCCATACAAAATAAACAGAGAAGGAAACAGAAATTTGTGCTAGAATACTTCTTCCTGGTATAGTGTTCTACAATGTGTATAAATGTAGATAGAGATTAGAGCTCAGTTAAGGTATTTTGCAAGGTGATTAAAACAAATGTATGTTGAGAGAGAAGGTTAACACCACCTCTCTTTTCTCATTGCTCTTTTCAAGTAAAGAAAAATAATCAGATATAGAGAGTCATTTCTATACTTACAGGACTGATGGGTTTCAGGGCATCTTGGAGAACTGCTAAGCTTCCCTAGGTATCAAAGCATACAGAAAACTCTCAGGACAAATAGCTTTGGGGAAGGACGTTTGATCTTTGTTTATGAAATGAAGTTAACATGGAGGTGCCAATCTCTATTCATTACCAATGGTTTACAAGACTACTCATTGGCTGAAAGTGAAGATGTTTGCATGTGCCTTACATTTTGCATGCATCACACACCAGAAAGAAAGAAAGAAAGAAAGAAAGAAAGAAAGAAAGAAAGAAAGAAAGAAAGAAAGAAAGAAAGAAAGAAAGAAAGAAAGGGGAAATGCATGCTTTGATCCATTTGTGAAATTTGGAGCAAAGCAGATAGAGCAATTTCGAAGTCATGAATCATGAATCTTTTTGATCTACAAGCTCTGGACGAAGCAGCAGAGTAGGGCCTTGAATGGGTCATGTGTGCTGTAGGTAAGGTTGTATGGAATGTGAGCCCTACAATGAATGGTGGCAACTGCTGTCCTCACTGAGTAAATTTTGCTTTCTGCCCATCCTTGCCCTCATCCTTAGGCATGTCTTGACAAAAAGGCACCAGATCATTGAAGAGTTATGGAGATGCCTGAGTCTGGCCAGAGAGGACCTCCGGTCAAAAACATGTCATGTCCAAAGGTGGGGAACAAAAATAAGGGCCATGCATAAAAGCTGACAACACATGGCTGGTCTTTCTCTTTGATTGTCATCCTCCTCCTGTGACAACTAATGGATTTGTGAGTAGCATTGTAAATAAAGTATTTGTACCACCCAGCTGCGCTGAATGGCTGGAGTATAATGTGCCTTAATTGATGGCCAGCAGGGAGGAGAAAGAGTAAAATGCATAATTATAAGCAGATGCTTTTAAGTTGTGGGATGTTAGTCCACCAGGGTTTTGAGGGAGTACTGGTCACACCCACAGTTATCACTTAATGTAGCTTTCTGGAAAGGCTGGCAGGGGGATTGGACTGAATGGCTTTTGAGGTCTCTTCTGGTTCTATGATTCTAAATGCAAACCTAGGCCACCAAAGTTGAATCACCCCTTTACTATTCCAATGCCCTTGTTTAATGTTGGATCTTCAACAGAGGGTACACTAATTTTGTTGTCTCTGACTGAAATAGACCAATCCTTTATTCCTTAAGGATGTTTTTACAGCAACCATGACCGATTACTCTCCAGCCTCTATTTAAGTACCAAGAGCAAATGGGAACCTGCCACATTCTGAAGTAGTCCATTTCATTGTCAAAACAATTGGTTGTATTGTTTCTGATATCTAGCTGAAATTTATATTCTTACAATTTTCACATTTTAATTCTTGCCCTGACCCTTGGAACAATAAATCAAAACTCTCCTTTTGCATGACAGCTTATTAGAGAACTGAACACTATTTTCAAGTTTCCTTTCAATCTTCTTTTCTCTGTGAAAAACATATAACACAACAAAAAATCTTCATACAATTTATCTTCCAGAACATTTCCCTCCTTGACACTTTGCTTTTGGAAAAACAATTATAAACACAACCACAATAATATCTAACCTTATTTTTGTTTCAGCTGAAATTAATTTTGCCATTTGACTAATGGACAGTAGAACCAATGGCAGAGAAGAGCACTGCTAGCCCAAACCTAGGGCCCTTTTACACATGCTTAAAAACCTGGGAAAAATAGGATATAAGGAAGGGTGGCTAAATGATGTTTAGGGAAATCAGTGTGGAATCTGGTTAACAGCTGAAAAGCATAGGTTTAGAAGGTGTACTTAAAACCCAATTCCAGACAAAAAAAATCTACATTTTCACATGACTATATATCTCTGCTATCACGGAAAACATGTGACTTTCTTTTGATCTCCTGGTGTGGACTGCTCCAGCGCACATGCACATTCTAAAAGTCAGAAACTGCTGATAGGGTTGTCAAAAATGGAGCCATGTTCACACAGGTGGCTCAGTCTAAGCACAGTTGGAAAGCAATTAGAACTCTCTGCAACCATTCCTTAGTTCTAATATTTTTAATATTAAACAGAGCTTGAATTTATAAGTGGATTAAGAAATCTGTTTGTGTACATTAGATTCTCCGCATGAGCGCATATGGGATCCAGCACATCTCAGAGAGAATTTTTTTTTAAAAAAACCAAACTTCCACCAGATGTCCTCCCCCCCCCCCCCCCCCCCCTATCTTTCAGACTTGTAAAATCCACTTCAAAGTAAGTTGTGCGGATGACGGGGCAGCATTTCCCAAGACTTACAGTTCTGTGTGTGGACTTGCTGGTAGGTCACGAGAGGTTTTGCCCCACTGTTTAAACCCGCATTTTGACACTGTCTGGAATTGCCCCTAGAGAGCAAACCACTGTCACACATTTTTTTCTGGCCCTGATGTTGTCCAAACATACCACTTCCATTCTTCAGTTGGATTGGTCAATGGTTTTCCTCAGAATGGCTATGTGTCCTTTGCAAAGACAACCCTCTATTTCTAGTCATCCACTTTCATGGTCTGCTCCTTACAAATACAGTAGAATGTCTACTTAAGAGTGTCTGAACTTAATTGTATTTTTAGTTAAGAGCTGTCACTTGGCCTGGGTTTTGTTTTGAGATAAAAGCAGCATTTTGAGTTAAGAACTATCACCAGAGAGAGTGCAAGAGTGAGAGTCCAGGGCTTTAAGGCTTCAAGGGAGCAGCCTCTTTGCCTCGTGCCTCCATGCCTTGTGCTCTTCTGCACTTTGAGAGATTGCTGTCTGCTTTCCTCTTGTCCACCTTAAGGAACTTTGGGTTAGTTGATATTGTGTGGTTTTTATTCCTGGTATGTTTGACCTTATGAAGAGAGGGGAGAGAGAGAGAGAGAGCAAGAGAGGGAGGGAGGCTGGAATGGGTACAGTATGAAGACAATGATGCTTCTGTCTCTTCACTTTGTGTTTTTTTGCCACAACTTTGTGCTTTTTCCATTGTAGAGTTGATCTTTCTTTTTTATTGTTCCATGTAAATGTGCTGGTTTTGCCTTGCTGCTACCTTGGCAAACATGCATTTTTTGCCTCAAACATGTTTCTTTCCACAACTTTGTGCTTCTATCATTTTAAAGTTGATCTTACTTTTTTATTGTTCCATATGAATGTGCATGTATGCATTATTAGTTATTTATAAAGTACATTTACTTATTTAAAAATACGTAACAAACAATGTGGGGTGTTTGGGGGACTGGAACTGATTAATACCATTTTAATTGGAAATTCACTTTGAGATAAGAGCATTTTGAGTTAAGAGTTTGGTCATGGAACAACTTAAACACTTAAGTCAAGGTATCACTGAATACTACAGCTACTGATAATAATAATACTAATAATAATAACAACTTTATTTTTGTACCCCGTCTCCATCTCCCAAAAGGGACTCAGGGCAGCTTACATGGATATGAGCCTGAGCAGCATGATTAAAAAATAGCACTGTTTGGATCAAAGGGGTTTAAAAAAAAAAAGATATGAAGGCAAGGGCCTACAATTGCACATCAATTGTTAGTATTTAAAAGCCCATATTCCTTGTTCTTGGCAAATCCTAGTAGCCTTTCCTTTTTTAATTTGTAGACCAATTAATTGGTCATGCATAGCTAAACTGGATCTCTGTACTAATGTATCGTCTGTTATTCTCAACTTAGCCCTCAGGATGCATACAGTTATAAGAGATTTTACATCTTCAGATTAAATACCATTATAATTATTATTATTTTTCTTTGTTTTCTAAAGGAGCCGCTGCCATTGTTGTCCATTACTGGAATTTCCTTCTATCAGCCCCACCTGAGTATCAGAGGCCATGACAGTGAATTGTTATTATTGCTTTTTAGACATATTGCCATATGAAGTTTGTTTTTCACTACTGCTCTAAATCATCAGTGAAGCCATGGATCCTATTTGTCACAGATATAGAGGCTTTGGAGCTACATTTGTCATGGTCCATTTGCTACAGTGAAGTATTTGATTTTTGACAATGCAAAGCTTAAACATTAACTGTGTACTTTACTTCAAAGGGTGGTGGGTGAGGAATCTTTTATGGATCTGATTCACCAGTTTGAAGCACAGAAGGAACTGTGAAGTGACTGGATGGAAGGTCAAAGTCTGGGTGTAAGGCAGGAGCTTGTAGATACTTCGAAAGCTGGAACAGCAACCAATAGCAAAACCCATGGGGTTCCAATGAAACAAATGAATCTTGAAGGAAAAATGCAATATAATTCCAAAAAGTTTCTTAATGTTTAAGTTTGTTAATGTATATGAGAGACACCATTTTATTATGTCATTGTATATAATAGGACTATAAATGTTGGCATCCATGAGAGATACTGGAACCAAAAGCCCAGCACATACCAAGGGCTCACTGTGTTATCTTGGAATTCCAAAGACCAGTTCTTACTGCTATTGTTTGGGGACATTTGAGATTTTATCACATTTACTGACAAAATTGAATGCAGAGACCTCATTTTTAAATGTGCTTTTTAATTATTAGAAGCAAAAGAAGCTGATTCAAAACGGTTCAACTTATGAAGTCTCACTTTGTTTTAACACTCAGTAGAAACCTTTTCTTAAACATGTTTGGTTTTACACAAATAAATAAACATAACAGAAAACTATCAGAGGACATAGACTCTGAGAGCTATGGAAAATAAGGCAAAATTACTTCTGAAAAAAAAGCTTAATTATGTGAAGTTGCTATCTTTTTTTTTAATTTTTACATTTTTTAACCTGATGTTTAGGTTAAGAACATCAGTCCCATTCTTCACTTTACTGTTCTTTTAACTGTTCTCCTGATTAATTCTGTTCATCTTCCAGTCCTTAGACTGTGCCATGCTACTTTCGTCTTTGAGATTCTTCTGCTGCATCACAGTCAGTCTCTTGACATTCACAACTTTCCACGTGGAGGTAGCTATGCTTCTTGAGCTGTTTATTAGGACATATCAGTGTGATGTCTTTCATGGTGGTTTTTGACTCCCTGCAGCAGCTGCATTTATGTTCCATTGAGTTGGCTTGAGAAGAGTATCTATTTTATGAAGAGATGAAAATAGTTACTGAATTGTTTGCACAACAAATGGAATAATGTCTGAAGAACTACCTGGGTGTTAGGATTGCAAATAAGCAATATTAGACTTACTTGCAATCCTAAATTCCATTTTTGCCATTTCATATACACTCTAGTATAATACATTTTAAACATCTATTAGTGAGCCAGTTGTGAAAGCTGTTATCTAAACCAGCACTGAAAAAAAGTCATCAAGTTGGAAGAGACCTCATAGGCCATCCAATTCAACCCAGTCCAAATGCCAGTGCCACAGTACTAGTGCAATGGACCTTTCTTCTCTTTCCATCTGAAGCCCTGAGAAATGACTCCAAAAGGGCTCCAGGAGAGAGAATGAATGCTTTTTTTGTTGGGTGAGATTGGTGGTTTTTATAGAGACATGAAATCATTTCCAAAACTGTATTCAGTAGGATTGACAGATTCAGTATTGTTTATCAGCTGAAGAGCATCCCAGTCCCAAGACTGCATGGCCAGAGCCTGAGACATAGGGACAGTGACTGGGAAGGTCACAGGTTACAAGGCCTGGGATGCCTTTAAACATAATATATTAAGCATCAACTGGAGCTACTCATACTATGCCTCCAAATTATTTTTAAAAGTAGGTCTAACAAATAAAGTAGTGTACAAAACTTTACACTATCAACTTATTTCTCTCAGTTAGTCTCAAAGGTGCTACAAGTTCCATTTCCATACCAATACAAACCCAATGCATCCTACAACAATAGGAACCAGCACCATGCAATTTAATATATATATATATATATATTATTTTTGAGGCTAGCTCTTGCGTTGAGATTCCTCTCTTGACTCTTAGTGCTGGAGAAGAGGAAAGTCAGGATCAGGCCTTACAGTCCAGGACCCCAAATACTGAGAGCACTGAGTGCCTAAAAAATCTGAACAGATCCCCGCAAGGAAACCTTATTCAGGTAAATTAGCCAAAACTGCTGACTTCCCATTTGCACTGTTCTTGAAAGGAAATTATTCTATTAGTTCATTTATCCAAATGACCTGTGGATGTCCAAAACACTGGGCTATTTTGAAGGAGTCTTTTCATACATATCTTTATTTGGTTTACCATTGTATGTGGCACAAGTAAAGGTACCACAGTAAATCTGATACAATTGGATAGCTGTAGTATGCTTTGCATATACATTTATTTGCTTTGGCTATTGGTTTGTTTTGGCTTACGTACTTTGATGAAGTTGTACATGTTCCCTCACACTGGTTCACAGCAACTAGGTCCTCTGAACGACAGCCCTCGTAAGTAATGTAGTCCTTGCTTACAGAAGGATAGCATGTTGGTGTTGTCTCTGATGTCACATAGTGGCCTGTTCAAGAAATTTGAAGAGATATAAATTCAAACACTTACCAAAACCTCTGCTTCTTGTTATAAGAGTTCAACCTTTCATTAAACACCTAATTTGTGATATGTAATGTCCTCCTTTTGTTTTCTTTTAAAATTAAATTAAATTTTAATAACTTCAGGCTCAAAGTTTTATTGAGCATTTTTGAACAAAATGGTCACTTCACTGAAATATCAAAACAACAGTTATGTTGGTAGGGATATATAACATGATAAATTAATATGAGGGCAACATTATTAAATGCATTGAGAGAATGCTTTCATTGTGGAGAAGTGAATTTGGATACTCCATACTATCAAACCCCAAGTTAGTGCCAAGTTTGTTTTCTTATCACTTTGTGTATGTGCATGTGTACAACAATTTCTTGAAATATGATTTCTTTCCTATATTTTAGCCAGAGCTTTAAATGGGGACTTTTTTGGATTACAGTTCCAAAACTTCTAAGGCAGAAAAGTGAGTGGTCATGTTGACTGCAAACTTGAGTACTGCAGTAAAAAAAAACCCTTTAAAACTCTGAATTTAGCATACAAAAGCTACCTTTTCTTTTCATGTTTTGCCAAATCAAAACACAGTCTTAACTGGTGAAGATAACCATGCAACAGGATTACTCCCTGGCCCAACAACATCATGTCATTGTAGGACATGGAGTAGGACATTTGGATCTGGAGTAATTAATTCATCTATTTTCTCATCCTTTGAAATTTTCTTGTAGCAGGTTCTAGAATGCATCTACCTTGTAGATTTAACACAATTTGACTTCAATTGCATTGACTTAATGATATGGAGTCCTGGGATTTTAGTTTGGTGAAGAACCAGTAGTCTTTGGCACAGAAAGCAAAAGATCTTGCACCATTCACATGATTCCATAGCATTGAGTCAAGGCAGTTAAAGTGGTGTCAAATTGCATTAATTTTATGGGGCAGGACTCTTATTTAGGAGGCCTCTTTGGTCAGTGCGTAGCGGAGGGCATTTCTGTGGACTGAAGAGACTTGTGCCTAATCAAAATCCCATTAAGACCCTGCCTTTGTATCATTTCCATCTTCTATATCAGAGTTTCTCAAACCATGATCCTCCAGATGTTTTGGACTTCAGCTCCCACAATTCCTAACAGCTGGTAAACTGGCTGAGATTTCTGAGAGCTGAAGTCCAAAACATCTGGAGGAGCAGAGTTTGAGAAACACTGTTCTATATATTTCCAATTCAATAGGCTTCTCAAATGACTACCCATGAAAAAGTAGAAAGGACAAAGAAAAAAATAACGAATGAACCACTAAGCTGTTTCTAATAAATTGTTAATGTCTGCAAAGGTCTGCAAAGGCCAATTGAGTAAGGGCCTCATCATACAGATGAGGCCCTTCCTCATTTTCTGGCAAAACAGAAGGCACGTCCTCCTTCCTTCCCCTATCACATGCATGCTGCCGCATTGCCCTTTTCTCCATCAGATGGGGAAAAGGGCAGAAAAACACAGCTTACCTTGTATTGCTGGCAACACTACTTCGGAGATCAATGGGTTGGGGAGAAACCATCATTGTGTGATGGCACTCAGCAGACCCCATCCCCGAAGAGGAACAAGGGGCCAAAAGCCCCTTATGTGATAAGGTAGTAAGTCTGTTTCAAAAATCCTCATTCCCATGAGAAAAAACCTAGCTTTTAAGTAAACAATTTCAGTTCAGTATCTCAGGTTTATAATTCTTTGGCTCTAGAAAATATTTATATATATTAGTTGTCACTAATATTTAAAACATATTATATCGTCAATTAGCAGAATACACATGTATACGTATGGATGCATTAATGCAGCACATAATGGAGTAGATTAAAGAGAGAGGCAGACAGTTATAAAGAGAAGTAGATATGACATAATCTTTTGAAATGGATATATAATTCTGTTATCATACTTACATGTTTTGCAACAGCCACTAGGCAAAAATGAAATGGTGCCCTATAAAATAATATTTGCATTATTTAACGTTGCATCCACCTAGAACAGCAAAACCTCACACTGTAAACAATTGTGATCCAGCTCTATACTGTAATAACACATACAGGTCACCCTCACATATGTAATAATGTCTTGTTACTTCAGGGTCACAAAAAGGCAAACATTCTGTAAATGTTTATTAAGAGAAGCTGATGTATAACTATCCTGAAAAAATATATTTAAAGCATTAAACTGATAATGCCCCAAACCTGACTTATAAGGTGAATAGAATATGTTCTCATTTAATAATTGCTGGCTTCTAATGTCAATTACTATCTATATATAAAGAATGGGCAATTGCTCCTTATAGAATCATAGAATCATAGAATCAAAGAGTTGGAAGAGACCTCATGGGCCATCCAGTCCAACCCCCTGCCAAGAAGCAGGAATATTGCATTCAAATCACCCCTGACAGATGGCCATCCAGCCTCTGCTTAAAAGCTTCCAAAGAAGGAGCCTCCACCACACTCCGGGGCAGAGAGTTCCACTGCTGAACGGCCCTTAAGAGGGTTTTGACACTCACCAGCCTCACTCAGCATGGCCTATGGTGGAGGATTATTGACTTGTGGTCCAAACATCCTGAAGACCAAACGTTCTCCAGGCTAAGTCTATACCTATCAATCAAGCATCTAGCTGAATCTTCTTTCAGATCCACCTCCCTACACATTTTAAACGATAGATATTTGTAGGGTATAACAGAAAACCCAGCTGTACTATTTCTTGCTCACAGTGACTCAGAATCAAACTGGAAGTTTTCACAAAACCAATGCACATAGTGAACATTCACTCACAGGTTCACATCTCTCCTCATTAAACGGTGGGCAGCTAATCACAGAAGTGGAAGAGATCAGCTGGTTATTGATCTTCACACAGCTGTAAACAGTGCAGTTGTCTTTCGGATCACTCATTTGTTCACCAGGCTGGATAACAAAAGGGGACAAACTTAGGTTGGCTAAACAACTTCATGTTTTCCATAGGCATTTTTCCTCACTAGTAACAGAGTAGTCATTATAGTGGTATGGCTTTTGAGAAAGGTTAAAAAACACATTTTGCCACCCTCCCTGGCTATTCGAAGTGACAAATTTCATTCAGATTGGACAAAGAATCTCCACTGTAGGAACAAGGAGGCCATATCCTATAATGTTCAGGGGAGACCTGTCTTGTCTTCTGTTAGTTATAACTATTATCTGTTCAACCAAGAAGTTATGAAAAAAAAATTTCTTGTACTATTTAGTTATGAGCGTTATCCCAGACACATATCAGGAAGAACAGTCAAGGTATTATTGAAAAAGAAAATGAAGTGTAATGTAAAAATAAATGTGCTTAATCAATTTTTGCACTATTATTTTTGTTTTCATCCCCTTTATATTTACCAAAAACAGGAGGGATACAATAGTTTCTTTTGTTTCTAAAATAACTGAACATCCCCTTAGACAAATTTGATAGAGACTTTAGAATCTTGACGACGGGAAGTAATGCAAGGGACCAAGGGTGAATGTTATATATTTGTGAGAAAATATCCTGACTATCATTTTTTTTAAAAAAAAAACAACTGTAGTAATTGGGTTTTTTCATGCAGCAGATATTAACAAATTACAAAGAAATCAGTGCAACATACTTACTCTTAAGAGGAGAGCCTTCTCATTTGTTTGTGCCACACAATATGTCTGCACACATTTCCCACAGCATTCACCAGGGTACAATATGAGAGAATATCCCTAGGGGGGGAAAGAGACAATCAGGTCTACCTAGAGCAAAGTGATAGATAGTTTACGCATATACACAAAGTCAAGGTAAAGTAAAAACAAAATAATTAATCATCTGCTGTCTGTGCTCATGACTTCTCTATACCTAATGATAGTTCTGGCCCTGCACAGAATTATGTTGGACAGGTAAAATCTCCAGCAAAATGTTGCAGTGTGGCATTTTCAGCCTTCATCCAACTAGCTTTGCTCTCTTCTGTTCAATTCCCTTTCCTCCCAACACTCAGCACTATTTAGGTTGCTTTTGTTCTCTCCTCCACAATATCTATGTTTTTCATCCAAATTATGTTTTTGCACTTCTACAAATATTTTCCTAAATAAAACCAAATTAGATATATTGATTTGTTTTGTTGATTGATTGATTTTGCTGGAAGAGACAAAGAAGAACCCTTCCAATATTCTATGCACAGAAGTCATTGGGACTGGCATGTCAGCTCTGATCACAGGATAATATTTTTAACTGGTTCTCTATTCAGCAGAAGCGCTGATGGGCCACACACAGCTCTGCCTGTCAACACCCCACCTCTGTTTATCTGCTGTCTGAAGCAGTTACCTCCCTATGCTTATGGTAGTGCTGACTCTCCCCTTGAGACTACCGATAGTCCTTTCTGCATGGTAGTGTCTTTCAGGTTACATAATTTTTTTTAATGTGTCAGAAGCGACTTGAGATACTGCAAGTCGTTTCTGGTGTGAAAGAATTGGCCATCTACAGAGACATTGCCCAGGGGACGTCTGGATGTGTTACCATCCTGTGGGAGGCTTCTCTCATGGCCCCACATGGGAAGCTGGAGCTTACAGATGGGAGCTCACCCTGCTTCATGGATTTGAACTGCTGATCTTCAGGTCAGCAGTTCAGCCAGCACAAGGGTTTAACCCATTGCATCACCATGGCCCACAAGCTACATAAATGAGTTCATTATTGTTACACCATTAATCCCTATACACTTATGGCATTGTGTATTCTATGTAATCTACTATGCAAGCAGGCTATGTTGCTATTTATAAGGAACGGAGACTGATGTGGTGCTCTTGACTGTCCCATCAGTAGAAAACTAAAACATTCAGTCTCCATTTTACAGCAATCTTCCACAAATATGTATAGCTCCTCCTGCTTTGTACAGGTGCTTTCATTCATTTATGTGTGTGCTTTTTTTGAAGTAGTTGATTCTTACTTGTTCGCATGTCACATTGCATGGGACATGGCCACAGGTTATGATATTCAATTGTGTCTTCTTGTCTTGATTGTGAGTGCACAGACATTGCTCACACTTCGCTCCTACAACTTCAGAACCAGGCTGAAACACAGGAGCAAGACACAAAATGTTAGCAAAACAAAAATGTAGAAGAGACCTGCTTAAATTCTGGTTAAATCCAGAAACTATTCAATAGTTATTTGATGGTGAGGATGAGCCTGAGTAGGAAAGCTACATCTCAACAATAAGATAAATATGAGTGAAGCTATGCACATTTCTTTGCTTTCCTGCAAGTTTCAAAAGTTACTTTTATTAGATGTTTTGAAGGTATTTTAGGAACATTTTTCAGGTTTGATGCCATTTCTCTGTGAGGTTTTCCTCCAATAAACCAATGGAATATACAGGAAGACTTACAAATATTGCAGCAATTAAGATGATAATGATGATGATGATGATGATGATGATGATGATAATAATAATAATAATAATAATAATAATAATAATTGTATTTCTTGCCCTCCCTCCTCTCCACATGGCTCAAGGTGGGTTACAACATTTTCGTTAAAGTCTATTCTTTTAACTATACTATTAATAGTTTAGTTATATTTTAATGTTCATTTTTGTATGTTTTCAATTGTATTGTTCCTTTAAATTGTAAGTTAGAGTCCTATTTTACAATACACATTCACCTAAAAACATTTTTAAAAAAACATATTAAAGCATATTTCCACAAAATACACATTAAAATACACAAAAAGGGATTAAAGATAAGATGCAAGTTTAAAATTAGTCATTAAAACTGTCTGGGTAGGCCTGCTACCATTGACTGAGTACCAACAATAAAAAATGGAACTGCCCAGTCTCTATTAATTTAGATTAGTAAAAGTAGATAGAAATATATCACTGATCACACTGGCAGATTCTAATTTTCCACATAGAGTTATAAGGTGTTTTTTTTCTTGAATATTATCTGTATTCTGTCAATCTCATGTACATTTACAAATTAAATCCCATTGTGTTTGATGGGGCTTCTTCTCTAGCAAGGAAATATAATATGGGATTCCGGTACGCAGGTTTAGACTTGTGCTATTAACTGCTGAGAAATCCATATGGTAATGAAATATTTAGTAATTTATTATTACATTTGAGCTCTAAAAACAGATACATTGATAATTAACCCTGATTTTCCCCCTCATAAAATAACATTAGAGACCCTCACACCAGAGGAAAAATAAATCTTACCTTATACTCATTACCATCTTGCACACAAACCCCCTTAGGCTCTACAAGCAAAGAGAAGGCAATTATTAAAAAGCTTTAGATTGTTTTTTAAAAACCTGCAACTGTATATTTAAAATTGTAACCTTTTCTATAGCTGCCTAGCATACTTTTCTCTGTTTGGCAGGACTGCAGCTCACAGCATCCAAGACCAATGGTGCTGCTGAATAGGTCTGCTGGGAATTGCAGTCCAACGTTTGGAAGTCTGTGGAATTCCCACCCCTCATTTACTGGACAGTTTTAAAAAAATAAAGAATTGTACACTGTAAATTAATGGGACTGATTGGATTGCTGGATGGCTGTCTCATTTCCCTACTGGTGAAGAGACAGGACTGTTAGCACCAAAGGTCACCCATTCAGCTCTGGGAAATGGCAGCAATCAATAGAAAATGTTTTAAGGGGAAAAGAAAGCTTGAGTGAATTCAAGACTGGGTGTTGTGTGGTTTCTGGGCTGTATGGCCATGTTCTAGCAGCATTTTCTCCTGATGTTTCACCTGCATTGGTGACTGGCATCTTCAGAGGATCCACAGACAGATGAGAATCTCCTGAAAATGCCAGCTACAGATGCAGGTGAAACATCAGGAGAAAATGCTGCTAGAACATGGCCATACAGCCTGGAAACCACACAACACCCCAGTGATTCCGACCATGAAAACCTTCAACAATACATTGATTTTTTGGATTTTTTGTTTCTATTTTCAATTGATTAATTGGTTGATTTCAACTGATTGGGTGGCATTGAAAGAGAGTCTATCGGGTATTCTGAAATATAATGGTTTGATTGGGGCTGAACTTTATATTTCTCTAAAAGTTGTCTTCTTTTATGGCCCTTCCACACAGACATATAATTCATAATATCAAGGCTGAAAATCCCATAATATCTGCTTTGAAGTGGGTTATCTGAGTCCACACTGCCATATATTTCAGTTCAAAGCAGAAAATGTGGCATTTTATTCAGCTGTGTGGAAGGAGCCTTAAAGGCACTTTTCCAATCTGATTAACCAATTCTTGGGAAAAGGTGAAAACAATTCCATAAAACTAGAAACTCAGCGTTACTAATTTTTCACAGGGGGTAGGTAAAACCTGCCACACTTAATAGTGGTTCCAGTTGTACAATCTTCTGCTGAAGTGTATGTGGGCTGTGATCTAGGGACAATAACACAGACATCCCTCCCATTGCAAACAGATGAACCTGCTCCTCAGCAAACATGCTTACAATTAGAGTGTTAAACTTATGGTTTTCATTTTTCCAAGGTCAATTAAAATGGACTTACTGCATTCATAAACAGGGCAACAGCCACCTACAGGAACCTCAGAAGAAGCTTGAAACCCTGGTGGACAATCAGGAGGCTTAGTTGAGCAGTCACTGGAATTGCACACTGTGAAACAAAAAGAATAACAATGAATACCAGGGATAGCTGGATCTCTTCCTAAATAATCCTGATCCAAGATGTCTGAAGGGAGCAGGGGCTGTGCATCTTGCAAATCATTTCTGTGTTGAAATCTTTCCTATTGTCAGCATTTTTATCCAGGTGTTATTTTAATAGAATACCCTTGTTGACTTGTTTTCTCCATATTAAAAAAAAATCCTGCAAGTGATTTACACTTGAAACCAAAACTCCTTCTGGCTTGTCTGTCCACATGGACAGGGCCCCTTCAGCTGTATCTTAGCAGCTTGAAACTGGTGGTAACAGGACATAAGGGTCATACATTGTTTATCATTCCCATAGGGTTACTCCAGTACAGATATTTCAATTACAAACAGCAACCAATAAGGACTTACCACATCTGGTAGTAGAACAACACTTGTCACCAGGATTGACTTCAGTGATCTTGTAGAATCCTTCTCCTTCACATGTTTCATTAGTGGATATTGGTGGGCATTGATGGGTCTCACAAATGATGCCACTGCCTCCTTCCAGGCAAATGCAGTCTTTGCAGTCAAACTCAAACTTCTCCCCAAACTGTTATTGAGCCAAAGTAAGCATATAAGGACACAAGTGGCATCACAAGTTACACTTAAAATCTAGTTCTATTGATGAGGGAGTTTTTTGAACATCCGCTATAACTATTGTCAAGATTTCAGAAGAGAGCACAAAGGTTTGGTATGTTTATTAGAGATATATATCTTAGACAGAGGCTCTTGCTAAAAAAACAGTCAAGGCTAGGAAAATTAGGAATTTCCAAAATGCAGTAAAGTAATGGGTGGAGGGTGGTGTAAAACTTTTGAAGATTCTAAGCCTTAATGCAAGTAGTGGCAGCAACACAGTAGGCATTCTTTTACTTATTTTCTTCAAACACATTTGCTGTAGTGTTATTATCCACAATGACTGATCTCCTAGTGATAGCTACTCTGCATTTTGTACTCGGGCATGGCAACACTCCTGATCATTTGTTTTGTTTTGTTTTGTTTTTGTGTCAGGAGTGATTTGAGAAACTGCCCAGTTAACTACTAACTCAGAAACTGATCAGTTAAGGGGTAATAACAGTCACCACCTCTCAACAGGAGCTTCATTGCCACTCCTATTGGTTGGCTAATATTAAAGACACTTTGTCTTAACCTCATGAAAATACAATTCAGTATTATCATAAGCTATGGTACTCTTTTAACATTGTCATGTCCATTGATGGCTTTTAAAATGTTCTTTCAAAAATCTCAATCTTCTTCCATAATTAAAGAAAAGGTATAATGAATCTTGGCAAGCAGTTTTTTGTTCAGACCAAATTGTGCTACATACTCCCAAATGATAATTATTGTAGCTTTCTGTTGGAACATCTCTCTAAGTAGATTGACAATATTTTGACCATGTGACCAGGAAAATACATAGAATTCAGTAGAAAGTGAGAACAGAAGAAACAGGCATATGCCTTACCTTCCTGGGTACATTGTCTGGGCCAACACATCCTACAAGTGAATAGAGAAGGATACTATTACAACTGCCATAATCCCAAATGGTGGCTTAATAGCAAGTGATTTACATGTCTACTCAGAAGTAGGCATCACTGAGGTTTGGGGCTTACTTCTGAGTAAATGGAAATAGAAATGTGGCCTAAGTGTGTTTGAGAGAAAGAAGAATTAGAACTAAAACTTACCACAGGTTCTCACACAGACATCCACGGCAGCATCATAAAGAACTGTCCCATCTGGGCAGAAACATCCTTCTCTTAGCTGTGTATCGTTGCGTCCTATTACACTACAAGATATTAACATTTCAGAAAATCAGGTTTATTTGCATATATATTATGAACAGAGATATACCTCTCTATAAGTGTACAAATTTAATATCTGGATCATATATTACACTATATTTGCAGGATGTGCTTGCCCCTGATCCCACCATAAATACTGTATTCCTGGCCAGATGAATGTGTGATATTATGTAAACAGATCTTATGAATCTGTGGTTTCCAGGCCAAACGCAGTACTTTCAAAACTGCCCAGCATTTATAAATATTGGGTTTTGCGGACTCTTAAGTGCATTCTATGCTTACCAATGAACCATAAACTTATTACATTCTTTCCTGCAGGTAAATAGTAATGAGAATTGATTTTCAGGAAAAAAAAATAATTACCCTGATTTGCAAGTTTCTTCTTGAGAAGAAGCACATGCTTTGTAAACTTTATTAGATGGACACTCAACGGCTAGAATAAAAAGGGGAGAAAGATAAAATTAGAGATTCAGCAAAATCAGTACCAGTAATATTTGTATCTACTTCTATATGTTGACATGCAGGATCCACCAAACAGGAAGCCGGTGGCTCATAGACAGGGAGAAAATTGCAAGAGTGATCTGTAGGAACATGGAGATAATCTGGCCTATTTTTACTGTTCTGTCCATAGCCTAGTAATGAGAGCTGATTGCACCTTCCTCCACGAGGCATGCCCAAAAGTCTAATCTTTCCTGCATAATTTGACTTAATGAAAAGAAAGGATTATTTTGTATCCTGGGGAAAGCCCGTCCAGTGTCATTAAGAAGAAACAACAGAAAGAAAGAAAAGGAGAGAATAATTTAGAGTAGTGTATCCCCATTAACCTTGTCACTCGGCTGCTGCCCCATCCTTAGGGCATCAAAGATTTTGATCCCATCCAAACATCTGGGAATCAATGCAGTATCATAGAATAACATAGCATGTTCTAAGTAGTATTACTTTGTGTAATTGTGCTAGTGTAATTATTTTCATTCAGACGTATGTCATTACGAATTGTCATTTGGCATTGAATTGTTTATAGAGCACCTGTTGCTACTGCAACCATGGCAGTTGCCATTTTCTAGATGTGATAAATCTCATTGTGAGACCTTGATATTTCATAACCTTTTCCCAATCTTTGTCTACAATCTTGCTGTGACTTGGAATTGTGACATCTCTCATTGAGAAACTTTCTCACACAGAGAAAAGCATGAGATTGCAAATCTTGGCATCACATTATAGTTTATTTGGCACTGTGTTGTTTGGACTAAGATAATCAATAGTGTTTGAGGGAAACCTTTAGTAAAGACATGTAGTCTACTATCATCCTAACATTTCCAGATAAGCCTTATAGAGACATGTACTTACGACATGAGCCATTGGTGTAGCTTCTCCAGTCAATGCAAACACCTTGGTCTGCACAGATTGCTGCATAGATATGAAGACTTGCACATTCCATTTTACGCCCAGGAACAAAACAGCTGTCGTATTTACAGGCTGCATAGTAGTTTGCAAAATTTACAGCAGCATGGCATTTCCCGAATACGCTAGATGGAGAGAAAAAGATAATGCATATGAAGTACAGAATGGTCTGTGCTTATTTCATCAAGGAAACAGTTAAATCTCTATGCACTTCACATAGAGAGTAATGTGCATAGAGAGTTAATTCAGCAAAGAAACTCTCCCTGTACACCTCACACTATCAGAAGGCAAGAAGGAGAACATTCTTTAGAGTGGAAACAGATTGCAGTTTTGGATTTTTTCAAATATTTATATAATAAAATGAATTTGAATGTGCAATAATTATAACTAGCAGAAAATGATGGTGGTGCTGATGATGATTTCTTCAAGGCAGGGAATAACAAAAAATATATAAAACATAATATCAGCTAAAATGACATATTAAACCTATATATTAAAAAAAACACCAATAAATACTTTAAAACCATAATTTAAAAATAACCAGGATAAGTTTTCTGGAAGAGACAGGTCTTTACTACTGCTTTAAACTCAGCATATCAAGCTGAGAAATCTCTTTTAATAGGTCACAGACTACAGAGAGGCTGAAGAAAATGATCTCTGGGTAACAGGCAGCCTTGCTTGGACTGACTGAAGGTCCTTCCAGACAGGCCTTCTATTCCAGAATCCGATCCCAGGTTTTCTGTTTATCCCATCTTATCTGCCAGTGGGGACTCATATAATCCAGTTTAAAGCAGATAACCTGAGATCAGATCCTGGGATATAGGGCCCATCTGGGGTCCCTTCCACACTAGCTGAATAAAATCTCACATTATTTGTTTTAATCTGGAATACATGGCATTGTGGACTCAGTTAACCCAGGGCCGTTCCACATAGCTCTATATCCCAGAATATCAAGGGAGAAAATCCCACAAGATCTGCTTTGAACTGGGTTATCTGAATCCACACTGCCATATATTCTAGTTAAAAGTAGATAATGTGGGATTTTATTCAGCTGTATGCATGGGCCCCTAGTTCAAAGCAGATATTGTGGGATTTTCTGCCTTGATATTCTGGGTTATATGGCTGTGTGGAAGGGCCCTGAGGTAGATGCCTCCCATATAAACAGGATTATATGGAAGAATCCAATCCTGTAGGTTACCTGGACCAAAACCACATGAAGATTTAAAGGCAATAGCCAACATATTGTACTTATACCAGAAATGTAATTTACAATCAGTTGAGTGATTTTAATGTTGGTTTAATATGGTTACTCCTAGATATACCAATATCCAATTTGGCTGCCATGTTTTGAAATAACTGAATAATGTTTTGAAATAACTGAAGTTTCCAGACTTGATACATAGATAGCCCAATGGACAATGCATTGAAGAAATCTGACCTTGAGGTTAGCAGCATCTGCACTACCATCTTAAGCTCTCCAATTCTAAGAAAGGTGCAGCTGGTCTAACGGCCAGAACTAATAATATAAGCTTTCCCGAAATTTGGATTCATCTCCATTATTATTTGAAGGATGGATCCAAGATCACCCACCAGCTGCAAAAAGGTTTTCAGGCAGAGTATAATCTCTTCCAACACTGCTGGACATACCTTCAACCTTAATTTAGGATCCCTTTGTATTGTCTGGGATTAATTTTGGGTTTTTTCCTAATCTAACTCTACTGTTCCTTTTACTGTTGCTATGGTCATTGCCAAAATTCCATAGTGGCCTCCAAACATGCCACCATTACTATATTACTGTCAAATTTCAGCAGCAACTGTGCCGGCTCACTGTGATACAGGAAACAACAGTAGCCCCCTCTTATACTGTACAGCTATGCAAATACCATGCAAGGAAATCTACTTCCCCCTTCCTATCAGGAGAGGGAAGAATCAACTGAAATAGGTCAGTAGCATAGATAATGGCAGTGTGAATCCTTTCAGTTACCAGTTTTGTAGCTGTGGGGAAAATGCAGGGATGTAGTGCTTATATAGAGTGCAATTGCTCAGCATGATTATTTTGAGGTATGTATTTCAATAACACAAACTTGTACCTTCTTACTTTTCAGTAGGAAATAGTTAAAAACAACAGGGAGAGAATAACAGATACAAAATACACATCTTAAAGGACAAGTCACTTGCCATGGAATAAAACATGTTGGCACTAAATACAATTCTAAAATAAAATCACACAAAATACCAACAAGTAAGTGTAAACAAAATCAAACTGTATGCAATTAGGAGCACATTCGAATATATCAAAAGTAAATGCTAAACGTCAAAATAATTAATGTTTTACCTGGTATCCTTTATAAGCTCACAGAGTGGAGAAGGTTGGCAGGTTGGGGGGCGAACTGTTGTTGTTGGAGGTGGTTGGTGAGGGCACTGGGGCTTGTTGGGATCGTTGACAACCCAGTCATCTGCCATGGTTATACAGTTGTCTATAATGGTTCCATTGCGTAGCCTGCAATCATCTTTTTTATTGTTGTTGCATGTGCCTAAGATTGATGACAAGCAGATGAATTAATGGGGAAAACATATTTTATGTATATTTATAATAAATCACAAGAAGGGTTGATGGAACAATAGCTCTAAACTCATATTACAGAGCTTTGCAACTTCTGTCAGGTTTTGTACTCATTCGGGTAATTTCTATAGGCTAGGCTGAGGACCTGACTTCTGTGAATAAAAAGATACAATGCATGAAAGATGTCTTCCATTCCCAATTGTAGGATACACTCTTAATTCTCATCTACAGCTTGTGGTGGGGCACATCTATTGCAGTTGAATATGAGTCAAGAGTGTGATTTTTCTGCTAAAAAGTCCAATGTGATTCTAGGCTGCATCCATTGGAGTATAGTGTCCAGATTGTGGGAAGTAATAGTATCAGTCTAGTCTACTTTGGTCAGACCTCATCAGGAATATTGTGTCAAGTTTGTGTCATTACAACCGAACAATGAGCTAAAACAAGTCCACAGCAAGGCAATGAAAATGGTAAAAGTTCTGCAAGCCATGCCTATGAGGAGTGGCTTACGGATATCATGATTCTAACGTGGCTAGATGAACTCTATCACCCTTTCAAAACCTTTTAATATTCCTTTATTTCATCAAACATAACACTTTTTGCAAAGAAACCCAATATCAGATGTATCAATAAAATCAGTTTACAATATGTTATTTTAAAAGCACAAGCTAAATAATCCTTACCACACTGTCCCTGTGTATTACCACCGAACGTACGATAAGGCAATCTAATAGTGAAGGATACGCCATTGTAAGATACATTCACTCCCAATAAAGGAATTTCCACCAGATAGTTTAGACCTGACTCATAAATGTAGACACCATATTTTCTGAAAGGTAATGCCACAGCCACATCATTCACAGTCACCTGTTTAAGGAAAGGAATAATATAGATAAGCTGCATACAATGTTTACAGAGAAATAAGTTATGTTTAAACCTACATTGAAATGTGGAACTGGAACAGAACAAAGAAAAATGAAGGATTAACAATTGTGAATAATTGGTTTCTTGCTTTTAAGGAGTCTATTTTTTTATTTACCATATTTATACCCCGCCCTTCTCACCCTGGAGGGGACTCAGGGCAGCCTTACAACAGGCAGCAATTTGATGCCATACAGACATATATATGAATAATTACAATTAAAAACTAACAGTTAAAACATAAATTATTGAACATCAATTAATAACCTTATTATCTATTTGGCTAATTAAAGTAAATACCTAGCTATGCTAAGACAAATTATGTTTCGAAAATGTTCAGTGAAACAGTAGCTCTATTAATTGTGGCAGCAAAATGTTCAATAGTTTGAAAATAGTAACAAGGGCAGGCAGAATGCAGCCATTGAATCACATGTGGCTCTAACTTCTTCTTCTTCTTTTTTTTTGCAGGCCTCTGACATATCCTCCTATTGTCTCCATTTGGTGGTAACAACCCCAATTAATTCTCTGTTGTCCCACTTTTAAAGCTGCTTTTAAAATGTCCTGGGTTCTCTTTTCTTCATTTTCCTCTTTTGTGATCAAATTGTGGTACTTCAGTAGTTGCAAATTGATCAATGTACAAAAACTTAAATAATTCAGCAGGAATAAGATAAGAGGAAGGGCTAGAATTTTGTCTTTCCCTTGTAATGAAATGAAATGAAATAATGAAATGAAATGAAATGGTGGGGCCCTTAGGATCTTCTCCAAACCCAAATGTGAAATCAGTAGGCAGTTGTACCTTCCGGGGATTTGACCACCAGAAGATAGATATGAGTTTACCAAGACCAGAGATAAACACAACATATTAACCCATAGAACTTCAATTTAGGGATTTCTTTCCAGTCCAGCACAGATCTTACTAGTATTGAAATATTACTCAGTCACCCCTATCTTGATTGGTGCTTTCTGATGCTGAGCACAATTGTGGGAAATGTAGTTTAGGGCAGGGCCTTTTGAATTCTCTGCCATAGGGCTCCTTGTCTTCCCAAACTACTTTTCCCAGAATCCTGTGCACTCTGTCTCTTTTTCAGTTCACTTAGCTCATCCTGCCCAACTACATTCCTCATGGTGAGAGACAGTCTGTATTTTCTTAAATTTAAAGAAGAATGGGGCCTCTTTGGCTTCGCCTCGCTTGCACTGAAAATGAAATTGACTTTGGGAAGCTTCTGAGGATTACAGAATTTAAACAAAAATATTGGGTGTTTCGATTCTTATGTTTCTGCGTTTCCCCCGTGTTTCTTAATATCTGTTTGTCTATACAAACCATACAAATTAAATACGATAAACTATTTTAACACAAAGTTTTGCACACCCCTAGTTAATACCTACCGGTATTTACAAAGGGCTGTAATCACAGTTATGGTGATGAGGAAAGAAATGGGAAATGGGTACTGCTTGAAGGCATGTCAGTAAGAGATAAAAAGGAGAAGCTATGGCACAAGGTTTTCCTGGGTTGTTGTTAGAGCAAACTTGGAGACAAGGATAAGGAATCCTTCTGAGATCATAATCAATCAGGAGGTGGGTAGCCCACTGCAGAAGGTTGGACATGTCCATCACTCTTTGCCTAATCAAGAGCTCCAGGGGCATTTTATTGCACACTGATCGTTAATCTAAATGGGGATATGTAACCAAAGTTGTGCCTGGAATTTCTAAGAATGGGGAAAGCCTTAAATGTGTTTCCATGCTTTTAAAAAAAACCCTCTAGATCATAATTTATTTGTTTCAGTTCTCAACCAGTAGAATAGGATTATCCATATTAATAACCTGATTTAGAAAAAATGCTGCAACCCCAAATATCTCCCACAGTTCCACACATATATATGCCTGTAGGAAGACACAATTAGTAACTGTTGCTAAATCTCAGGAGCCATTCTGTGCTGAAATAGGTCATTTTGCTCATACCTCTAATTTCATAGGAATCATTCTGACTGTTTTCACATGCACTTCTTGGGTCTCGTGTTTGACAATGAGTGTGCGTGGACAGGAGACGACCTCCCTTGAATCACAGTGGTAATTATCAATATACACTCCAAAGTTGTCAATGGTTTTATGAATCTCTTCCACCAAAGTATAAGTACAATTGCCTTGGTAACTGTAGTAGATGCCATCAAACGTCGTATAATGTGGGTCTCCCCAGCCAGTGCAATAGCCTTTAGAAAGACAAGAGAATTGAATAAGCTTTTTGTCTGGCAGCATACAGAAGAGCATGAATAAAAACTTTGTAACAGTAAAGATGGTATATCCTAGCAGCACTTATACTGAAAATAAAATCTACTGGATGTGGAGTTTGATATCGAAAATAGTAACTGACTAGATATAAAATATTGTTGGACTCACTAAAGAAAGTAATGGTCTATCAAACTGAGGATGGTCTATGAAACTATGAATTTCACTGACCTCACCAGACATTTTTGACAGATGATGTGCAACAGCAGCAGAAGAGTAGCAGAGGAGGTCATTTCCATCACTAGAGAAAGCTGCTGCCTCCCAAACTGCTTAGAAGCCAATAGGACTTCCTCTCTTGACATTTCATGCTGTTACCTTCCCAAATGCATTTCCATTATGGTTTGAGATTTGGGGAAATACAGTGTTACTTACACCTTAACAACATAATTAGCTAAGACCTTAAAAACAGCTGAAGTCTTTGACCTGCAGTAGGGGAAATGCAATTTTCATGTGGCTTGATCTCAGAAAGTATCATGACTTTTCTATCTAATTGTGGTGCACAGGGCAGAAAGTTTAACAAAAAGGAAATTGGATAACTATCACACATCGAAAGTATTGAAAAGAAAAGAAATATTACTTCATAACTCTCTCCGCATGTTTTTATGTATATCTACCTTTATGGGAAGATAACACAGATGGAGGAAAATGAAATAGAGCTTCAAAAATTCCACTTAACAACCTCTTCCACTCTTAATTTTTCTGAACATCTGATGCAATCTTTTTGTACTAGTGATCTCACTGATGCAGCTGAAAACCAGGTGGACAATATTGTCTTCTGATTCTATTGCTCACCAAAAAGAATATCCATATCATTTGCACAGATATCAATATGTGCTGTCACTAGATTTGCACAAGTTACCCCTTTTCAAAGGAAGAAACTGTGCTAAATGAGAATGGTGCATATGTGTCTCTGTATACATGGCTGACCACATACATTATTTTTGGTACAATGTATGCTGGGGAAGATGCCTATCCATTCCTCTATCACGAGATACAATGGTGCCACCATGAATGTATGGATGAAGAGTTTCAATGGCATTTCAACCTTTCTATGATTATCTTCCTGGTGGGTTTCTAAAAAGTAAGAAATCAGTCCAGTAGCTTTTATAGAAGCTGCTTTTTCTGTTTTGGTGTCCCTCACATCAAAGGCATAGAGGTATATAGCTTTGCTGCTGTGTGATCATAGAAAGGCATTTTGTCTAGTACATTTTCAAACATATGCTCCCCCACCCCCATATGTGCTGCACATGTTCAAGGGCTACATCATGCAGATTGTGTGGCTTGGATAGACACCACCCACACATATGACTGACAATCTCATTCCTGTTTTAAGTTAAAATTAACCACTGAAGACACAACTATATTATCACATTCCACTCTGTATTCCATACAATCCCTTCCCCTTACTAGCTGCAGCATTTTAAGTAAACATCGGCAGGTGTTATATGCAAACTCACAGTCACATTCCCAGTGCCAGCAGCACCCATCATCATTCACGACTCGCACAGGGGCAAGCCCATTGGAGCACACGGGCTTGGGAGGTGGGTTGCATGGTATAGTCACGATTATCCATTTATCATCTTCAATACATACGGCTTGGGTACATTCACATATCCACCACTTTTCTCCAGGCTGTATTTTGAAAAGGCAGAAAAAACCCATATATTTCACTATCTGCACAAATACATTTGCACAAAAATATCACAAAGGACTGGAAGTTGCAATTAAAGGAAACCCATAAATACATGAACTTGGAGCTTGGAGCGGCTCATAGAAGCACTCCAAGTGCCTCATATAAAAAACAATACCCAAGTATAAATGCAAAGACATAAGTAAAATCAATAGCGCATATAAAATTCCACTAATTAAATTATAAGAGTATAAAATTATAAAAATTATAAAAATTCCTAAAATGCAGTAGAACCTGTGGTAGGCCGGGTATCTGCCGTAAAAATCCAAGTGCGGAGCAGTGGTTCAACAAGGTGACCATAGATTACTCAGGATCAAAGGCCTGTCTGAAGAGCCATGTGTTTAAACTCACCTGAAAGGCTTGAAGAGGGAGGGCTAATCTAATTTCTTTAGGGAGGGCATTCCAGAGCTGGGAGTCACCAATGAGAAGGCCCTCTCTCTCACCCCCACTAAATTGATTTACAAGGAGATAGCAACAGAGGAAAAGTAGTGGCAAGCTATGTGAGAACAGGGTCTGGGTATGTCTATCCCAAAAGATCATCAAGTGACAAAGGGCTCATCCAGACAGGCCCTAAAACACATGCCCTCCCACATATTTACCTGCGGCATCCATGTGATGCCTCAGGTAAATGCAAGTGCTTTGTGCCAAGGAAAACCTTGCTTTGTGCTGAGGCAATTTGATAGTGGATTAGAGACATGCCTTCTTGAAAAGCACTGGTTGAACCTACTATGGCCACTGTCTGGACTGCTCCTTGAGAAGTCCTGGATCTCTGAGAGGGAAGTCCAGAAAGCCCTCTCGTATTTGGGGGGGGGGGGCTAAATCAGGCTAGAAAACTGAGAAGGCTCCCCCCCAACCCCCCTTTTAAACGTAAAATAACTTACTGGGCCTCTATTAGGCCTCGGAGCACATTTCCTGGAATGTACCATTACACGTGAGGAAACCTACTTGCATGAATTTGGTACATTCCAAGAAGTGTGTTCCAAGGTCAAATGGAGGCCTGGTAAATTCTTCGCCATTTTTAGGGCTTTTGGGGGAGTTTTCTTGGTGTCTGGGTGCCCTGCTGCAAATCCCGGCAGGGCATCTGGACACACTCTCCCCCCCCCCCCCCCCCCCCCCCCCCCCCCGACACACAAACACATATACAGAAAACATGTGCTTTCTGAGGTGGTGGATTAGAACCCAGGAACATGCACATTTTTAAAATGCAATTGTTCCTGGGTTAAAGTGCTGTCTGGAACTGCCCAAAGCTATCCTGTAGACCCCCAGGCTTTAATCCTAGGGAAACATATACCTCACCACCATTACACCTTGCTTGAAAAAAGTTACTTATTTCTACATAATAGGTGTTTGCATCAGCATTATTATTCTCTTTACAACCCAATTTACCTGTGTGTGTTTGGTTTGCTGTTGTTTTTCTCTTGAAAGAGATTAATTGCCCTTGGTATTGTCTCTCTTAGGTTGAATCAAGGCAAATATCAAAGTGAACTCACCCCTTTCAAGCCAAAGAAAATGCATAAAACCAATTCTGATAAGCCTTTGCAACCTTGAACTTCTAAACAGGAAATAGATTGAAGAAAGAACATGCACACAATAAAAACTATTTTCCTGTCATTAGATATTGCATAAACTTTGATACTTTTTCAAATTTTCTAATGTTTCAAAAAGGTTTTTTAGATTTGTCACTGAGAGGTAAAAAACAATAAAATATACTTCTAAATGAACTAAAACGCTTAATCAAGAATTCAACATTACTAACCTGAACAGTTCCATTTTCGGTTTGACACGGTAACTTTGGGGTTGTACTTATAGTTGTGGTTATCTCAGTTGTAGTTGTGGGTGTGGGTGTAGTTGTGGTTGTCTCAGTTGTGGTTGTGGTTGTGGGTGTAGTTGTGGGTGTGGGTGTAGTTGTGGTTGTCTCCGTAGTAGTTGTGGTTGTGGATGTGGTTGTCTCTGTAGTAGTTGTGGTTGTGGGCATAGTTGTGGTTGTCTCAGTTGTGGTTGTGGTTGTAGTTGTGGGTGTGGTTGTGGGTGTGGTTGTGGGTGTAGTTGTGGTTGTCTCAGTTGTAGATGTGGTTGTGGGTGTAGTTGTGGATGTAGTTGTTTCCGTAGTAGTTGTGGTTGTGGGCGTAGTTGTCTCGGTAGTAGTTGTGGGCGTAGTTGTCTCAGTAGTAGTTGTGGTTGTGGACGTGGTTGTCTCTGTTGTTGTGGTTGTGGGTGAAGTTGTGGATGTGGTTGTCTCTGTTGTAGTAGTTGTGGGTGTAGTTGTGGTTGTCTCAGTGGTAGTTGTGGTCGTGGGAGTAGATGTAGTCGTGGCTGTAGTTGTGGATGTGGTTGTCTCAGTGGTCGTGGGTGTAGTTGTGGTTGTCTCAGTTGTTGTTGTTGTGGGTGTGGTTGTAGTTGTTGTTGTGGGCGTAGTTGTGGGTGGAGCCGTAGTTGTACAAATCCAGTGGTGAACTTCTTCTTCACCATGCCCCGAGCAAATGACAGCATAACACATTTCTCTGTGCTTTCCAGTTTCTATTATTTCACCTAGAGTTTGAAGAACAAGTGTTAACATCAGCTGTAACTAAAAACATGTTCATGTAAATGTATATTCTGCATTTTCTTCTTGTTGTGTATCCATATTGTGATTTTCAAAATTATTAACTAGAAACAGATTGAACTAAAAACAAAGCAAATAATTATGAATAAATTAGCAATTCAATATTAAAGCTAAAATGACATATCAAAAGTTAAACATCCCCAAACCAATTCACTCTTTGTAGCAACCATAATATAAATCCAGAGTAATGTTAGAAGAGGGAAACAGCAGGCTAATGAACACACTGATTTATTTTGTCTATCTGCTAGTTTTGCAACCAAAATTTGCAGCTAGTTTTGAATCTGAAAACATGGTTATGGGACCAAGCTTTTGGTTCGTATTGAGCCGTGCGATAAGTGATTATGAAACCAATGCAATGACAAATGCAACGGCCCTGGATAATGATTTGGGTTGCATCATTTTAATAATGTTTTCATGTTGATGTTTTTTAACTGTTTGGTTTTTAATGTATTTGCTTATTTTATTGATATGTAACTGGATGGCATCAAATTGTTGCCTTTTGTGAGGCTGCTGTGAGTCCCCTTCGGGGTGAGAAGAGTGGGGTACGAATGTGGTAAAATAAATAAATAAATAAATGCAGTTTAACACCACGTTAACTGCCATGGCTCAATGCTATGGAATCATGGTGGTTGTCTTTAGTTTTCTCTGCCAAAGAGGGAAGGTGTGTCAACAAACCACAACTTCCAGGATTCCACAGGATTGAGCCACAGCAGTTAAAGTGGTGTCAAACTGCATTAATTCTACAATGTAGATCCAGTCTAAACAAATGGAATCAGAAAAGCCACACACAAAAAGGGAAATTCGAAACACCTTATGAAAACTTCAGGATTTCATCAGAGAGCATCAAACTGCTATAATTGTGCAATGTGGATATACTCAAGGTTATACGCATACGAACAGGCTCTGTTTTTTACAAAGGCAAGTGTATGTGGTCCAATGACTCGTTTTTCATCCCCACTTGTGTATGCAAAATGCATATGTCTGTTGAGAAACAGTGGCTATAACTGTTGAATTCAGGCCAATTGCTTGGTGTGATGGAAGGAAGACCAAGAACAAAGAAAATCCACATGAAGAGAAACCAGCACTGTTTTTGAATTGAATACAATATTGGAAAATGCCTACAACTCACTTAGTGTATGCCATCATTTGATGCCATAAAGTCCCAAAAAATTTAAACCCAATTCTACTGGTTTTAATGTTAAAAGGAAATTTTAAAAATCAGATACTCTAAATAATTCTACAGATCAGCCCTGGATGAAGTATCTACTAAGTAAAAAAGGAAAGCACTCTTTTGTAAGTCCTAGGAATTCTGCAAGTTCCAAAATACGGCAATATGGAGTGTGGATCAGAGAAAATGGGGAGGAGGACAATTGGAAATGGGTTTTCAGACATCACTGTGTAGAACATTGTTAAATTATTAGTATGTATTAGAAAGGTGTAATATAGATAGTGACTTGAAGGCAGTTGTTAGAGCTATCTTGTTTTTCCTACACTGGAGACATCTCATTTTATACTTTTCTTTTTTAAACATCTCTTGAGACGTGTTTTCTATTTCACTAAGGTATATGTAAATATATGAAAAGTGTGTAAATGATATGTGTTAATAAGAATTCTGTGGCTTTACTTTGGCAGTATGCTCACTTAAAAAAACTTTCTCTATTACATGCAATTTGTAAATCTTTACCACAAAAACCCCTGTGACTAGGAAACATAATTATGCAATAGCTTTTAACAACACTTAATCTTATTCCATTCATGGGATTTTAGCAAGATTTTATATCTGGGGTTATGCAATCTTATCAGCACTTAGAGAAATGACACTCTAAATATAAACATTTTAGGACATTGTATTAATCAAAAACAACACAGACTACTGTATTTGTATTTGTTATTTTGTATTCTTATATTAGACTTAGGAAAAAGCACAATTACTGTGGACCCCACTTGTACAACCAGCTATATTTTACTGAATGTGTTTTTTTTTGCCTTGATACCTGATATTTTAATTTGCCTCTGACTCTTACCTGGTTGGTATATTATGCCATCTACTATACAGACAGGTACTGATGTGGAAGTTGTTATCTCAGTGGTAGTTGTTGTGGGCGTAGTTGTAGATGTGGTTGTTTCAGTTGTGGTGGTAGTTGTGGGTGTAGTTGTGGTTGTCTCAGTAGTTGTACTTGTTGGTGTAGTTGTCTCAGTTGTAGTTGTGGTTGTGGGAGTAGTCGTGGATGTGGTAGTCTCTGTTGTTGTAGTAGTCGTGGGTGTAGTTGTGGTTGTCTCAGTTGTGGTTGAGGGTGTAGCTGTTGTGGTTGTAGTTGAGCTGTGTTCATATGGGGTTGTGGTTGTAAGCGTAGTTGTGGTAGTCTCTGTTGTGGTAGTAGTCGTGGGCGTAGTTGTGGTTGTCTCAGTTGTGGTTGAGGGTGTAGCTGTTGTGGTTGTAGTTGAGCTGTGTTCATATGGGGTTGTGGTTGTGAGTGTAGTTGTGGTTGTCTCTGTTGTTGTAGTAGTGGGTGTAGTTGTTGCCTCAGTAGTAGTTGTGGTTGTAGTGGTGGTTGTTGGTATCTCAGTTGTAGTAGTGGTTGTTGGTGTAGCTGTTGTGGTGATGGTGGTTGATGGAATATTTGTGGTAGTTTTGGTGGTGCTGGATGGAGTAGTCACTAAAAAGAAAGAGTAAGAATGGAAAAATATGAATTGAAAAATAAAACCTTTAATTAACCAGCCTCAGCTTTTAAAATTTTCCTTTTGAATCACAAACTGAACATCTTTTCTGAAAAGTATTTATATTATGAGTATACACTTATGGTAATCAGTTAATTAATTAATAGCACAATCTTATGCATGTTTACTAGGCCTGGGCAACCACGGAAAAATTTGTTTCTAAAATCGATTCGTTTTTGGGGGGTTTTGTGTTTCGATTTTTAAAAGAATTCCGAAATTTTTCTTTTAAAAAGTTCGATATTTACGAAATTTTGTAAATGTTAAAAAAATTACGAAACAATAACGAAACAATAACGAATCGATTCGTTAATGGCAGACGCGATCACGCAATACGCTAAAAAAACCTCCAAATGGGACAGGGGGAACTTCTGAAGCTTCCCTCTCCCTCTGTTGTTGACTGTTGGTGTGATATTACAATTCTTTTTCACTAATTAAACAAACAACAACTATAAAACTTGCCCCAGACATGCGGAAATAATAACGAGACTTCAAAACGATAACGAAACGAATACATAACGAATCCGAAACAATTACGAAATGAATTTAAAAATTTGTTTCGTTTTTAAGTTGCTCCAGAATGGTTCGTTATCGCTTCGTTATCAAAAAAATAATGAATTTTTAACGAATTACGAATTAACGAAACGAAACCGCCCAGCCCTAATGTTTACTCAGAGATTATTCAGTACAACCCAAAACTCCTAAAAATAATGAGCTGCAATCCTATGTAGACTTTACCTTGTAGAAATTTATTCAACATAATTAAACCTAGTAAATCAACAAAATTGAATTCTATGGATTGCGCAATTTTGATTTCAAGTCATTGTGCTATTAATAGTCTAAATCCAATTGCTAATCTGAAAAAATAACAGACACATCAGTTCAATGACCTTTGCATAAGCATAACAGTAGCAGTAGATTTGATGAATTTGTTCTACCTGGGACTAGCAACTGGATTTATAAAAATATAATCGACTGAATAAAGTTTCTTATCTATCGCCAAATCAGTTAAATATATTTCATTACATATGGTAATACATTTAAAGGAATTTTAGAGGCAAGATTGCTCATGCATGATTTTGCATGTTTTTGCTGACAACTCATCTTTTTTAATGCATTTTTGCACACTTTTTGACCTATTTTATCCAAAGAATGTGTATGTGGGAATTTCCACTTTGTCTGAACTATGGTATTGTGTAATTTCCAAATATATGCAGAAATATCTGTTACTGTGTGCCTTCAAGTCATTTCCAACTTCTAGCAACCCAAATACAAAGGCATCATGGGGTTTTCCTGGCAAGATTTGATCAGAGGAGGTTTTGCCTTTGCCTTTGTGGGTGTTTTCAGCTGAATGAGAAATTGAAGCTTGGTCTGCAAAACTGTAGTTCAGTCATCAAAGCTAAACGCCATCCTCGCTCTTATAAAATTATGGATTTATTTGTGTAAAATTCTTTAAGGAAAGAAATATGGCATTTGTAGCTCTCTCTTAATACAGAACAATACACATGCCAATTTGTTCATTGCTGGAGTGGTTAGAGCAGTGTTTCTCAACCTGGGGGTAGGGACCCCTGAGGGGGTCGTGAGGGGATGTCAGAGGGGTCACCAAAGTCCATCAGAAAACACGGTATTTTCTGTTGGTCATGGGGTTTCTGTGTGGGAAGTTTGGCCCAATTCTGTTGTTGGTGAGGTTCAGAATGCTCTTTTATTGTAGATCAACTATAAATCCCAGCAACTACAACTCCCAAATGTCAAGGTCTAGTTTCCCCAAACTACAGCAGGGTTCACATTTGAGCATATTGAGCATTCGTGCCAAGTTTGGCCCAGATCCATCATTGTTTGAGTCCAGTGCTCCCTGAATGTAGGTAAACTACAACTCCAAACCTCAAGGTCAATGCCCACCAAATCCTTCCAGTATTTTCTGTTTGTCATGGGAGTTCTGTGTTCCAAGGTTGGTTCAATTCCATCGCTGGTGGAGTTTAGAATGCTCTTTGATTGTAGGTTAACTATAAATCCCAGCAACTACAACTCCCAAATGACAAAATCAATTTCCCCCAACCCCACCAATATTTAAATTTGGGTGTATCGGGGATCTGTGCCAAATTTGGTTTAGTGAATGAAAATACACCCTGCATATCAGATATTTACATTACGATTCATAACAGTAGCAAAATTATAGTTATGAAGTAACTACGAAAATAATTTTATGATTGGGGGTCACCACAACATGAGGAACTGTATTAAGGGGTCACGGCATTAGGAAGTCTGAGAAACACTAGAGTGAATCATTCCTTCATGCCACATGGAGAGCCAAATGTTGTTCACAGTGACTGAATTCATTATTTAAAGATTTTTAAAAGTTTACTTATTAATTGATTTTCCATCTCTTTGACGTCAGACCAAGACTATATGTTTTTAATTCCATGAAATCTTGGAAATCAGACCCATATTTATACTGCTTCCATAAAGAAAGACATGGGAATGGAGCTGAAAAGACTAGTCTTGTTAAAAACAATGGCCCATAGAAAAGTTCCTCACTTGGACTTCCGGTGGACATGGCGACGGGATAACCTCGTCGTGAGGGAGCTCCCGACGAGGACCTGTGTTGTGGTGGCTGGGTCGAGCTGAATGCTCCCCCCTTTGCCGGATTGAGTTTGCAAAGGTGCCGCGAATCCCAGAGTGGGCTTGAGACCCCAGAGATCTTTCCCCCCTCAAGGAGGAGAGGTCGGAGGGTCCGAGCAGCACAGGGGAAAGCGAGCCACCCCACAAGGATCGAGCCGCAAGGCTTGTCTAACCGCCGCCAATCCATTCACAAATAGAAGAAGAGAAGAACTAAGAAACCCCAATTGGGGAGGAGAAACAAGAAAGACCCCATCTTCAGGTAATGGGAATTTGTTCCCAAACTTTAAAGAAGAAAGAGACAAGCTAGAAATAGCTTGGGGAGAATACGGAGAGACAAAGAGATAAAGAAAAGAAGTTGTAGAAATTAATAAGGAAGTGAATGTATTAATTGGCTTTCCGATAGATAAACTAAGGAATTAAAGGAACAGAGTGACTGATTTAAGAGTAAATACGATATTTTGGCAATTTTGGCAATTTGGGCAATTGGATCGATTTTTTCAATTAGTAAATGGTGAGCCAGGCCGCTCTATCTAACTTAAAACAATCTAATTTACACTTAAAGTAAAAGAAGACGAGGATATTTCCCCCCCATCACCCCCCCTTTTCCGGGGAAGCAAAGGGAAAAAATGACAGCATTCCCGACCTTGACGCCATAATTGTTGTGTCTATCTCCAACCTTCTTCATAAACAAGCAGACTGAGTGGAGGAGAAGGAAGTGACGAAACGGAAGGTTGTTTATAGTGACGGACAAGGAAACCGGAAGGGACAAGAAAGGAGGGAAGGGCGGAAGTGACTAGGCGGAAGGAGGGAAGACGCCATTTTGGAAACCATAGAAAAAGTCCGATATAGAGCGGCCGGTGCAAAATTGAGAAATAAATTGGAAATAAAGGACTATTTGGATTAAAGAGTTTGATAATTTGGGAAGAGAAGAGGAGTAGAGGACAGGAGGAGAAAACAAGGACGAGAAGTAGACGATTCAAGGACGAGAAGTAGACGACGGCGGTGACGAGGAAGAGAAGCAGACGAAGGGCGTTAAAGCGAGGACGAGAAGCAGACGAAATTTGATTAATCGAGGACGAGAAGCAGACAAGTAGAAGGGATAAGCTGTAGAGGAGAAGTAGAAGAAGAAAGTGGAATCACTCCTTCTTATAAAGAAGGGGGAGAAGTGATTCGAAATGACAACCCAAGGCAAACCAGAGTCCCGGAGGGGATCTTTGGACATAAACCCAAAAATGGATAATCTTCTGAAAGAAATAAAAAAGATATCAGAAAAACAGGATGCATTGAAGGTGGAATTGAAGGAGGAGGTTAAAACTAAGCATGAAGAATATTACAAGAAACAAGAGGGAATTATTACAAAGATGACAGAGGAATTCAAGGCAATGAAAACTGAAATAAAAGAAGAATTCGGCCAGATAAAAAAAGATATATCACAATTACATGGGGAAGTGAAAGAATTAAAAGCCTCTAAAGAGAAAATTGAGGGAACTCAATCGGATATGGCGCAGAAGATAAAAGGACTGGATAAACAAAGGGAGAAAATGGAATTAGAACAAGAGAGATTGCTGCAAATGCAAATGGATTTCCAACTAAGACTTAGAAATATAGCGGAGGAAGACAAAGAAGATATAAGACAAATGGTAATTAAAATGCTGGCAGGCTGTTTGGAATGTGAGGAGGATGAACTGGAACAAGAGGTGGATCAAATCTACAGGATTTCATCATTTTACTCTAGGAGAAATAAAACGGATAGAGATGTGATAGTGAAATTTACAAGGAAGAAGGTACGGGATGACGTTTTGTATAACAGCAATAGAAACCCAATCCTTTATAAAGGAAAGAAAGTTGTGGTGTTGAAGGAATTTCTGCAGATGACCCTAGCAAGAAGAAGAAAATATTTCTTTTTAACAGAAGAATTAAAAAAGAGGGAGATAAGGTACAGGTGGGAAAGAAGAGAAGGAATAATGGTGACCTATAATGAAGAAAGACACTGGTTGACATCTGAACATAAGGCCAAGGTATTTTATGATAAACTTATGAGTCATAAGGATGGAGAAGAAGAGATGGAAGAAGGGGAGGAAGAAGAAGAAGAAGAGGAAGAAGAGGAAGCAGAAGGAGCTGAAGAAAGAAGAATATCCACCCCAAGAAAAGGAATTAAAGCCAAAAAAGCGAGATATAAATCACCAAAGGATTATAGTTACTTCTCAAAAGATCCAAAACCACCGAGAATGACACCATGAAAAAAAGAAGGAAAAGATGGTCAGAGTATGGAACAATCGACAACTGGAACTGTGGAAACGGCTTTTGGCGACACAGGACTGGGACTGGATAAGAATGAATAATATGATGGAGCGACAAATAAAATGTTTTTCTAACAATATTAATGGATTGAATTCCCCTCAAAAACGCAAGAAAGTTTGGAATAGTTTGAAGAAATTGAGCTATGACGTAATAGCTCTTCAGGAAACACATATTTGTGATAAACATATTGCACACCTTCCTAATAAAAAATTAGGAAAAGAATACCATTCGTCTTATGAGAAAAAGAAAAGAGGAGTAGTAACTTATGTAAAGGAAACAATAGAGTCAGAATTGGCTTTTAGAGACTTAGAAGGAAGATGTGTTGCAGTAAAGATGACTATTGGAGACTCCAAAATTTTGATTTGTAATATCTATGCGCCTAACGGTCCAAAGGCAAAATTTGTTGAATTTTTAAATGGGAAATTGAAAGAAGCAGAATTTGATGAATTGATTCTGGTAGGAGATTTTAATGGGGTGATTGATTCCCAAATGGATAAAAGTTCGAAGACTAGAAAATCTAAGGAAGGTAAACTCCCACAAAAATTTATAGACCTTCAAAAAGAATTTGATTTAGAAGATATATGGAGAAATAGAAACAAAGACAAAAAAGACTATACCTTCTTCTCAAATAGACATCAGTCATGGTCCAGGATAGACATGGCTTGGACAACTAGGAATCTCTCCGCCAAAGTGAAGGAGATTAATATTTTACCACGAGACTTGTCAGACCACTGCCCTCTGGAAATTTTTATTAACCACAAAAACTGTTTCAGAAAATGGAGACTAAATGAGAATCTGATAAAAACAGAAGAGGATAAAAAATACTACAACAAAATAATCCATGACTATTTACTAACAAACAAAGTGGAGGAAATGGAGCCACGAGTGGTGTGGGATGCCTTTAAAGCAGTTTTGAGAGGACATTTTATACAACAAGGATCAAGGAAGAATAGAGAAAGGAATAAAAGAATAAATGAATTGGTAGCAGAAATAGCAGCTAAGGAAATGGAATTAAAACAGAGACCGATGAAAAAAATAGAGAGACAACTGATGGCATTAAAACAAGAGAAAAACCATGTGGAGTTAGAACTCCAGTCAAGACAAATGAAATTCTTAAAACAGCAAACTTTTGAAAATGCGAACAAACCGGGTAAATGTTTGCAAACCAAATCCGGAAAAAAAGACAGATAAACCATATATCCAAGATAACAACTAAAGACAAGGATTTGAGGACGGACAAAGAAATTATAGAGGAGTTTAGGAGATTTTATACTCAATTATATACAAAGGATAAGATAATGAAAGAAGACATCATGGAGTACATCGGCCAAATGAAGTTAGACAAAATAACGGATGAAGACAGAGAAGCATTGAATAAAGAGATATCTGAGGAAGAAATAGAAAAAGCAATTAATAAAATGGATGCAGATAAGGCTCCTGGGCCAGATGGGTTCACGGCGGGGTTTTATAAATCCTTTAAACAACAGTTAATACCAATATTCAAAGTTATTGCAAATGAAGCGATGAAATATCAGAAGGTACCAGACTCTTGGAAGGAAGCGGAGATTACAGTGATACATAAAGAAGGCTCCCCTGAAACGGATATTAAAAATTACAGACCGATTTCCCTTTTAAACACAGATTATAAATTATTCGCAAACATTATGGCCACAAGGCTAAAATTATTCTTAAACAAATGGGTTGGAGAAGAGCAAACAGGTTTTCTTCCAAATAGACACATGAAAGAAAATACACGCAACGTCTTAGATCTTTTGGAATATTATGAGATGAATCACCAAAAAGAATTCGCCATTTTATCAATAGATGCCGAGAAGGCTTTTGATAACTTGAACTGGGATTTCTTCAAGATACTAATACAAGAATTAGATATGGGGGAAAAATTTAATAATGCAATCAATGCTATTTATGAATTTCAAAAAGCCAAAGTGAAAATAAATGGTCAAATGACTCAAGAATTTGAAATCGCAAAGGGTACCAGGCAAGGGTGCCCACTATCCCCATTGATTTTTATAATGGCAGTGGAGATCCTAATGAAGAAAATTAGAGAAGATGAAAAGATAAAAGGAGCGAAAATTGGTAAATTCGAATATAAGATACGAGCGTTTGCGGATGACTTATTAGGAACAATTGAGGATCCTGAGAAAAACTTACAAAACTGGATAACCAAGATAGAGCAATTTGGGAAAGTGGCCGGTTTCAAAATGAATATGAAGAAAACAAAACTGCTATTTAAAAATGTGGAAAAGGAGAAACAAACAAAGATTCAACAACAATTAGGGATAGAGAGCGTTAAGAAAATTAGATACCTTGGAGTCTGGATTACAGCGAGAAATGGTCAGCTTCTGAAGAATAATTATGAAACAGTGTGGAAGAAAATTCAAAAAGACCTACAAAAATGGAATTCGTTAAACCTATCACTCCTGGGCCGGATATCTTTAATAAAGATGAATGTTTTACCTAAACTTATATTCTTATTCCAAAATATTCCGGTAATAAGAAATCAAACCCTATTCATAAAATGGAAGAAGGATTTATTGAAATTTATTTGGAAAGGAAAAAGACCAAGAATAAATTATACAAATCTAATTGACAAAAAAAAACAGAGGAGGGCTAGGATTTCCTGACTTGAAGACTTATCATGAGGCATGTGCTCTGTCATGGATAAGAGATTGGATGACCTTAGATAAAGAAAAGTGTTTAAATTTAGAAGGACATGACCTGAGAGTAGGATGGCACGCATACGTTTGGTATAACAGAGAATTAAAGGAAAAAATTTTTGGTAATCATTTTGTGTGAGCCTCCCTACTGAGGACATGGTTGAGATATAAAACCCTCTTTTATAAAACTACACCATTATGGGTCTCGGCAATGGAGGCCCATCAAAGAAGACTCTTAGGATGGAGGGTTTGGCCAAGATATAAGGACATCCTGTTAAAAGGGAAAATGGAGATTAAATCTTTTGAACAACTCAAGAACTTGGTTACATTATTTACAAATCAAAGAATATTTTAAACAAGATCAAAAAATTGGCTTTGACTGGGAAGAAAACACATGGGATAAAGTATTAAAATCACAAAAGAAAACAGTTACAATTCTCTATAATAAATTGGTCCAGTGGCTAACGGAAACTGAGCAGGTGAAAACATGCATGATTAAGTGGGCTGAAAATTTAAGACGGCCCATTCAATTCAGAGAATGGGAGCAAATATGGAATAAAAAGTTGAAATATACTTATGCTATGGATCTGAAAGAAAATTGGTATAAAATGTTTTATAGATGGTACTTGACACCGAATAAACTTAGTCATATGTATCAAAATGTCTCAGATAAGTGCTGGAAATGTGGGGAACAAAGAGGCACATTCTACCACATGTGGTGGACATGTAAGGACACAACTAAGTTTTGGGCAACTATTCATGAGGAGGTACAAAAGATGCTGAAGAAGAAATACAAAAAGAAACCTGAATATTACTTATTGGGATTTACGGACTCTGATTTTAAATTGGAGGAGAATGAAGATAAACTACTTACATACCTTACTACAGCGGCAAGGATTGTTTTTGCCAAATACTGGAAGAATGATCAAATACCGACCATTGAAGAATGGTTGGAGAAAGTTAAAGAAATAAGAGATATGGATGAACTAACTTTTTTGATGAGAAGAAATACCGGAAAATCATTAAAGAGGACAGATTGGTCTCTTTTCTATGACTATGAGAAGAAATTTAAAAAAGCATGAGAAGACTAGAATAGATAAGCAAGATGAAGAAATAATGCGAGAAGATCCTGAGGACGGAGTGGAAGTCATTTTAGATTAGTTTAGGGTTTTTTTTTCGTTTTTTTTTGTTGTGTTTTTGTCTCTTTTTCTTACTTTCCTATCCTCTTGGTATTGTTCCCCCTCTTTCCCTGTGGTGTTTTATAAAAAGTTTAATAAAAATTATTTTAAAAAAAAACATAACATATAATAAAAACTAAACAAATCAATAAAATATAATAAAAACTAAACAAATCAATAAAATATAAATTCATAGCGTCTCCTTGTTAAAAAAAAGAAAAGTTTCTCACTTAACAATTATATATGGGTATCTCTAAAGTCATGAAGACAAGAAAGTCATGAATGGAAATAAAGCTCTTCTACATTAGTGAAAAGCTGGGAGAATAACCCACCATTGCTGTTTTTGAGAATGTTTTTGCCATTTTCTGGTACAATTTATTCTGAGAATTTGGTTGGGAAAATACAGTATTATAGGTTCAAGAACGTAACTGCAAACAAAACATGAAAGGCAAACCATATTATTTATATTTTCAAAGTTAATTAGATACTACACTGACCTGGACTGCTTTCTATGATGTCATCAGGTTCAGTAGTGCATGGAATTGTTGTTGATGTTGTTGTTGTTGTTGTTGTTACTGGTGGTGGTGGTGGTGATGATGATGATGTAGTTGTAGTAGATGTTAGAGGAGTCACAGAGGTTGTTGTGATAGATGTGGCACATATATCACTACAGCAATAAACACTAATTTCATAATCAAGGCACATTGGTGCTAGTCCTCCTTGGGGTTGATCACTGTTTTTACACAGTAGTCCTGAGGAAACATCACACACCAGCTTTTGTTCCAGTTCATGAATAGGGATAGTAGGGAATTTTATAGCTCTGCATGAAATATTTAATGGATGTGAGCAGATAGCTACACCATTTCCCCTGATATTTGGATAGGTTTCATCGTCACCTCCATCCTTGTCAGCATAGTTTGGCTTACTCACACTGATCCATTCAGACCACTGGCAGACGAAGCACTCAGCTGCAAGAGAAAAATTAAGCTCATTTTCAGAAAAAAGTATCAGGTAACTGCAATGAATTTTCTAATACTCTTGCTACAAATTTGCTCACCTAAAGCATAGAACAAAAATAAAGGCAATAGAAATGCAAGCAAATGTTTATAACACAATGAACACAATTGCCATAATTAAAATGCCTAATATTTTTAACCTTTTCTTGTTGATAAATTTAGCCACTATGTGTGAAAATTGACGTACAAACTGATCAGATAATGTGCAACTTGACCAAAATGGATAGAGTATGTGGATGTTTCCTCTGAGAAAATTATCATCTTTCCACAAAAAACCTTTTTAAATGTTGTCATTTTTTAAAAAATGTAGAATAACGTCCTATTTTTAAAGAGGGAGGATTGTTTTTGTGTCAAATTGTGCAAGTCAAATTGTGCAAGTCAAATTGGCGGTCTACAATTCCCAGGGGACACCCGGATGTTTTACCATCCTGTGGGAGGCTTCTCTCATGTCCCCGCATGAGAAGCTGGAGTTGACAGATGGGAGCCCACCCCGTCCCCAGATTCAAACCAATGACCTTTTGGTCAGTAGTTCTGCCAGCACCAGGGTTTAACCCATTGCACCACTGGGGGCTTCCAAGAGGGAGGATGAATTAAGTTTAATCTACAAAGTTTAAATAATATTTTATTTAGCTATGAAACCAAACCAAAAGACAGATATATTTCTAGGAAAGAACTACCTCTTTGTTTTACTTGTTTTAGTTGTTATTGCTGAGCTTTCAGCAAAGAAAAGATTGAAACATGTAAAAAATACAACTGGTTCTTGAGATGTGTTACCCATCTTATTTTGTAATGGGATCTTATCTATTCTGATTCTCAAGGTAAAAATTAGGGACACAATTCTTCAGTAAATTTCTTCTTCAAAGTAATAGGTAATTTCAGCAAGTTTCTTCCTACTTTGAGAAAAGCCATACTATTTTCAACGTTTACTTGCAATTCAGAACCAATTTAGTGAAGAAGTCCCATGTGGTTGTTTTGTGTAAGAGTAAGCATTTTATTTTATTTTTAATTTCTTTTGGAGAAACACACTTTTCTGTAAGAAAAATAACATTTCGATGTAGAAATGTTTCCTACACAGAAAATTCTGTAATTTGAAATGTATTCTGCATAAGTTTCACATGTTGTTGATTTTCTGTGCAAGAATTAATATTTCAGTGTTAAAATGTTATTTCTCATTCAAAAAAGCTGTTTCCTGCACAGAAAATGTTGGTTTCAGTACAAAAAGGATCACACGTAAAATGTAAGAGAAATGTAAGAGAGTAAAATTAACATAAATCTACACATGCAAATAATATATATATATATATTCCAACTAAAGAGGGAAGTGCAGTATTACTACACAGAGTAAATATAATTTTAGGCTAGTAAACATACTGTTTACTTTTCTTTAAAAACCCCTCAGCAGAAAGAAGAAAGACATAGCAAAATATTACTTCACTCCAGTTCTGTCAGTATTTTTTGACATAGTTTTCTTTCTAAGTGTAATATATTTTAGCATATATATAATCAGGGGTGGGGTTAAAATTATAAGACATATGGTGCTTTTGTACTTACTTGTTGAGCCTGTTGCCATTGGAGATGGTGTTTGTAGAAAGAAAAAAAGGAAGGAAGGAAGGAATAAATTACATGTTGAAGTCACATACACTGGATCATATGGTGTAAGAAACATCTTCTATACTTATATCATGAAACATTGCACATTAAATTACTGTCCTAAAATTGACTGCATCAATTTCTATTTGCAAGTATATGATATACAGTTAGCATTCAGTATTTTTCATATTTCTTGGACTGATTATTTTATTCATGATATGCATTATGATAAATTAATTACACATTACTTACTTGTAGTTGTAGGTGATGTTGAGGTGGTAGTAGTAGGAGTGGTAGTTGGCGTAGTAGTTGGAGTGGTGGTGGTGGTAGTAGTTGGTGTAGTAGTAGATGATGTGGAGGTAGTGGTAGGAGTAGTAGTAGGTGTGGTCGTGGGAGTGGTGGTTGAAGTGGTAGTAGGAGTGGTGGTTGGTGTAGTAGTAGGAGTAGTAGTTGGCGTAGTAGTAGGAGTGGTGGTGGTAGTTGTTGGTGTAGTAGTAGGTGATGTGGAGGTAGTGGTAGGAGTGGTAGTTGGAGTGGTCGTGGGAGTGGTGGTTGAAGTGGTACTAGGAGTGGTGGTTGGTGTAGTAGTAGGAGTGGTAGTTGGCATAGTAGTAGAAGTGGTGGTGGTAATTGTTGGTGTAGTAGTAGGGGATGTGGAAGTAGTGGTAGGAGTGGTAGTTGGAGTGGTGGTCAGAGTGGTAGTAGGAGTGGTGGTTGATGTAGTGGTAGAAGTTGTAGAGGTTGTGGTGAAAGTAATAGTTGGTGTAGTTGTGGAGGGAGTCGTAGTTGGAGGAGTTTCACAAGTAATAGTTTTGCAGCAGTACACACTGATTTCATAGTTGTTACACTGAGGCTGAGGGTATAACCCAATTGGCTGATCCTTATTGTGGCAAATCAGCCCAGTCATAACATCACATTCCACTATTTGTCCCAAATCCTTGATGGAGGTTTGTGGAAATTTCACAGCACGGCATGATATATTTTCTGGCCTCTCGCAGATAGAGATGTTGTGGGCTCTGATGTTGACATAGGTTTCATTGTCACCCTCATCTAAGCCATCATGGGGGAAATCCACATCAATCCACTGGGACCACTCACAAATTTCCGAAGGCACACAAATTGCTGCAGTGACCCATAAAAATAACAGAGGCGTTAAGTGTGCTGGTCTGAAATAAATATACTAAGCAACTATAAAATGCACCACATTTATGAGAAATTCTTGCTCACAACAGTTGTCTCTACCAGGACCTTTCTTACCCTAAACAGTTATAGTCCCACCTACACAGATCATTTAATGCTGCATCAAAGCAGTGTTGAAGAAAGGGGTTTCACTGTACAGATTGTTACATAGGAAATCCTGTTACTGGTCTAAGGTCAGGTAGTAATTATACATACTACAGAGTGCTGATACACATTGAGGGCCTTCTTTTGTGCACTTCTGTGGGAGTTTGTTACTTGGTTGCCACAGGTCGAAACTAGGTTTGCATTGCATCAAGTCCAAGTGCAGATAGGGCCCATATCAGATTGATACTACTTGAAATGACAGGACTTTTTCCTATAGAATCCTTAGATCTCTAGCTTAATGGAGCACTACAGTTTTCTGAAATCTGAAGGATGGCATTATGACATTTAAAGTAGTCGCAAAATGGGAAAATATTTAGATTGAATGAAACCCAGTTTTTGAATTGTACTACCAATTGTACCACCAGCCATTTTGGTCACAATGACATCAGCATTACCAAACCATTCCTAATCTATACTTCGATTTGAAGTGCCATTGTTGTTATTCAAGAGATCATGACTGATGGCAGAGGGTGCATCTACACTACATAATTAAAACAGTTTGACCCCACTTTAACTGCCATGGCTCAATGCTTATAGCTATATTGAGCCATCGCAGTTAAGTGCTGTCAAACCACATCCATTCTACAGTGTGGATGTACCCTGAGTAAACCAAAGTGACATGTTTCCTAATGAGAAAAGTGAGATAATAGCATGGTTTCGAAACTGACTTCAAGTAACTCCCAACCAAAGCATTATCCATTGGCTATTCCTTAGTGGCTGTTGACATAGGTTTACACAGCTTAGGGTGCTGTGACAATTGTGTTCCTTCCGATTTCAATACATTTTTTAAATTTATGCTTTTGTTTCATAATTGGCTAGTTACATTCAGACTGGATTACTGGATTCTCTGTAGTTTGAAGATTATTCCTATATTAAAATTGCATTTTTATTCCTATGCATTTTCTCTGTGCATTAATTCGAAGCATATCTCCTTCCTTATGTTCTGTACTACAATTTACAGAAATAAATGATTAAAAGCATAACTATCAACATTACTCCTGGGCAGTTCCAGGGAAATGGCTTAGCTGGACTTATAAGAGAGATACTTTCTGAGTCAAGCCTTGCTTATACAAAATATTTACAAATAAATAGGCTAATTGAGTCTCATAATAAATGCTCTTTAATTCTTTGCTTCTTGAAAGCAATATGTTCAGGAATAGCAGCAGTAGTACTGTACATGAAGGAAACATCTTGCTTATCACTTGATCAGGGGTGAGAATTGAGAACATAGTATTTTAAAATTATAAGACATATGGTGCTTTTGTACTTACTTGTTGAGCCTGTTGCCATTGGAGATAGTGTTTGTAGAAAGAAAGAAAGAAAGAAAGAAAGAAAGAAAGACATTACATGTTGCAGTCCCATATACTGGATCATATGGTGTAAGAAACATCTTTTATACTTATGTCATGAGACATTGCACATTAAATTCCTGTCCTAAAATTGACTGCATCAATTTCTATTTGCGAGTATATGATATACAGTTAGTATTCAGTATCTTTCATATTTCTTGAACTATTTTATTCATGATATACATTATGATAAATTAATTATGCATTACTTACTTGTAGTTGTAGGTGAAGTTGAGGTCGTAGTAGTAGGAGTGGTAGTTGGTGCAGTGGTTGGAGTGGTGGTGATGGTAGTTGTTGGTGTAGTAGTAGGTGAAGTGGATGTAGTGGTTGGAGTGGTAGTTGGTGTAGTCGTGGGAGTGGTGGTTGAAGTGGTAGTAGGAGTGGTAGTTGGCGTAGTAGTTGGGGTGGTGGTGGTAGTTATTGGTGTAGTAGTAGGTGATGTGGATGTAGTGGTTGGAGTGGTAGTTGGTGTAGTCGTGGGAGTAGTGGTTGAAGTGGTAGTAGAAGTGGTGGTTGGTGTAGTAGAAGGAGTGTTAGTTGGTGTAGTAGTTGGGGTGGTAGTTGTTGGTGTAGTAGTAGGTGATGTGGAGGTAGTGGTTGGAGTGGTAGTTGGTGTAGTTGTGGGAGTGGTGGTTGAAGTGGTAGTAGGAGTGGTGGTTGGTGTAGTAGTAGGAGTGGTAGTTGGCGTAGTAGTTGGAGTGGTGGTGGTGGTTGTTGTTGGTGTAGTAGTAGGTGATGTGGAGGTAGTGGTAGGAGTGGGAGTGGTGGTTGAAGTGGTAGTAGGAGTGGGAGTGGTGGTTGAAGTGGTAGTAGGAGTGGTGGTTGGTGTAGTAGTAGGAGTGGTAGTTGGCGTAGTGGTCGGAGTGGTAGTAGGAGTGGTGGTTGATGTAGTGGTAGAAGTTGTAGAGGTTGTGGTGAAAGTTGTAGTTGGTGAAGTGGTAGTTGATGTAGTTGTGGAAGGAGTAGTAGTTGGAGGAGTTTCACAAGTAATAGTTTTGCAGCAGTACACACTGATTTCATAGTTGTTACACTGAGGCTGAGGGTATAACCCAATCGGCTGATCCTTATTGTGGCAAATCAGCCCAGTCGTAACATCACATTCCACTATTTGTCCCAAATCCTTGATGGAGGTTTGTGGAAATTTCACAGCACGGCATGATATATTTTCTGGCCTCTCGCAAATAGAGATGTTGTGGGCTCTGATGTTGACATAGGTTTCATTGTCACCCTCATCTAAGCCATCATGGGGAAAATCCACATCAATCCACTGGGACCACTCACAAATTTTCGAAGGCACACAAGTTGCTGCAGTGACAGATGGAAATATCACAAAAGTTATATGCATAGCACAGATATCAATATACTAAGCAACCATTGAATATATATGGATATAAAAATTATTTTTATCACTATAAGACCATTACACTATGTAACAATTTTTTAAAAAATCTGTTCCTGGCTGTATGGTCATGTTCCAGAAGCATTCCTTCCTAACATTTCACCCACTTCTGTGGCAGGCATCCTCAGAGGTTGTGAGGTCTGTTGGAAACTTGGCAGATGGAGTTTATATATCTGTGGAATGTCCAGGGTGGGAGAAAGCACTCTTGTCTGTTTGAGACAGGTGTGAATGTTGCAATTGGCCACCTTGATTAGTACCAAATGGCTTTGCAGCTTCAAAGAGTGGCTGCTTTTTTCCTGAGGGAATCCTTTGTTGGGAGGTGTTGGCTGGCCTTGATTGTTTCATGTCTAGAATTCCCCAATTTTTTTTAGTGTTGCTATTTATTTACTGTCCTGATTTTAGGGTTTTTTGACACTAATAGCCAGATTTTGTTCATTTTTATGGTTTCCTTCTTTCTGTTGAAATTGTCCACATACTTGTGTATTTCAATGGCTTCTCTGTGTAGTCTGACATGGTGGTTGTTAGAGTGGTCCAGCATTTCTGTGTTCTCAAATAATATGCTGTGTCCAAGTTGTTTCATCAAGTGCTCTGCCGTGACTGACTCTGGTTGAATCCCAACAAAGGATTCCCCCAGGCAGGAAGCAGCCAGTCTTTAAAGCTGCAAGGCTATTCAATGCTAATCAACATGGCTAATTCTTTCTCCTACCCTGGACATTCCACAGATATATAAACCTCACTTGCCTAGTTTCCAACAAACCTCACAACCTCCGAGGATGACTGCCACAGATGTGGGTGAAACGCCAAGAGAGAATGCTACTGGAACATAGCCATACAGTCTGGAAAAATCACAGCAACCCAGTGATTCTGGCCATGAAAGCCTTTGACAACACAGTTTGTTCCTGGTTTGAAAGTGTTGTTTCCCAATAAATTGTGTGGTACTTTGAAAATAGTTATTATATTCCAGAAACTTTATTTTTGTTGCTGCCATAAACTGTGTTGAATTTGTTGAGATATTCATTGAAAAACAATAGCAAAATATGCTGCAGGGTGTCCCGCAAAACCAAAGTTTTTTTCAATTTGATTAAACTTTCCCCATGTTTTATGATAGAACCAATTAGGAAATGATATTTATCACCCAGGAACCAAAATCATGTTACATAGCATTACCTTTTCTGCTTATGGAAATGCTTGTTCAAGAATATAATTGACTTTGTCAAAGCTTAAGTTTTATTTTCCACCAAAAGCCAGAAATTAAGACAGAAATTTCCTGTCCTGAGATATTGTTTCTGCATAGATATCAGGGAATGATAGACACGATTTCTTGATTTGGTCCACCAGCCTGTCTGGAAACACTATAAATTGATCCTCCTTAAGGTCTTCTTTCCTCCACTCCATCCATATAATCTACTGATCTGTCCTGTTTTGTTTTGCCTTTTCCTTCCACTTCCGCTGCATCTTCTCCCTACTCTCTATTTTTCTCCATTCATCTTCTCTTCCATGCTTTCTGTTTTTCATGATCTTGTTTCTCTATTTATTGATCCCTCTAAGTGATTCCTACAATGACTCTAACAAAATTCAAGCACTATGACAGCAAAACTGCCATTCTGCAAAGGGAGGTTTCACAATTTGCTATAACACTCTAGGTAAAGGTAAAAGTTTTCCCCTGACATGAAGTCCAGTCATTTCTGACTCTGGGGTATGGTGCTCATCTTAATTTCTAAGCCGAAGAGCCAGTGTTGTCCATAGACACCTCCAAGGTCATGTAGCCGACATGACTGCATGGAGAGCCGTTACCCAGAGCGGTACCTATTGATCTACTCACATTTGCATATTTTCAAACTGCTAGGTTGGCAGAAGCTGGGGCTGACAGTGGAAGCTCACGCTGCTCCCCGGATTTGAACATGTGACCTTTCGGTCAACAAGCTCAGCAGCTCTGCGCTTTAACCCCTGTGCCACCAGGGGCTCCTTATAACACTCCAGTGGCATTAAAATAGTTACTTTATAGTTCATACTTTGTCCACATGGGCCCGAACTACACTTTCAGAATAACTGCATTGAATAAGAATATATAAGTCTACACTGCAGTTTAGTGCAATTAAACTACATTTTGAAACTACATTACATGGCTATGTAGTTGAGGCTATGAAAGAAGGGCAATTAAAGAAACTCGTTTCCTCCATAATCTCCCCCATAACAAAGATTTGGGGGATATCAAAAATAATATTAGATGAAAACATTTCAACTTTTGATGCCATGAGCTAGGGATTTGGTTGCATCATGGAATGCATGAATAAACTAAAAAGTTGCTAAACCATTTTACATAGGTAGGAACTGGAAGCATACATGGGAAACAATGTTAGGGATCATGTAGCCATCCACATACCAAACTGCAGCTCCCAGCATTACAGCCAGGCCTCTACATTTGCAGGTTTAATTTTTAAAGATTTCACCATTCCCAGATGTAATTAAAATGTTCTCTCTAGGAATTTCTAGGACATCTAATGTGACTCTGTAAAGTCAGACTAGAAGACCCAAAGGTTCCTCGAAAGAACACTCCATTTAACATTTCTCGCCTCCTCTTTGCTCCACAACAATATTTTTCAAGCCATATCTTAGATGATGGGGGTCCTCTAAGATATTTATGCATATTTGTGTGTATTTTTATTTTGTACTTACTTGTATGGCCTGTTTCATCAGCAATGATGTTAGTAAAAGAAAAGGAAAGAGAAAAGAAAGAGAAATTAATAGAACCCTTCAGCAATTTGTAATTTAAACAAATGATTTTAGGTTAAATTGCAAGTTGAATTTACATCCTAAGTAAATGTTTGTTATACTATACGCTCTTGAAATAACACCCTAGAAGTCAGCATGAATAAAGCCATCTGTTTCTATGCATATATATGATTACCAATCAGTGTACTTTACACTCTGATAAATTAGCCATGGTATACCTCTGCCTCACTTTGCTGGGATGGGGCTTGAAAACACTTGTTTAGAATGGCTCTTCTCCCTTTTGGAAGAATGACCCTAGAAAGTGTTGCTGGAGATTCCAGCTAGATTCGTTGGCCATTGATCTGTAGGGAACCCCAGGGTTCCACTCTGTCTCCCATGTTATTCAACATGTCCTTGATACCACCGGGAGAGGTTGTCCAGAGGTTTGCGGTTCAGTGACACCTGTGTGCTGATTATGACACCACATCTATTTCACCTTTCCACCTAACTCCAGTGAAGATATTTAAGCCCTAACTCATTACCTGGCATCAATAATGGACCAGATGAAGGCAAGCAAATTGAAGCTCAGTTCAGACAAAATGGAAGAGCTCCTAATCAGTCAAAAGACCAGGTAATTGGGATATCAACTGTGCTAGATGGGGCTATGCTTCCCCTAAAGATGTAGGTTCACAATTTTAGTATAGTTAACAGTTTAATTCTCATCGGTCTCAACCTTTTGCACATTTTAAATTAAATTGTAATAATTTAAAATTGAAAGGCATCTTGAATCACAATTTTTGGATATAAACAAAGATGATAAGAGCAGCAATGATATAAATATGCTTGCATGCAAAACAGTATCATAAATAAAAAATTTCTTACTTGTAGTTGTAGTTGGAGTAGTTGTGGTGGTGGTGGTTGTGGTGGTAGTAGTAGTAGTAGTAGAGGTTGTTGTAGAGGTTGTTGTGGGAGTAGTAGTAGGAGAGGTAGTGGTTGTAGTTGTTGTTGTGGGAGTAGTGGTAGGAGAGGTAGTGGTTGTAGTGGTTGTTGTGGGAGTAGTGGTAGGAGAGGTAGTGGTTGTAGTAGTTGTTGTGGAAGTAGTGGTAGGAGTTGTAGTGGGAGTAGTGGTAGGAGAGGAAGTGGTTGTAGTGGTTGTTGTGGGAGTAGTGGTAGGAGTTGTAGTGGGAGTAGAGGTAGGAGAGGCCGTGGTTGTAGTGGTTGTTGTAGGAGAAGTGGTTGATGTAGTTGTAGTTGGTGTAGTGGTAGTTGGTGTGGTTGTGGTGACAGTAGTCGTTCCACATAAAGGTGAACAACAGTACACACTGATCTCATAATTATAACAGAGGTTCCACACTGTCTGATCTTGATCTTCATTTCTGCAAATGAGTCCATAGGTAACATTGCACTCCACCTTCTGGCCCAAGGCTTCCAAACTTTGATCAGGTGCAGCTTTAGCCCTGCACTGTATGGCTTCTATAGCTAATGGGCTTGAGCATATTTGAGTGTTTTCTTTATTTCTTATGGCATCATATGTCTCATAGTCACCACCTCCTGGCTCATCTGTGGGATAACTGACATCATACCATTTACTCCAATGGCAGACACATGGAGCTGTAAGACAAATATGAAAGTCATTCTCCTGAGTTTAATTTAGTGAGTCATATGAACAATATTTCGATCATAAAATGACAACAATTTGATGCCATCATATCTTTCCATGTTCACCAGTCAAAAATTAGCATGAAGAATTCCTTAGGGATGAGAGCTAGAAAGGCAGACACTCATATCCCAGGACCCATTAGACTTCAAAAAATCATCATCATTATCATCATCATCATCACCCCACCTATCTCTAGATTGAAACTCAAAGTGTCTTACGCAGAAGATTTACCACAGTGCTATTATTTGGTATTCCTTTAACAAGATCCAAGGACTGCACCTGAGAGCGTAATACATGCAAAACATTTACTGTACCCCAAATACTATTTCAAGACTTACTTGTTGCAGATGTGGTGGTTGTTGTAAAGGCTGAAATGGAAGGGAGAAAACCTGATGAGTTTTTATTTTTCCATATTTTTAAACAATTTTATACTGCTTTAAAAAAATAAAAGCAGCAAATGTATATTGTCAGCATTTCAAGCTTACTTGACGTTGTTGTGGTAGTAGTAGAAGTAGTAGTTGAGAGAGTTGTTGTAGGAGGAGCTGTTGTTGAACCACAAAACCACACGTCAAGATGCATGCTGCCATTTGACAAGCATGTCCAGTTGAAGCAGGTTGATCCATTTTTCTCAAAAACACTTTCTCCCTCCTGGTAATCTTTCCCATCAAAACAGCAGCCTGTATAAAAAGAAGGGAAAAAACAGTGGATTAAATGCTTCTATTCAAAATATAGTCAAAAACATGGCATCAAAACACAACAATCCAGAATGCAAATGTGGACCTTGTTTCCAAAAAGTACCAAATCCATCTGAATCAAAAATGTGCTGATGACATGCACACTTTTTCTATAAAATGCAATTTTCTAATTCCTGTACTGAAATGTTTTGATACTTTTTGATAGTTTTGATCTGTACATGGTCTGCTCCTAGCCAACAATATTCTGCTGCCTACAAGTCGTCTTCTTCTTGTTTGAGGGGTGGAGGGAGGGGAGTGGTACCTTTTGGAAACAAATTCTACAAATAGTGTCTTCTCCTTCCATTATAATGTAAATATGATTGAACACTTTTTATTTAACCTGCTGATGTATAGGATATTGCTATTATTTTTGACTGTGAACACATTGCTTGCAGGTAGGCTCCATAGAAATATATGTGACTTACTTCCTAGTAAGTATGTTGTAATATCTAAACAGTGTATAAAGTGAATGAATCCCAAGCCGTATACACCCTTAGAGTAAGCAGCAGCAGAGTCTCCATTATAAGACCATCTCTGTGGGAAATCTCTGTACACAGGAATTACAATGGCTATATCTCAAAATTTCCCTCACAGTCACTCCCATTCCCAGGCAGACAGAATTTATATAAATGGTCCCACACACACATACCCCCCATGTAAGTTCTATATATCAGCTTTGTTTCAATGGTAGACCAGTGATGGACAAAAGGTACTTAAAACAAGTTAACTTTTTAAATAAGTGTTTTAAGGTTTGATATGTTTTTAATTATTGTTTTAATATATATGTTTATTTTATTGTGTATATATGTTTATATGGCATTGAATTGTTGTCTATATATGTAAGTCGCCTTAAGTCCCCTATGAGGTTGAGAAAGGTGGGGAATAAATAGGGTAAATAAATAAATAAATGAAATTAACTTTCCTAATTGGTGAATAAACCTGTATCCCAACTCCCTTCCAATTAAGTCAAGGAATCACACATGTCTCTCCTCCTTTGCACTTCATGTGTGTTTGCTCAAGTTATTCCTGACTTATGGCAAAACTATCATAGGGTTTTCTTGGCAAGATTAGTTCTGCCAGATGTTCCCCATTCCCCCTCCATCTTGTGGTCTTGTAAAACCTGCTTCAAAGGAAGGTGTGAGGATTTTGTGGGAGCATGTTTCTGGACTGACAGGTCTGTGTGTGAACTTGTTATCAGGTCCTGGGTTTTTTGCCTCACTTTTAAAACCTGCACTTTGATGCTGTCTGGAAGACCTCATAGTCCTATATTCAAATCACTACTTCCCAATAACCTTTGAAGGTACATTAGAGTGACAAGGAGTCACTAAAATCTTTCAGTGACTGTTATTACTTAGTCAGGACTAAAGTATACATAAGCCAATGCTCTTACGAATCACAAATATTATAACTGGTATTAAATATAATATTTTATTGATACAATATGCTCTAGAATTCCGAACAGTGTTGGAGTCATAAATAATAAGCTCCACTATACTCAGTGGAAACTATTTCCAAATAAAATTATTGGGTTTGTACTTTGAAAAAAGAATTAAAAAATAATAATATTTAATAAAAACAATGTGAGAAGCATGTTGACAAAGGCTTTCATGGCCAAAATCACTAGGTTGCTGTGAATTTTTGGGCTGTATGGCCATGTTCCAACATAATTCTTTTCTGACATTTCACCTGCATCTGTGGCTGGAGCCACAAATGCAGGTGAAATGTCTGGAGAGAATGCTGCTGGAACATTTCCATACAGCCCAAAAAAATCACAGAAACCCAATGTGAGAAGTGTTAAAAAGTCTGATTGTTAACTGAACCAACTCTTCTTCAATGAAATCCTTTATTAGAGAATGACACAAAAATTGAGAAAGGCTATGCAAAGAGAAACAATTGGCGGCGGGGGAGGGGGGGGTCATTTTAAATCAATCTTCAACTGCTTGATAAGGGTATGTGAAAGTATATGGTATCCATCCCTTTTGTTTCATATTATAAAAAAGAGCAAAATGAAACATACCATCTCTTTTCTTGCATTGCACATTGGATCCTGTGATGCAAAAACTGAAATATGAAAAAGATTATTTTATAAATAAAATATTTGAAGTCTTAATTTCTATTCTCATCCCAATTATTCCTACAGTGACTGACAAAACCGAAAACCATGCAATAATTTAAAAGAGTTAAAAGCAAAGAGCAGGCAACGTAGCCTAACAAAGGATAAAGTTAAGCCTCTAATTCTCATTTTGCTATCTTCTGGAAGCTTATACATGGCTTATGAATTGGGCCTATTTGCCTGGGAAGGCAATTCCAAGACAGGGTATATATTCTAGATATGTGAGAGCTCTAAGCTCCCCACATTCACACAATTGTTAAACGTGGCCTATTCTGCCAATCTGAAGGCACAAAAGGAAATATATATATATACTTCTTTAAATACATTTGGACAGGCCATTTGAGCCTCTGCATAACATAACCAATACCTTACTGAACTGAGGCCCCAACAACACAGGTTTTAACCTCGAGTGACAGGGAGTCAGTAAAAGGTTTAGGTTAACCTTTTAACCTAAAATATGCTCACCTTGCAACTGAAATCACTGGTTTAGGAAGTTACAATTGGTAAATAGGTTTAGCTTACTATTAAGTCACACAGGCTTCGGAAATAAGCAAAGATTACAACAACAAAGCCTCACTTCTGTAAACATCTAAACGTCAGCCCCAGTTCCATGATGACTATGACCATCATAAAGAAGAAAAATGCCAAATTCCTATCGGATTGAATTCCTATGGTAAGGAAATCAATCACAAATTGTGTTAGGGGACTACTTCACTGGCAATTGTCTGGGAAATGCCAGATAGATACATCTCCTTCTTAAAGGAGAGCTCTATAACATCTAGAATGCAACATGTTCAAGTAAATGTGTGGCAATGACCCTACAAATATTTTCCACTTCAGAAGAGGAAGTGTCTTCATAAAAATGAATAGTGTCAGGCCCAAAAGTCAGCAATGTAAATAGCCTTGTCTGTACAAATGTTTTCCTGCCACTTTAGAATCCATCCTCTCTGCATCCTCAACATACCAGTCTTCACACAGGTCTTTGGGTTGGTAGTTGGGTATAAGTTGGCCACTTGGATAGTACACGCCATCGTAGTAGCAAGAACACTCATCTTCTGCAACACATGTGTTGGTCCCTGTGTCATAGAAAGGCGTCTCTGGAGGACATCGTGGGTAGCAACCTATTGCCCAGAAAGATGGGGTTTTATTAAATAACAAAATAACATATTGTCAATACAGTATACAACAAGAAAAAAAAATCAAAAATTAAAGCAAGTGTTAAAGCAGAACTAAAAAAAAACAATAACACTAGCCAACACACATTTTGGTGCCCCAAATGTATCTGGGTGTATTTGACTTCCTGATTCCAAAAATGGCACCAGGTTTCTCCTGTCAGCTCTAATTTTGAGATATAGAGCATTTGCCATTATACCAGTCACCTGCACATTCATAGAAAATCATGATAACCAAAAGCTAGAACCAATGTGACTTAGCTAATACAATTTTCTGAATCAGCACCCCAAATAACCTCAGAGGCAGGTCTCAAAAGCAAGGCACCATACTTTTCCTAACAATAGTACAACCTACTGAATTGTGGCTTCAACTGGGTAAGGACAGTGGAATCAGAACTGAGAATCAAGGTAAGGACAGTGGAATCAGAACTAGGAAACAACAGTAATATTCATCATCATCATCATCATCATCATTTAATTACTTATTAATCGCCCTCCATCCAAGATGCTCTAGGCGATTAGGAAAGAAGCAATCCTCCACTCATTTCCTACTATGGTAGTAAATATATGTTTTACGCTTTACCTATGTTAATCACTTCTGACTTGAAAAAGGAATAAAGAAGAGGGAGAAGTTGGTCAAGTGCACTCTTTCAATTGCTGTTTCAAAGCAGCTTTAAGCACATACAGTCAGCCTTCCACATTCACTGGGATCAAGGGTACAGATCCCTTGGAAAAGTATAAAGGGAAAAGAGAAAACCTTCCCAGGAATTTTGATGTCTTCCAGCATGACTCTATATTCAGCTTTGAGTGGAAGATGAACATAAAATCGCATGGAAGGACCTAGAGGAAGTTGGCCATAGAGCCACACTAGATAATTTTGAGATTTGTAGAGAGAACATTTTAAATTAAATCCATGAATAATCAAATCGAAAGAACAAATGTTGAAGGACAACCATAGTTTAAAAAACAATTCTTTTCTTTTGAGGTCAGAACTCCTCCCTGAGATTCTTCACCTAATTCTGAAGTGGGACTAAGCCCTGAAGCCTGGGAACCCCAATAGTCCTGTTTTTTCAATGGACATAACAATAAGACCAAGCTTTCCACACAAAAAAGAAAATTGATAGGAAGGGAAATCTTTCAGCTCAGACAAATTGAAGCCTATGAGTCCCAGCCTCAACAGCTAAAACAGGGTGGACAATTTTTGGGAATCAAGGAGGTCTTAGTCAAAGTCCCTGGATATCAATAGCACTGAAGCCTTTTCACTGAAAACAATATTAAATAATGGCCTCAGTACTTGACTATTCTATTGCACATACGAAATAGATGCCCTGAAATAGGGTTTTTTTCTTAATGTTTTTAATTTTTTTTAAAAAATTACATATTAACTTGGGGACCTTGTGGCTTGGTGGCATTTATGGCCAGAGAACATACTTTACCCACTAGTGTGTAACAGCATGATCGTGTTTCCTGTTTATCTATACATTCTTAAGTTTGCTGGGTAATATATTTTGCAGAGCTAATATGTCTGAGAGAGAGCACCAAAAAGGCAATAAATAAAAAAGAGAAATCTTGTGAATAAGAATTCAGCAGCTGCTCTCTAGTTTGGGGAAAAACTGAGGCTTATTATCCAAGAACTAATATCTATACATAAGTCAAAGTATGTCTGTCTGTCCGTACCACAAAGGCAATTGCTAGGTTAAGCTGTCCTCTGTGATGTCATTGGATTGGCTGTTTCTAGGTGAAGGATTGACTATTGCTAGGCCCTTTGAGAAAGAAAGATGATATGAGGGGAAGGGAAGAAGGAAGAAAAGTGTCTTTTTTAAGACAAATCATTTTGTCCTTCCTAGAACAAATAGCCAGTGTCAGTGAGCAAGATTACCACTAAATGGCAATTTCTTACCTTCCAGTCGTGGCACTGTGATGTTACCAATATTATCAGGAATCACACAGACTAGAAGGTCTCGTCCACAAGGTTCATAGTGCCATTCACATATTTCCGGAGAAGGATTGTAGAAATCACAATAGATAGCTGGTAAAAAAACAAAAAAAGATACTCATCAGAAATCAAGGAGCAGAAAATTCTCTTTGTTCTACTCTGCCATGGAACACATTCTGATCTGAACCACAAAGTTTTAGGGTTGTTCAGCTCCTCCATATGATTATAAGCAATCCCATGATGGAGCTGGACAAATTCACTCTCCCCACTCATAATGCCTTGTCCTGTGATGATTCCAAAACCTAGCTCTTAATGCATTTGAAGGATCATCTGTAAAGAACTTTTTGACAGGGGGACCACACGGTCTTTTCCAGCTCTATGATTCTATGACATCCAGATTTATAGTCACAGTGTGAGCTCTTTCCATGGGAATACATTGTATAGGATTGCAGCCTAAATAAAACCAACTTGTGTTGAAGAAACAACTGTCTAACATATGGCGACCTCAAGGCAAACTTATCATGGAATATTGGCCAAAAAAAAAATCACAAGGAAATTGCCACTGCCTTCCTCCAGAGTGTTAGTTGTCTAAGACTCCAAAAGTGCAAAAACACATTTCAAAACATGTTGAGGCAGGTAGTTCAGAAACTTCACATTTGATTTTGGGGAACTATATGAAGTCTACAGCCATTCTGTGTCCACCATGGTTTAGGGTGATTAAAAATAATGTGTCCAGTACTCCAGTCATAGCAAATTGTTTAAGTCAGCGTGTTACTGAATCATCTTACTCATAGGTATTTTATGCATGTGTATATTGCCAGAAACCTGAAATACTCACGGCATATTTCAGGAGTTCTCCAATCGACACAGGCATCAGCTTTAGTGCATTCTTGAGCATAGGCAGCAACTGCAGTACAGAAGCATTCACAATCCCCCCCAGTGTCACAGGCACATGCATCATGTACACAAGCTTCATAGTATGGTTCTGGGTCCACCTATGAGAAAATTACAGCATTACAGAACTAAGAAATTTCTTTGGATTACTTATTCCCATACCCCTGCTCTAAGACAGTATTCTTAATCAACCACTACTTTTACACAGAATTATTAATCACTGTTAGCACACATGGATTTGGATTTTAATTTTCAAAGTATATTTATAATCCAGTTGCCTTCTCAGTCTCATGATGGATTATCTCACAAAGAACATTGGGAAACTTGCATTTGAAGCTAGAAACCATCCTTGTGATTTTAAGCTAGTAATGTTCTGTCTTCCTGTCTATAACAGCTTAAATTCTGTTGTTAGTCTCAACCGAAATTGATGCACTGAAACAATAGAACTTCAGTAAGTGTTGATTTACCAAATATCAATTAGTTCAGTGTTTCTGCTCAACTTGAAATGAATTTAAGTAAATAAATCCTATTTCAGAAAGCATTTCCCAAAACATAGCAGCCACAGAGAATTGAATTCTAAAGAGGGTATAGAAGGATAAATGGAAGTCCATCGCCTAGCCCAGCTCTGGGAACACCAAATATTGTTTGCTATAACATCTCCCTCTGTTCTTCTTAGTTCCTACACACCCATCTTTATGATAGGGATGTAAATCTTCCTTTGCTTTGTCATTTCAAAGTGTTTCATAATTGAGTGGGAGAATGGGGAGTCTAATTTTTTCAATGATTTTTTAAATCATTTCAGAAAACAATGTAAAATGTGTGTGTGTGTGTGTGTATTATTTATATCCTCTAAACTTTGTGCTGTTAACTTGGTTATGTGCTAAATAAAATCTGATTTGTGCAAAAGCCAACAAATACATCTTTTGTGAAATGTCTTTTAATGCTAGGGTTAAAAGACATATTGCCTTCCAACAAACCAATAGTACCAACCTTGCTGTGACATGATACAAAAACAGAACTTTTGATGAGACTGCACTCCTTCTCTGCCCAAGCTTTACGGTGCGGTTTCTTCTCACAGGGCTGAATGACAGTGTCCACATCAGGGCACAGACTGTCCTTTTTCCATGAATTTCCAAATGTCAGTGGATTATCTTCTTGAACCATACTCCTTGTTGTAAAGTCATTGCTGGCCTTGTCGTCAAAATTACCACATAAGCCACAGACGTTTCCCTGAAGAGAGGAAAATGCAAGACATTAGATGAACCACCTCTGATACAGGCAGCAAGTGAAGTCATCTTACAACTATGAGAAATTGTTTAAAAGGTTTACTATTTTAATTTGAAATTGTTTCAAGAGACATCAAACCCTTGAATTGTCTTTTCTGGACCTCCACAAGTCCCTTCCTTTTGGAGAACTAGAATATTACTTTTTTTCACTACAACACCCAGAATCCCCCAGCCAATATTCTCCACGACCACATTTGCTCAGGCCATTTGGAGGACTATAGTTTTAAAAAAGGAGTAGCTTTTCTTTGCTGTATGGAGGAAAGATCTATCTGTGCAACACAGTCTGTCTTTACTTCTAAAATGGTTTTGGCAGCTTCTCAGCTATGGCGAAAAAAGAATTAAGCAAGTTCTTGTATCCTTCACTCCAACAGTAAAATGTTTTTGGCTAGCCCTCGGCACAAGTTAGTGTATCTTGTGGACTCCATTCCCATTGGTAGAAAAAAGGCTGACAAATAGTACTCAAAGTGAGAAGTGGGGAAGAACTGTGTGATGACTTAATTGCAAATAAGGCATACTCAGTTTAGCCTGTGACTAACTTTCCATTCAGTAAGAAGCTTGGAACAATCAATCTTGGATTAATTGCAAGCAGTAATCATTAAAAGAGTAACAGTAGATACACCAAGACAAATGAATGACTAAATAGGGGCTAATATTGATCCCAATTTTAATAGTTAGTTTATTTTCAAAAAGGGTTCTTTTGGTGGAGAACATCTCACCCACATCCCACCCTGCATCTGCTCAGCTCATAAGAAAGATGATAGTACAGGTTGAGCATCCATTATCCAAAATTCCAAAGTCTAAAATTCTGTATCCCAAAATCCAAAACTGTCCAAATTGTTCTGATGGTTCAATGTATACAGACTTTGTCTCATGCACAAAATGATTAAAATATTCTGTATAAAATTACCTTCAGTCTATGTGTATAAGGCTTTGTATGAAGCATAAATGCATTTCATGTTTACACTATTATCCCATCCAAGGTATCCCCTTATGTATGTGCAAGTATTCCAAAATCCAGGGGGGAAATGCAAAAGATGAATACTTTTAGTCCCAAGCATTTCAGACAGGAGATATTCAGTGACTCAGTGTGTACCACAATGGAGTGGAATATATCATTCTCTTAGTTTTATTGGACCCCAAATCCCATAAGATAATACTTAATTCACTGCACAATAGCAAACGTTACATAACATTATAGAATACAGCTCCAAGTCACTCACTTTATAATGTGGTGCCAGCTTGATGAAAATGGTAGTTTTCTGGTCCCAGACAAGCATAATACCATTGCCAATCTCAATTACGATGTACAGGCCAACTCTCTGATAAGACCAAGGAGTTATGTTGCCACTTGCATTCAGTTTAATGTTGGCTATTTCTTTTTCTTCCAGCTTTAGCTCAGTGTTCTAAAAAGAAATGTAACAAAGGCTTTTTGTTTGTAATTCAAACATATTTTGGCATCTTTATTGGAAACTCCTTTTCAACTCACATAAATACCCAGTTTTAAACCGAATGGCATTATATACATTCTCAAAAGTAAAGCATACTTCCTTTTGAGAATTTCCCTCAATTTGCCAAAGCTCTATGCAAGTCATTTTAATCTTCCACACAGATTAATCCCTTCACAGGCCAGTTCCCTTCTAAGCCAATGTACCCACAAAAGTAGAAAAAAGTGAATTAATCAATATTTGTATTGTATTCATTTCTCCAAACTATGGCCTGTATATATCTTGACTTTTCCTATTGAAGAGGGAAAAAACTGTGAACATCCAGTTCTAGGTATTTGTTATATATTTTGGTTCTTCATAAATACTCAAAAGGAAAAATACACATACGTTTAAATGCACACATACTCTCTTTACTCAATGTAAGAAATGCATTTTTCCATCCATATCAGTATAATGTGATATCTGTATTGGTGGGACCAGTATATGTGATTTCATTTATCAACATTGACAAAATATGTTCTCCCTAGGTATTCTCTTGGTTCTCTAGCACAATTGCATAGTATTCTTGGGCCAGAAATTCATTTCAATAGGTTTCATTATTATCCATAATTTCACATATCTATTCAAAGTCTGGGAATATATCTCCTGCAGATATGGGAGTCATACTGCACAGTACATTTCTAAAATACTGTACATGCACATTCCCCTGCAGGATGCCCAAAAAGTGGCTTGCGTCTTGATATGGATATTGGACTAGATGAGAATAAAGATGAGATTCTAAGAAATTCCACAATAATGAAACTGACCGATTTTCACATCTCTGTTCATACATACCCCTAAAAACAACTTAATGGCCTTGGAGCAAGTCACTCCTGTAGTTCCACATGGGACATTCTCTGTGATGACACTAAATGTTCCCTCTGAATGTTTGTTGCCACAATAATCCTAGAGAAAACGAAAAAGATATTGAATAAATCAAAAATATTCTAATTTTCAATTGTAATTTAAGGGGGAAAACAATTAAAACTATATTGAATCTTTGTATTTATAGCAAGTTCACTGTACTTCCTGTCTAATGGATATTGGTTATTCTGAGAATACTCAGTCTCAAAGCATTTATGAAACAGAAAACTGAATGGACTGTTTTAATAAAGCATAATAAATAAAAAAATCAAATGCTGTTTAGGTGGTTTTATGATATTGACATCTAATCTTATATCACAGTTCACTGTGTAATAACTAAAGCTGACAGAGACTCACTTCCTATATGCAGAAATAACACATGGATGCCCTGTACCTGAACAATACAATTATATGCTGAAATACTGCATATACTTCTAAATTAAATGTTGCCATTATAAAACAAACAAAAGGACCCCATCTTTCCCACATATTGGAAAGTCCCTGATCACTCAGAAGGAACCCTTTTATCCTAACCTCTCCATGTACAAGGAGTTTTTAAAACCTGACAGCTATCACATTACATTACACTACATCCCATTAGTATACACCCACTAGCGTAATAGAACTTTGTTCCTTGCTCCTCCTTCTACATCCCATTGCACAAGCCAAAATTGGGATTCCTCATCCTCCTGGGGATGTGTGAGAGGCTGCGGGATAAAAGGGATATTACCCCCCTCCCACTGGTGAAAGCCATTCCCTCAGCAGTACATCACCAAATCATGGTTTCTAGCTGAACATTACCTGTGCAGCCACATATTCACAGTTACCATCGAAGTCATAGTTTCTTCCATCAAAGGTAATGTAATGGCCACTTCCATAAATGATGCATGTGCCATAACATACATTGGTGGTACATCTCCAGCTTCCTTTTTGGCAAGTACTAGAAATTGTGAAAAAGAAAATAATAACAATAATGACTGATCTCCTCCTCTATACAATAGTTCTTTTAAAAAAAAAGTGTCAGAAGTGACTTGATAACATACTTCAAGTCGTTTCTGATATGAGAGAATTGGCCATCTACAGAGGCATTGCTCAGAGAATGCCCGGATGTGTCATCATCCTGCTGAGGGGTTTCTCTCATGCCCCTGCAAGTTAGAGCTGACGGACTAGAGCTCGCCCCATTTCACAGATTCAAGCCAGCAACCTTCAGGTCAGCAACCCAACCTTCAGGTCAGCATCCAGCACAAGGGTTTAACAATAGTTCTGAAACACAGGTTCTGAAACTCTTAGTGTTGTCTATATTAGCTATTTAGGGAATTCACTCTGGATTCTATTCCATATTTTAAAGGGAGTATTCAAGGCATTGTGCCTATATGGGCATAAGATTCAGCACTTTGGATAACTTTGTTAAAATCTGTAGGAAAATAACAGAGGAAATCCATTGCACCCTGAAATGGAAGCCACCAGCCACCATTACAAACATATAGCCCAACACATTGTATTATTATTATTATTATTATTATTATTATTATTATTATTATTATTAGTGTAATTAATAGAAAAAGGAGGTCTTACCATGTGTTACAATCAACTCTTATTTTATCTCCAGTGGAATAAAAATCCTTGTTATGAATGCATGGGCAGTTCTCTTCTTCAACACATAGGCCTTTGCCATCATCAAGCAAACCCTCAGGGCAGATACATCCTGGGATACATTCTGTCTGGAACTATATAAGAAGCAAGAATAAAATATCACATCCCTGTTTCGTAAGCAGATCCATCAGAATCCACTTGTTTCACATCTGGTTATGCAGGCAGCTAAATCAGATTTCCTTTCAACATTCAAAGCTCATTGTTAATTGTCACTACTATTGGCTAAGGGAAGAAAGAGGTGTAACTTGTTTATAAGCAAAATATATGTGGCAGGTAGTGGTTTTCTTTTGAAAATATGAAGTGGCCAAATTTTTCTTTCTGTCTTTTAGCAAGAGATGAAGGAAGAAGGGACTTCAACTTCCAACATTCATTGAATACCTTTAGTAAAGGCACTATGGCAAAAAAAAAATCCTACATTCGGCAAGGGAGTCATGTCATGCTCTGTCCATGCATTTCCATGTGTTCCCTGTGCCATGCATAACTGGCAAGGCCTGGGAAGAGTGTCTGCTGGTGTTTGCTAATAGAGAGAAAAGGGAAGTTTTCAAAATCATTTTCAACCCATGACTTCAAATCGTTGGTCATCATAGCAAGAGTATTTAGAATCATAAAGTTGTATGGAGTCTCATGGATCATAGAGTCCAACTTTCTACTCAATGCAGCATCCCCATTCACTGACCCAATTCTATTTTCCACTACTTCATTGTGCCTGATTATTTTCTTTAAAGGAAAAAATCTAAATTTAAAGTTATGGAAATTTTATGGAATCTCTATAAGTGGAAAAAGGAGTGTTATTGTTAGTCAGCAATAAAAGGAGGAAATGTTTTAACTTAATGGTCAAATGAAAGGAAGACAGACTTACATGATCAGTGCCCAGGGTTTGGCAGGTAGCCTGCAGTGATGGTTTGGATGATCCAGAGCTGCAGTTTAAATATATCTTATTGTTTGGGCAATCTGTAGAAACAAACAAACAAATAAATAAAGTGTTCTGGTCCATCTTTATAATCTATAGAGAAATGAAAACACCGGAGTAAGAAAACTGGTGATTAAGATAATAGAACAACTGGCATTTACAAAACTTTGCAACATTCACTGTACAAATGTTAACCCTTTTACATATGTATGCCATTGACCAAGAATAGACCCCTAAAAAAGAGAATTGTATACTGTACTGTCCTGAAAGGTCATTAACACCAAATGCAGGCTGACCTGCTACATGTGGAGAATTCTTCTCTTCAGACAGAGAAACTTGGCCACCCATAGACAAGATTCTAAGCAGTGGATGCATTTCTTTAAATACTAGGATATAATAGGGCTTAATTCTAATATGCAAGTATAGGACTGCCCTAGTGCATGAGAAACATTTTTCTCAGAAAGATCATTGCACAAGATTCAACGTTCCCCAAAAGTAGAGCTAACTGAAGGTTGGGGACATAATATAGTTTTAGAAGTGTTCAACCTAATCAGCTTGGAAAGGAAATTCAGTTCCACTGTGCCCACTATCAAAGACAATCAAAGGCAAGATTAGACAAGTGGCAAAACAAAAACTTCTCACTTACCATGTTCTCCTGTTCCCACTGATACACAGTTAAACTTTCCATTTTTGCAAACACTAGATAAAAATACACAATAAAAAATAAAGCAAAAATTAGAGGCTGGATTTTGCATATATAATTAAACATACATTACTGAAGTCTAAAAAAGCAAGACTGTCATCTCTATTCGGCAATAATTTAATATACACATTGGATATTATACTCCTGATGTAAATGCTACAAGCAATTTTGAAAATTGCACAAAACACAGTACAAAATCAGGACTGCTAATAAGATGTTGTGACTGCTGCTGTTGCTTCCTCTCAAACTGGGACTTGGGGTAGAAAACTGAACCACTTACTACCCAATATTTTTCTAGAAAGACTCCAAAATTGGGAGTTAAAGTAACTCACAACTTACAATATAGTATAGTTAAACATAGAACCCACATAGTTTAGTTGTTTGAGTGCAGAACCATGACTCTGGAGTCCAAGGTTTCAATTCCCTACTCAGCCATGGAAACACACTGAGTGACCTTGGGCAAGTCACTGTCTGTCACCCTCAGAGGAAGGCAAAGGCGTTGAACAAATATTGTGATAGGTTTTCCTTACAGTTGCATAAGGTGGAAATGACTTGAATGGGAAAAAATTGATTTTAACAAGAGTTAAAATTATATAAAGCACATTTTCAGGAACTTTCCAATTACCCATTACACATACAAAGTAGGTAACAGAGGACCAGGGGCGGCTCAACCCATTACGCAAAGTAAGCATTTGCAGTATAGTTGATTTTGCCCAGGGGCGCTCTTGAGGCACTCATGGGGGAAAATAGACCTTGACATATGTGAGTTGTAGTTACTGGGATGTATAGTTCACCTACAATCAAAGAGCATTCTGGACTCCACTAATGATGGAATTGAACCAAATATGGCACACACAACTCCCACGACGAACAGAAAATATATATCAATGATTGGTTGGTGGAGGGGAGCGCACCAAAATACTGTTTGCTTACAGTTGAAAATTACCTAGGGCCGCCTCTGCAGAGGACCATGTTAAGCTAATGATGATGTTCCTCAAGAAATCACACAGATGCATATATGTTCCTTCTCCAACTTTCCCAGCAGAATTACTATAATTTTCTTCCTTTTAAAACTGCAAATTGTGTAGTACAGGGGTGAGGGCATGTTATCCACATGCCATGTGGTGCATCCACAGCAGTTTTTAAGGTACCTGGCATCCCAGTCCCCTCCCAACACTTTCCAGAAATTGGCCAAAAATACCTCCATGTTTGTTATATTGTTCACCCCTCTTTACTTCCAGCATTTGAGCCCTTAAAAAACAGGATAAAATAGCACAGGGACCCAGAAATATGATAAAATTGTTCCCAATGGGAGCACTGGGGACAAGAACATCAAAAAAGTTTCAGACTGTGTGTGATGTGGCATAGAATGGGGGATATAGCAATAGAATGCCCCCCCAAGCTTCAGAAATTATCCGTTTGTGGTGTAGACAAACACTAAAAAGCAATTTTTTACCATATAATATCCATATCTTCATATTATCAAAAAGGTAACATATCATGACTTCAACATACCAGCGTGCATCCTGTTTCATGACAATATCACCAGCCTGCACATATGAGCCTTTGTAATAGCAGGAGCACTTGGATATTGGCACACAAATGTCTTTCTCGTTCAGGTAAGTGTCATCAGGGCAACCACAGCCATCTACTGGAGTGAAACCTTCCAGACACTGCTTATCACCCTCTGAGATTGAGCGGCAGGTTCGCTGGCATGTGTTCATATTGTAATGGAAAACCTGAGTGGCCGGGCAGGAGGATACTTCATTGTCTGAAGGAAGAGAAGATGATAATACATGAAAAAAAGAGCAAAAAGGAGAGAAGCTCTACTATATTTAAAGATAAGTTAGTACATGCCATCAAATATTTTTCTTATTTTTTTTCTATGAAAAAGCATGAACATGTTTGGGAGGATGTTGCATGGAACAACCATTAAACACTGGAAAGGGAATACATATCATTGACCAAATTACACAATAGATACATTAAAATATGGGGACAAGAAGGAAGAAATTATTTTCAGATTTTAACATTCCTTAGCATTTTCCCCTTAGACTATAAAGGTTGAGTGCACCTTATACAAAATTTTAAAATCTGAAATATTCCAAAATTGTCCACATGAGTTGCTAAAAGAGTGATAACTTTGCTTTCTAATGGTTTAGTGTAGAGAACCTACAGCATGTCCCATACACATTTTTTTAAAAAAATACAGTGTTTAAAACTATATTCAGACCATATGTATAAAGTGTGTATGAAACATAAATGATTTTTTGTTTAGTTTTAGGTCTCATCTCTAAGATATTTAATTATGCATGTACATGCAAATAGAGATATTCAAATATTCAAAAAGATCCAAGATCCAAAACACTTCTGGTCTCAACCATTTCAGGTAATATATACTTAAGGTATATTGTGGAAACCCAGTCCTTCCAAACTTCACTATCTAGTTTTGCTGAATCCATGGTGCCTGTCTCCACCTCATCTCAGGCCAAATCAAACATGCACTGCTCTACATGTCCCAAAGGGCATATGGGTAAATAAAGATACCACTGTGATTGTTAAAGTCACAAACACTTCAAGATAACACACTGTTATGCAGAAGATGTCCCTTTCATTCAAGGTAGGAATGGAAATGTAGACACTTACTGCAAATACCATCTCTCCAACCCAACAACATGACTCCTTTGGCAGCACAAGCTCTTGCATAAGATGATAGCACAGCACACAAACATTCTTCCTGGGAGTTACAGTTGCACGTATCATACTTGCAGCGCTGAAATATAAATAATCAGGGAATTGTCATTTATACTTGGATGATGAACTAGCAGCCAAGATGACAACATTGACACACTCAGTGCTTTGTTCCCCAATTGTGATGAAGGATGAGTCCCAGAAAATGGGCTTAGCTGGCAGCTAAGCCTCCCTTCTGAAATGATCTGGAAATATTAAATGATGCTTCTAGAAAGTTCAACCTATTGAGAAATTGTTGCTATTGTATACCTTCAAGTCATTTATGACTTATGACAACCCTAGGGTGAACTAATCACAGGATTTTCTGGGGCTGAGAATGTGTGGCTTACCAAAGGTCATCCAGTAGGTTTCCATGGCCAAGTATGGAATCAAATCCAGGTATATAGAGTTCAGTACTTATCACTACACAATACTTCAGGAATTACCAACCAGAAATGTGCTAAATCAATCATTGTGAAATATCAACATAGCTAATATTGCTGAGCCCTTCCAGGAATAACAAAAGCCACCTGCCTTCATTGTTATTCACACTTATTTGGGAGTCACATGGAGGGTATTTTAAGTACACATTGTGCTGGTAAGAATATTCACATTTAAGGACGTTTTAGTGATGGGAAAAGTAATATACCCTCTCTGTGTATGTACCTCCAAGTAGGCAACATTAATAACAACCTGCTGTTCAATGTTGTTGAATCCCACCAACACCTTAAAACAATTGTTGGATCCTTGGAGGAAAGTGCAATTATATAATTATACATTGAAATCTATTCCTTTTATTAGTTGTAGCATATGTGAACCTTTTTAATTACTTACTTTGTCCCCATAAATAATTAAAAGTTTGTTGCTATAGGATTGCCTCATTTTTAAACAGCCATAGTTAGACTGTCCTCTAATAAGAAAGCTATTTTCCTGATGCAAGAGTTAAGCTTGCACAGCTCACCAAATGTTGTTGGGATGCAATTCCCAGAAACCCTTGATAGTCAGTGATGAAGAAAGCTAGGATTTGCAGTCTGTCAACTTCTGCTGAGACACAAAATGGCTGTCCCTGCTCTAGAGGGAGGCTACTCCCTTTTATATGGGTACGGGATATCATACCCTGGATACTAGATTAGGGTTAGAGTTGTCTAAATGCTAAAAATTAAAACCACTTTTATTTTTGACATCTGGTAATATCTACTTTAGTACCTACATGCACGTGTACCACATCTGCATAGGGCCTATGCTTGCATGGGCCCTAGCAAATGGTTTTTTGTTTTTTTTACTAAAGGGAACACTAAAAGAGTTTGTTTCATAACATGGTCATTTGCTATATTAAAAAAATTAACCTACAGAATATTTTAAAATGAATGTAATTTATAAAGCTCTCTGGCTCATGACTTCACTCCTTGCAAGGTCTCTCATGTAGGTCTTTTAGCATTGTGAGCTTGTTTGTACATCTTAAATTAAATTTAGCAACTAAAACCTTGGCTGTGTTTGAAACTGTATGTATGGGCAAGTGTGTATGTTTGTATGTTTTGCATGTTTTGATATGGTCAAAATTGACTAATCAATAAAGAATTGTTGTTGTGTTTGAAACCTAATGATCCATTATAAGCAATTGTTTTTGTTTTTGTTTATCCCACAGAAGAAACATTCTCTTTATTTATATTCTGCCTTTCCCCACAAATTAGAGCTGTATATACCATTAGGAATATTACCACCTATAGCAGTGGTTCTCAACCTGTGGGCTCCCAGGTGTTTTGCCCTACAGCTCCCAGAAATCCCAGCCAGTTTACCAGCTGTTAGGATTTCTGGGAGTTGAAGGCCAAAACATCTGAGGACCCACAGGTTGAGAACGACTGCACAGGTCATCTTGTTAATGATTTCATTTATGATTTGAATAAAATAAAGTTTGACTAGTTAGCACGTATAGTTCTTGCCATTTGTTTCACAACAAATCCCATGTAACATGGACCAAATATGATGATGATGATGATAGCAGGTGATGTTTCATGGTTTGTATTAAACTTACATAAAAGCTTTTCAAAGCTAGGCTAGGTGTAAATTTTAAATATTTGTTGGGGAGGTACATTAAATATTTTGACTATAAAGGTTTATCTGATGTAGTGGGAAAATAATTCCAGGAGGAAGATGTTTGGGGATATGTTGAACTATTAAAAATGCTCCTTCTGAGTCTGTTGGTGACCAAGAAGGAGCATAAGCAGAACATGAACATGGGAGGAACAATATACATTTTATGCTCTATACAATTTGGAGAATCTACAGAACATCTTTGGCCATCATTGCTTTCCATTTCCTGCAACAAATCCATGCAACAACATACCTTGTAATAATCTGCTGGATCAATGACTGAGTGACATCTGGCAAAAGCAGATTCTGTACTTTTCAGTAAAGAGCACCAGTGTTCAGCATAATTTTCTGTAACAATTGAGAGAAATAAATGTTACTAACTGTAACTACTACATTATGTGATGACCATTTCTAAATGCTCAGCAATAGAGTTGAGGTTGGAGCGTGACTGTATACATTCTTACAATTTACGTATTGATTTAAACAAAACTGATTACTCTTGTGATCATTATCTTGGGGTTTGAATACAAAATACCAGTTGGGACTTAACTGTATGTTTTTAAAAAATCAAAAGCCACCAAGGCTCACCATTTTCAACACTAAGAGTGCAAGGGTGTTCCCAGGATTCCACTTTGTCGGCACAGCTGGCCTGAGCTTTCCAGGTATTAGCAAAAGATGTCCCTGTCGCTTCAACCAATCCACCGGATGTTTTGAAGTCATCACTTTCTATCCCATTGAAATTTCCACAAAGACCTGTTGATTTAAAAAATAAGGTTGGTTTTCTCTGTGTGTTTTAAGATAGTACTTCACTGATTGGAAAAATGGCAAGAGTTAGCAATGAACAGTGCAGCACTCTGAGATTTTCTAGCTGTAAGTATTCTTCAAACCAAACAGTGCCTCCTGACCATGGGTAAGTAACAGTGCAATTCTATAGTGTTCCCCCTGTTGTGATCTGGTCATTGACCATAATAAAGTTTACTTACTTACTTACTATAGTGCTTTAGAGATGCACTGCTTGAGGGGGAGCGGTTAGGATTAGGCAGAACTCTCTTTTGCTTTGTTAAGATTTGCCAACTGAACAGTCAAAATGAGAAGGGATGGGACAAAGGAGAAGCAGAGTTATGTTGCAATAACATAAAAAAAACTAAGCAAGAAGAAAGTAGTCCTAAATAATTTCACAAACCTATAAGTTAAGAAGGTTTTAGATTTAGCACAGCTTTCACTGGCTTAGTATGGCATAACATGGTTGCTTGGCAAATCTTGCATGTTAGGATTCTATTATAACGTGTGTATAAGTTTAAATAATGCAATATGAGGGCATCAATGATCATTCATGTCACACTAAAGCATCATAGGGTGACTTCCATTTAATTTTCTTTTTTGTTGATGTTGCGGTCCAAATATGCAGAACCAATAATGTCGGGATCATCATAACCTAGCAAACAATTGAAAAATCCCTACAGAAATGAAGATTTGCCAAATGCCTAAATTTGAAAATAGGATGAACACACCTATTTAGAATCCCAAGAGAATAAGAGCTCTATTATAAGGTAATGGAATTTCCTTCATCCCAGGAATGCCAGAATGGCCCCCTCGCCGCTGTCCTTCCAGCCGCAGACTAAAACCTTTGTATTCAGACAGGCTTTTAAAGAGGAAGATTTTAAGATCAAGACAGGGAGTGCTATGGTTTTAGCTTTGAATATGTTTTAATCTGGTTTTTGTGGATTTTAAATGTAATTTTTATGCTACTGATATTTAATACTATTTTAAGTTTTGTAGATTTGTAGATTTCAAATTGTATTTTTTATTGTGTCAGAAGCAACTTGTGAAACTACAAGTTGCTTCTGGTGTGAGAGAATTGTTCGTCTGCAGATACATTGCACAGGCGACACCTGTGGGAGGCTTCTCTCATGTCCCCACATGGAAAGCTAGAGCTGAGAGATGGGAGCTCATCCCTTCTTGTGGATTTGAACCGCCAACCTTCTGGTCAGCAGTTCAGCCAGCACAAGAATTTAACTCATTGCACCACTGCGGCTCCAAATTGTATTCAAATGGTGTTAATGTAAGATTCTTAGAGTCTCCTTTATGGAGATAAAAAGTGGGATGTAAATAAACGTAACAACAACAACAACAAGTTCCTCAAGATCTTAACATTTTATGAAATAGCTAATTATCTGCCTTTTAATTTTGTAGGCATAGATATGCCATTGCATTTTTCTTTTAAAAATTCACCCCTTTTCTAATGTGGGTATAATATCTTCTCTGCTGGGATGGAGGACAGTTCATACTTGCCTTGAAGTATTCCCTTAGCAGATTGATCCACAACAGCAAACAACTGCATAACTGGAGCCAACTGGATCTGCAGCTTGAGGCCAAAATACGTGTGTACAATCATGAAATAGGAAGATGGTTGGAAAATTGAGAAGGTGGCTGGAAATAAAGGGAGGAAACAAAATCATTTTCTGTCATTAATTAACTGAAGAATTAAAATAATATCCTTCTTATCACCTCCTGGATTCTCATTTGAGATACTATTTGTTCTGCTGGAGAAAGCTAGTTTAGGTTGATAGCCCAGCTCTATCCCTCCTTGAGGAGGGGAGGAAGAACTGGAAAACAAAAAAGAATTGGGGAGTCACTAGGAAATGAGCAAAGTACTTTAAGTAACGTGTTAATTGGGAGAGTATAGTTTTTCATAATCTCCCTAGCATGCCATTGAATTTAATCTTAGCCCATATCTTAGGAATCTCTCTACCTGCCATATAATCAAAAGCTTAAAATGGAAGGTGCTCGTCTGAATGATTTGTGGAAACATCAGTTTAGGGATAGATGGGGATGCTGAGAGAGAATGGATTCCTTCCTCACCTGCTGCATGAGGCAAGTGAACCTCCATTTCATTCAGTAACACAGTGCCATCAGATTTGAACACTATAATCTGTGAAGAAAGTAAAGAAGTGTGTTAGTGGCATCTCTGATAGGGGAAATGTCATGCTCAATGAACCATAACAATTGCTGTGTTAAAGATCCAACACTTTATCATGGAAATGTAAAACCTTGACTGCCTTCTCCCACTAATACTTGGAGAACAGGTTATGCAGCGCCCCATGTACCTGAGCAAAGGGGAAAGGTGTCACAAACACACACACAATATGGATTGTCAGACCTAATGATTTCTTTTAGAAATACAAGGTGGTTAATATCTATCTGAATCTCCGAGGAGGAAACTGGGAAAACATATGATAGCTTCCTTAATCAATTATATTTTGTGTGATTGATGTTGGATGCTGCTGCTTCTTAACCCATACACCTTAATATCATCCAAACACATTGGTTGGCCCCCTGTTCAATATTCAACTGTAGAAATCTACCACTTAAGCCAGGCAGTGACTAAACTAAAAGTTGTTGAAGCACTGGGAAATAACATCTGTAATGCTGTCCCAGATATGAGGAATGTTGAGAGAAGCAATTGTGGCAGGACAACAAGTAGTCTCTCCAGCTGCCTCTCTCCATGCACCCATGAGCAGAGAGAAGGCAGCCATCAAGGGGTGGGGTGCTACCTGCCTTAAAAGGTAGGGTTGGGGGGTAGGGGTCAGCAAAAATACCAATGCAAAATCTTGACAAAATAAAATATGTTCAGTTCATTAATGAGTAACAGAATGCAATAAGTAGGCAACTTTTACGTACAATTGCATTCACATAGTTTCAGATTTTCTGCTTTCTGTTTAAAGGTTGCTATAGTCCTGTATCAAGTTACTCATATTTTACACTCACATCCTATTCCACGTTTCATACAGCTCTGGAAGTGGTAACAGCACAACGTATTTAGATGCTTTTAACGTATTTATTTGTGCTAGATTCATGTTTACCATTCAACAATGATTTCCTTTGAGCAGATAGACATTAAATGAGTTTGGGATATCTCTTGAGTATGTATTTCTACAAGCGCTGAAGAATTGTTCTTTTTTTTTTTTCAATGTCTCACCTGTATTTATAGTTCCTTATAAAAAGTTGGTAATGAGCACAAGTGAGAAGTTGGTGCATGTTTATATCCCTTGATATTTACCAGAGGCAGGAAATATATTTCTATATTAATGATTCAATCTGACATACAGTTAAGGATACCAAAGAAAAACCTTCTTCTTAATAGAATGGTGAGCAATAAGTGCGAGAAAGTGAGAATGTAAGAAAGGGCTGAGAAATGATAGTGGGTCTGAAGGACAGTTTTCTGCTCTGGAATTCCTGAATGCAAAAAATGCCAAAAAGCAAAAACCTTGAAGTGGACAAGGGTCTATATCTAGTTCTGAAAGATGGCTATTTTTCATAGTCAATAGAATGGCAGGGAGAGCTTGCAACCGATTTGAAAGATAAGCTGTCACTTATGAAGTTTTCTATGAATGCCAATTTATCCATTTTTGTTTTGTTTCACTTGCCAAGTGGGGAGTCTGAAGGAGGAGTTGGAAGCCACAAAAAAATTCCTGAAGCTTTTAATAGAATGATACATTAGAGTGTTCTCTTGAAAAGAATCAAGATCAGCTAAAATAATCCAAAACTGGTTCAGATCTCAAGAGGATACTGCATCCTTTTTTGGCAACCAGGAACTTAGTCCTACATGACTATACAGTTTAGCGGGAATCATAAAGGATGTAATGTTAAAAATGACTCATTAAATCCATGGCATTTAACTTATGTCAGCTAATGACACGTTATAAAAGTTTATTGCATGCACTGGAACACGATCAGTGTATTTTACAATCGTGACTATAAAAAACAACAAAATGTGTAAAGAGAAATAAAGGAAAATAAACAGAGCACAAAATGCAATAATGATGTGGGTTTGGCACAAGAGATACTCAGGTAAGCAGGTAAAAAGTTCCTCAGCAGAATGAAGTGTCATTGCTTACGGTATATGTTAAAATAGGGCTTTATAGTTTGATAACAGTTTTTAGTATAATACTGATAACAATTAGCAATAGTGTTAAAGGCTTGAAGAAGTAGAACTGTTAGAATGGCAAAATTATATAGTAACTATATTTTCTCTCTCACACACACATATATCTATACAATTGTCCCAGCAAAATAACCAACTGGGAGGGGAAGAAATGTTATTTCTCCCACCCCTCAAATTCTAGAAGAATGTCAGCTAATTTTATGGCTGTTGAAGGGAGTGGAGCATTTTGAAATATGACATGATTTGGCTTTAAGCAATAATTTGTTTGATTTGGCATCATCATGGAGATGACCTGTCCCTTAACCATGGAATCACTATGTACATTCAACTTACATTTTGCTTGTGGTCTATGAGCAACACTACTGTCTTGAGGCATGTCTGCTTTTCTGTAGCGCTGCATGGGCCCAGTTCTGCCAAAAGGACATGTGAGTCATTTGTACTGCTCTGCAATTACAAAAAGAACAAATGTAATTAGTGTGGTCCATCCATCCTGCCACAAACCTTTTCATTTTAGAAAGATGATTTGATGATCAAACAATACGTAACAGTTTCTCTTAAGGAAGTCAAATTCCATTGACCATATAACAGATCTCCACCTTAAAGGAAAGGTATTGGTCTCTTAGTAAAATATTTGAGTGCATCTGATCTCAACACTAGAAAACTACTGTTTGCCCACCCTCAATATCTGCTGTACAGAGAGAAGGAAATGAGGCAAAACTGTCTGCACTATCGTTCTGTCTGGACCATGGCCAGCAAAGCCAAGAACTAAGTTGGTTTTTCCAGCAAATAAGTTACCTGTCAGATGAGAAAAATGGAAAAATTATGCTTCTGAAGGCCATTTCAACAACATAAATTCGATACAATTATGCAATGTATGAGGAATTTTATCATTCAGAATCCTGATAAGAACTGGTCCAATACACTCTGTGTATTATGTACTGGAATTTACAACAGCTTGATTTTTTTTTGTTTCTTTGTTTGCTTTTTTGCATTTCCTGGATATACTAGCCAAGGACTCTTCCCAAAAGTGTGATTGACAGTTCTACATGTTCTACTAATAACATGGAAAATCTTGGCCATTTTGTGTAGAAATACCTCTTTTCAGAGGAAACATGATTAGAAAGTCATATCTAAATACATACTGAAATTCCAGTGTTGCTCTAATATTTGCCAAATATTATTTACTCAGAATAGAAATTGACAATGTAGTTACCTTAGCCAGAACATAGTAGCAGTCTCCATGGAAGGTATATTTCTTCCCATCAAAAGTGGTAATGTGAGCTCCACCCTCAAGTGCACAAGTACTTGGACAGGGTAAGTCCTGGCATATCCATCTGCCTGAATCACAGATGCTGGAAACACAGAGTGCAATAGGGGACACACAATGAGCATAGGACATAGTAACTGAGAAATTGTACAAAAAGCCCTGCATCCAGGGAACAATCTGGAAATGGAAAGTTTTGTGCACCTAATAGAGTTTGAGAGTCCCTTATCCAAAGGGACCAAAAGGATCCAAATTCTTATGGATTTTTGTTCAGATTTTGAAATATCTGGTTAGTATATACATACATAATGAGATATTTTGGAAATGGAATCTGAGTGTACACATAAAATACACCCTAAGGTAATTGCATACAGTATTTTTAATAACTTTGTGCATGAAATGAAACATGTGTTCATTGAACCATCAGTATGCACAGATGCTACTATCTCAGTCATTCATGTGGACAATTACAAATTTTGGATTATTTTAAATTTTGGAATTCCAGATAAGGGGTGTTTATCCTGCAATATGACTACTTTCCCGATTATTTGAGATTCAGCAAATTCTAAAGTTCCTAAGAGCTGTTTGGATAACTTGTTATATCTAAAATTTATCTTCAAGGTTTGCCTATAGAATGAATGTGTTGTTTCTTTTTCACTTCTATATGTGCCATGCCAGAAATTTGATGATTTCTCCTCCTTTTGGTCTGAAGTGTGGTGCAGGGAAAGGTTTTAGAAAAGTTTGGTATGTTTCAGCACCAAATTGTACGGAGTCTATGAATGCATATGACTGGTCAGAAAAGACATTAAGACAACATTATGTTTGACATTTTCAACCGGTATTCTTCTAAAATCTGTCAGTTCTGAGTTAGCATGCTCTCCCTCAATTTATTATCAGAAAAAGGGTAGCGCAGCACAAAACATAGTCCCTCTTACCAGCTTTCACACTCATTTGTGATGTTTTGACCAGGGGAAAATACCGTTCCTTGATGTTTACAGTAACATTGGCTTGTGGGCACACATCCTTTCCCAGTAATGTCATCATATACAGTGCCTGCAATAAACAATAAAATAATATTATCATTCATAGGCTGCAAATGTTAGCACATGTACAAGAAAAAAGACCCTCATAGAGCTTAATCAAATTTTTAGCTGACGTAAATAATAAGGAGAATGTTTATTACCTGAGACTAACCTATTTTCCCCCTATAATTGAAGTTTTGGGACTATTCCTTAATTAGTCTTGAGACATACATATTAAGCTTACCTTCCAATGACCAATTGCAAAATACAGCATGCTAAATTAAAGCTGTATAGGTAAATACTTGCTGTGAAAAGCAAACATCTTTTACCACTTGAGGGAGCATATCTGCTAAGGATGGGGACTAGGACAAAGTAGTGGTTTCAAATTGCAGGAAAAGATATTTCACGTAAACATTAGAAATAACTTCCTGATGAGAGGTTCAACAGTGGAATATGCTGCCTCAAAGTGTGGTGGAGTTTCCTCCTTTGAAGATTTTTAAACAGAGACAGGAGTGTTTTTATTGGGTGTTACTCCATGACAGGGGGTTGGACTGGAATGTCATTGTGCTCTCCCTCTGCTCTATGATTTTGTGATTCTATGGGTTAAGCATAATATCTAGTCTGACCCTTAGCTCACTAACTAATATACCAGGAATAAATCTTAGCAAAACTACGTCTTCATGGGAAAAAATCCACCTAACTAATAAGTGAGATTTACTCAAAACTAAGTTTCATTGACTTCAATAAGACCTACGTGCTTAAAATAACCCTACAACCTCAAGGGGTAGATTAGCAATATGACCATAGCCATCCAGCTGAAAAGGGATTTGAACCAGGATTTCTCATGTTTGGGCACACAGTTATACTCACTATGCCACATTGAAATTATTACCTTCTGGGCAAAAACAGCCATCCATATAGTGTTCTTCACATAGTCTGCTGATATCCAGATGGGAACAGGTGTCCATACAGGGCGAGCCACTTTCCAGGTAGACCATGTTTCCAGGACATGATTTAGCTAAAATAACAAAAGAAGTAGGCATGACTGGGAGAAGCAGACTCTAGCTTATGGATTCATACTAATGGAGGGGGAAAGGAAAGAAATAGAATGACAGTAATGAGGAACCTGGCCTAGCATCCATCAAAACATTGTTGCCTTCAATTAAAGGAAAATTGCCATTTTGTCAATGACACGTTTAAATTAAATGTTCAATTTCTCAGTGAAACCAAGATAATTTAACAAATACTTCAAAGGGCATGTAACAGGTGAGTGCAAGAGACAGAGAGAGGTCTCCTTGTTCTGTTTTGTCACATCTTCTTTTATGCAATGAGGGTAGTATCAGAAGACTGGACAACTGTCATCATTTAAATGTGTTTTGAGGGTTTTGCTTCTTTGTTTTTCTATTTTGACTTCTCTTTGATTCTCAAAACGAAAGCAGTTATTCTAACTCTAATTCCATCAAAATTATTTAAATAGCTTTCATTGCTTCAGAACAAGAATAGGAAGTAAAAGGAAACTTTATCTGACACCGACTCGAAACTTGACTAAGAACCCCTCTAAACTACCTATGGTTCCAATAAACACAGCCCTGTGGCTTTTGGTTCAGAGGTTCACACCCTGCAATGGTTATTTTGAAATCTGCATCCAGTCACATCTGAAATATTCCAAAATGTTGGCCTTAGTTTCTTGCAGGTTGTACCAAAGTTTAGTGCTACCCTCAAACTGCAAATTTATTTTCAAACATTCTTGTCTCCTACTTAAGATTTGGTTAAGCTTTGTTGTACATGTGGTTTTCCTACACAATCCCAACACCTATCCATTCTACCAGTTAACCACATTCCCTACCTCACACATTTCCTTGTTGTAATCATATACCATTTTAACTCTGCAATTGTAAAACAAATTGGGAGGGGGATAGAAATGTTGAATCCAGTAAATAGAAATGTAATAAGGGAATTGAACTCTATGGAAAATGTTTGTTGGAAATTCCCAAGAGAAAGAAATCACATGCTGCAGTAAGTTTTTAAGCTGTTCTCTTGATAGCAGAGAATTCAGATGAAAGAAGATCAAGAAATCTTTGGGGTCACACGAATTTAGGGAGGAATACATTCCTCCATTGCTAAGAATGAACTTACGACACAGTTGGGGTGTCCTCCAGTTCTGAGGCTTGCCACCAGCATGGGAACATTGACGGGAAAACTCTGAAACGGTGCTGCAGGCACAGAAGGAGTCTTCTGTTTTCTGGCAGGCACACCTGTCCTGCATGCAAGCTTGAATATACTGCTCCACATTCAGATGGGACTGGCAGTCATCAAAAGCAGAAGAAGTCAGCAGCTTCTCACACTCATCACGCTGGAATTAAAAGAAAGAAAGGCTTAACAGATCTTCTGAGACCCTCATGATACTTTTTTTTTAAAAAAAGCGTACAAAGAAGTGTTAGCAAACATGCCTGGTTAAAATAACACAGCTAAATCATGGATTCATGCAGAGCTTGGAAAGGTTAGTATTTCAGAAACACATATCTCCAGATTTCCCAGCGAACATATCAGTGGCACGCTGTCTGGTGAATTATGGGACTTATAGTTCCCCAAAGTAGTTTTTCTAGTCTCTGCAGTCAAGACTCCGAAGTAAGCTTAAGTATTCCTAACAAGAAATTGGTGGAAATGATTTTGAGAAATAATCACATAGATAGGCTGACTTAAGGACAGGATAGGGAAATCCAATCTCAATTCGTAAAATTCCCTCTCCGTCCATTTACAAAGCTCATCCATACAAAAAGAAGGAAGCTTCCATGCTCTTTATACAAGGCTATGTCCAAGTAGGACAAAATTATTTGCTCTCCTGTCCTCTGACTTCTGCTTCTACAGCAAATAACAAATTCCTTTCCCTAAATAAAAAGATCACTTTGTGGCTGATGAAATGTTTGGTATGACTTTTGAGACTTACATGTTGGTTACAAAGTTGTATAGGTTTTGTCTCATCAGGATCTTCACATTCTACTTTTGGGTTATTAATCTTCTGTAGATTTCCAAATGTGATTGGGTTGTATTTCAGTCCTACAAGAAAGGAGAAACAAATGAATCTTCATCATAATCAGACTAATTACAACCCTTTTTATAGTTCATACCGCTGGTATCCTAGTACTCGTATCCTAGTAATTAAACAGAGTATGCAATGAGAAATATGCAAGATAACACACCAGTGAATTATAAGTGCTATATGAGATACTTTTGGAAAACAGAGGTGATCCAGAAGAATCATCTTGTATTATTTCAGTTCACTAGATTACATAACACCCTCATTTTGCTCCCACAATTATTAATAAGGATTTGAAGCACAGCATTATACTCCATGGTGCATTTGTCTTCCTGTTTTGTTATACACCTCCAAGTTGACTCTTACTTGGCCATCTTATTATAAAAAATTTCCTTGGCATGTTTTGTTCAGAGGATTTTTTTTTCATTGTCATTCTCTGAAGCTGTGAGTGTGATTTCTATGATTGAGAAAGGATTGGATCCATGGTGTCCTGGAGTATTCAAACTGCTACACTTCACAGTTTCCTTCTAATTGTAGGAGTAGTATGTGCACTTCATCATTACTTGCTCCCATTACATATGCATACACATGTATGCATGCACTCACATATTTTTTCATAGCCAATTAACTATTTTTTGTTTCTGAGATGTTTTTTAGTTTGTTCAATTCTTGTTTGTCAGCTCACTAGGCTTACTAAGACACTGCAGGTTCCATATTGGGAGAAAGGTGGGATATTAAATGAATGAATGGATAAATGAAGCCTTAAAAAACTAACCCTAATCTTTTTTAACAACTTTAAAAAGATTGAGTTATTGTAGGTTTTTCGGGCTGTATGGCCATGTTCTAGAAGCATTCTCTCCTGATGTTTCACCTGCATCTGTGGCAAGCATCCCCGGAGGTTGTGAGGTTTGTTGGAAACTAGGATAATTGGGTTTATATACTGTATCTGTGGAAGGTCCAGGATGGGAGAAAGAACTCTTGTCTTTTGGAGCTAGGTGTGAATGTTTCAGTTGGCCACCTTGATTAAAGATTTATTGAAGACTGAACATTTTGCTCTCAGTCATGTTTACAGAAGAATACATTAATCTGGTTTAAATGATATTGTTCACAACTTTCAGAACTAAAATGGTGTTTAGCATCTGCAACAGTTCACACTGTAAGTATTGGCCTAGTTGTAATTGTTGTATTTTCAGGTTCCATATTCTGCAGCAGGTGCTTCTCAGTATTTGACTCTCACTTACCATTCGAGATGAATTCATTGTAAATCTGCTGGCCATTATAATCTCCACAAAGACCACATGTATAATTTTGGAACTTGGTGTCAAGTTCAACCTAAATTGAAAAAAGCAAAAGTGGGGAAAAATATCAACAGTTGCAGAAAAGCAGAATATAATGTTGCCTTACAATTAAACTATTGAGATGTTTACCCAGTATTGGCTACTCTGGCTGGCAGTAGTGACATCTGAGAATTCTGAATCGGAGTTTGAGGAAGTGTGGGAAATAGTTTTCTCAGAAGCCACTAAGAGTGAAAAACTTTAAGAGCATTTAAACAGAGATGCCAGCAGTGCAACCTTATCCATGCAGCATCTGTGCCAAGTTCGGGAAGTTTTATTTTGGAGGTAAAACTCATAGAATCCCCTGGTAGTGAGACCACTAGCCATACTGGCAAAGCAATTCTGAGAGTTAACCCCAAAAGTAACTTTGTATAGCTCTACCTGTCCTCCACTAATGAATTATAGGCTTTCTAAATCAAGGCTAATATGACAAGCTGGAGAATTCTCTAAAAAGAGTAAAGAAGTAGTAGGCTGGAAAATCAGAAAACAAAACATCTCACAAATAACTATCAGTTCATTAAACAAATGCTGAAGTGGAGCCTTTTTTGCAATATACCACAGAGAGCATACTTTAAACTGCAACCAGTTACGATATAAGTATTAAAGTTCTCTCTCCTCATAACCATACTTTCATCTAATGGGTTGAAGAACTATAAAAAGTGTTTGAAATGTGCATGGAATTGGTCTGGACTTAGTTTCTAAGATAGTGGTGCACTAATCTGGCACCTCCCAGATACATTGAATATAACACCCATTAGCCCCAGCAAGCATGTGTGTATTCATTCAGGTCCGCAACTATAACATCTATACCTGCTTGCATTGGGTGAAGATAATAAGGCATGTAGTCAAACATAAATGAAGGACATCAGTTTTATGAATGCCATTTTCAAGTATCCAAAGGAAACAAGTCCTTCAGTTCTAGAGAAGTCAGTAAGAGTGCTCACTTCCTTTTCCCTTAATTTCAACAGATGCATTCCAGAAGAATTCTTAGATACTCAATAGACAAGAGCATATGTCTCTAAGGTGCTTTAGGACTATGTGTGTTGTTGTTATTTATGATGATGGTGGTAGTGATGTTGCTGAATGCTTTCAAATCATTTCTGACTTATGGTAACCCTAAAACCATTCTATCACAGGGTGCAACTTGCCTAAGGTCACCCAATGGGCTTTCATGGCTGAGGAGGGATTTGAACCCTGTTCTTCAGATTCATAACCCAAAGCTCAAACCACTACCCCATAGCCTTGTGATGGCTACACCAGCATATCTGTCTATTTCTTCAATTAGTCAGTGAACAAGTCAAAAACCACACACAACAGCAGTTGGTGTACTTCATGGAATTGGTCTGGACTTAGTTTCTAAGATAGTGGTGCTCTAATCTGGCACCTCCCAGATACATTGAATATAACACCCATTAGCCCCAGCAAGTATGTGTGTATTCATTCAGGTCCGCAACTATAACATCTATACCTGCTTGCATTGGGTGAAGATAATAAGGCATGTAGTCAAACATAAATGAAGGACATGAGTTTTATGAATGCCATTTTCAAGTATCCAAAGGAAACAAGTCCTTCATGATCAGTAGGGTAGTTACTTCTCTCCAAGTTTTAATGCAATCTTTAAATGTGCTGCCCAATATGCTGAATGTATTGATGAATATGGTTCAACGCATTGGAGAGTTCCTTTAAAATCCACACTAAAAAGCCAAAGTGACTTCAAAGTTCCTCTGAAATGAAAGCTATTGGCCACTACTGGCCATATATACATACCATCAAGGCTTCTTCTCTGTTCCATATCAGTGCCAGACCAGTTCTGGCATAGACTTTAGTAGATATCTCATTCTTCTCAATGAGAAGACCAGAATTGTGGTATGGAGTCTTTGCACTACAGAAAAAAAATGACGTATTGAACTATTGCTTTCCATGCATCATAGTTCCAGCATGAGAAGGGGTTGGAAAAGGAGGAAATGATACATTTCTAAAATTGTGTAGATATTTATATTTTGCTTCCAGTCCTATTAATTAAAGCAAAATTAAATATGAATAGAACAAATGCAGCAGAATGCTGTTTATAGTCTTAAAGTTTTCCAGGTTTCATCAGAAGTACTCTATAGGAGAACAAACTGTGTGCAATTCCAAAATGTATTCTAGTCTACCAAATGAGATTTTTCCTCCAGTCTCCAAATTCCTAGCATTGCAGTAATTTAAAACTACAGTTGAGAATTAAGAAATGCAGTTTGGGCATTCAAATAAAACAGCAGGCAACATTCAGTGTTTTGCAGTGAATGTGAACATGGTAAACAGAAGAGTTGTAAGTGTGAATGTTTTTTACTGCCTCATTCTCATGAGGGGGGCAATGCCCTCATCTCACTCACCCCCAGATTTCCCCCCAAACGCCTCAGGTTTCCTCTCAGTTTCTGCATTATGACTGTAAAGTTTGCCTAAAACAATTAGTTGTGCTTTTCAGAGACAGCTCCCAACTCTCCTCCCCCTCTTGTTTTTTTTCCACCAGAAATTGCCCACATGGAATTTTAAAGGCCTCCTAAAATGAGGATAGAGCAGTGTCCTCTGAATTCAGTTCAATAGCAACAGAACAGATTTGTATCCAAAGCATGCGGAAATAGATATGACATCAAATACTTGTGTAGCTAACATACTTTACCTGACAGAGAACATGTCTGACTTTTTTTAAAAAAAAACTCAATTAGAATAAATGGTATTCCGATACAATCATGCTAAGAAGATTGGGACTCATCAACCTCTATAATGTGATTAAGAAGTCTTTTAAAGATAGGGGTTGAGGCTATCTTTAGCACTAAGGTGTGGAAAGCAAATGCAAGAAGGAACCATATAATGCAGTTCGAAGCTGCATTACATGGTTAAGGTAAATGGGGCCTGAGTCTCCATTCCTCTCCTGTAAAGTAGGAAGACATGAACAGAGGTTTTGCCAGGCTGAACAAAATTAAAATTGTTAAGCTAAAATGGAATGAAGATGGCTGCTCTGTATCTGCTGTTGGTAGATGAAAAAGATAAGAAATGCCAAAGTCAACAATTATGGAAGCTGCAAATTATTATTAATTTAACTATTTGTGGATTATAAAATCATGTGTTATCTTGGGGTTTTTTCAATATTGTCCCTTACATAAATACACCATAATAATAATGTTTTATAACAATGATCTACAATGCAGGATAGAATAGCAATAATGTGCCAATTAGTAGTAATGTTAAGGAAATTATTATTTCAACAGCATTATTTTGTTTTCTAAGAGGGAGAGGGATTGCTATGCAGTTGTTATATTCCAGCTTTGCAATGCTTGTCCACTATGCCCTGCCTCATGTACAGAGGAAGAATTGTTGGAGGCTACAATGTCATTGCTGTTGCCCATTTTTTGGTCAAAAGATATTTAGCCAACTGCACTCTTTCTATTTTTATCAGTTTTGTACTAATTTATGCAATGCTTCTGATACGAAATAAAATAAATATGCCAGCTTAATAAAAAAATAGGAAATGAAATCATGAGGCGGAAGTTTGGCTATGGAGCTGTTAGATTTTGGTTTAATAATACTTTAGAAAGCCACGTCATTAGTAGTAGGAGGCAGGATGTGCAAACCCCCACTGAGAAATAAACAGAACTCTTTGGTTTTCATGCCAATTTCCCAGGTGTTCTGCTTAAATGAGAATGCAAAAATTAATTTCAAGTTTTCTTTCACTTGGAAGCTGGTGATGACTTAGAGATACGTAAAATATCTTGCTGCTAAATATATCCTTTTTTCTATCCCTTTGAAGTCCCCAGGGATTCACTCAATAAATTCCACATTTGCCTTGAATTATGTGGTAACACTACCCAAGATGGTCTGAAAGTGTGAGTTGAGTTTCCATACTATACAGCTCATATTTGTTCTACTGGTAGAACTTTATAGTTCTGGGGATGCAAGAAATATCCTACTAGAAGACACCATCCATCCAGAATTCTGCTCTCACAATAGCCAGAGAGAACAGAATTCTGGATCCTGGAGGCATTACATGAAAGCAATTTAATCTTCTCACTTTCGTCCCTCCTAACTGAGATTAAGAGTATATATTGCTTCTGATACTGAAGGAAATATATTGTCTACTGGTCACAGCTACCAATCATTCAATATTTTGCTTCAACAATTATTTTATGAGCTTTCTGAGATTCCTGGATTTGTATTTAAGGTTACAAAAGTATAATATCAGAAAAACTTACATTTGCCCATTCACCACAACCAGTGTTTCAGTGAGATAGATGGTAACATCCTTAACTGTGACAAGGACATATTGGATGTCAGGATGCCCTTGTTCATTCAGTTCACGCTGGATATGGACAGAGAACTCCTTGTAGGACTCTCGGCAATCAGAAACAAAATTGTATTCACAGACACCAGGAAACTGGTAGAAATCACCATCAAACGTTTTGAAGTGGTTGTTCCCCCAGGTACTGCAGACATATTGGCCATGGTTAGGATTTCTTCCTGGAATGAAGAAGAATGCCAAAGTAACCTTTAAGTGCAATCATGGGGTCAAAAAGCAAAAGAATGATGCTTACGCAATTCAGTAAAAAATTAAGATCTTTTTCCAGAGAAGAAGAGGTCACCTCTAACAAATGTTCTATTGAAATGTCGGTATTTTGCTGTTAAAACTTTTGATTGCAAAATCACAAGTGATAAGTAAGCTCACACTATTTAAAAAATTCCATTACATCTATTCAGACTTCAGATGAAGCAACATCATCACTGTAAAACCATGAAACAGTGATACTTTTAGGCAGGATGTGTTGCCTCTCAGGAAAGTCATTGTGATATTTCTGTAGCTACCAAGATGGCAAAGGGCAAGGCAAACATTTGCTAAGGCATTTTAGGTCCAGTTGCCATCACCCACCTAGGATTTTCCACAAATAATGAGTTCACCACACCACATATGCCACATAATCAAATAATAGAGCCACTTAGCTTTACTTTCCAAAGGAAGGGGGTTCTGCTCCATTTTACATTTGAATTTGAATAGAGAATTCAGAATTTCAGAATGTCTGAATGATACATGCAAACAATCAAATAAAACATATTTATCTTCCTAGTCCCTATAATTTGAGACTAAATTCTCTGTATCTTAACATGGCTAGCATATTAGTTCAAGTAGTCCAAAGCAGAAGCATCCAATGTTCACTACACAACAATAGTCATATTCTTAAAAGCCCTTGTAGTAAGTTGAGTAAATAAAAGAATAAGCTGTTGAGCACATGGCAGCTGCTAATGGATGTTCCTCAGGTTCTCTACTGGACAGCTGCCCAGCATCACCTGTAAAAGTCTTACCTGTTTTAATTTGACTTGCATAGCAGACAGCCAGCCATAGTAGCAAAAGGCTGGTTAGCCTTAGCCCCATGGTGGCTAAGAGGGAAGGACAGAAACCCTTGGGCAACCTTCCTTTATATAATGCCCCTTTATGCCATTCGTATCATTGGAGAGAAGGGGATGAAAGGTGGAGAGAAGAAGGAGGGGTCAACATGGGTGCAATGTTTGCAAAGATTAGAAAGTAAACAGAGCTGAAATTTTATTTGTAATTCCTTTAGTCTACCATTCAGGAAATGATATGATATTGATTCAGCTATCATGCAATTGTCTCTTTTTACTGCAATTTTACTTCGCCCTAAAGATGCTATTTGTCCCAGAGTCACACCCAATTTTAATTTGAAGTACCTCACAGCCTGAATTCCCATAGGACAGGTAGGTGGTGGCTAGCTGTGTTAACTCTGTTGCAGCAAAAACTATGAAAAACCTTATGTGCCTTCTTGAAATCACATTTTCAGTCATCACCCTATATGAAGTAGTGGTTTGAACTTTGGTGTACAACTCTGTAAAACAGGTTTTGAAGCCCCACTGATCCATAAAAACTCTCTCGGCGATGTGGACAAATCAGACACACGTAGCCTCAGAAAGCCCTGTGATAAGTCATATGTTGGAAACAACTTGGAGGCACACAACAACAACAACAACAACAACAACAACAACAACAACAACAACACCTTGTTAATTTTATAGTATCACAGGATTCTTTGTGGTCATACCTGCAGAAAGTAGTTGAAGTGTTTTGTTTTTTTCACCCGGCTTGCTTAAAGTACTTACTGCCCTTAAAATTCTGAAAACAAATAATCATTCATTGCTTGTAGTAATTAAATTATTGATACTGTTATTGCTTATGAGAGTTCTATAACCCAAAGGAGAGACAGAGCTAGGAAATATTATTGGACTATAGCTCCTGGAATCTCAAAGCAAGTCAAACTATTGGCCTTCATAACTAATTTGGCAGTTTAAGGTGAGTTTAGGGGGGTTAATTCCTCAGATATTTTTGTAGCTACATTTATATAGGATGAATGTCATGCAGGTTGCTAACCTATGTTTATATCTCAGTATTTCTCTGATGAACTCAAGACAGTGTACATGGTCCTACTACTACAACTACAACTCCTTTCTTTTCTTTTATCCACACAACAACCATGAGGTGTAGTTTAGGCCTTTATCACAAAATGCAGGCAAAGCAGCATTGCAGATGGACCAGTAATGTTCCTGTCTCTAGCTATTAACAGGTAACACCTGTCAACAACTCCAAATCCTTCAATATTCCTATCTGCCTACTTTGGAGCAATTGGCCCATTTGACTTCTGTGAGATCAGAAAAAAATCATGGGAACCACTACTCCTCTAAATGTTCCTCCAGCAACAGCAAGAATATCGCTGTGGGTAGCAATCTCAGGCAAGTCCAACTGGGTGGACCCTTATGAAGGTCTTCCTCCAGGGCCAAACCAAGAATGAGCCACTTGGAAGTCCCTGAATAGACTCAGAAGAAGAGTTGGCAGATCGAAAGACAACCTGGAAAAATGGCACTACATAGAAGAATCCTCCACCTTGTGTGACTGCGGAGCTGAACAAACAACTCTGCACCTGTATGCTTGCCCACAATGCCCTGCCTCATGCACAGAAGAAGAACTGCAATGCTTTTTACATGAAATAAATAAATACATACATACATACATACATACATACATACATACATACATAAAGGGTTAGGATTCTTCTCTTCTCCCCTCTTCTCCTGACTTTCTATGCTGGCTATCTTCTAAATAGCAGGTTGGCGTGATGAAGTTCTATTGTTAATAGAGCATGTGTGGCTGGAAAGCAACTAATCAGTTTCATGTTCCATGTGCTAGAACCTGGATCGAAGAGAAAAAGAAGGAAAGTGAATGTTGTGTTACGTAAAGGTATTTTAGAGATTAGCACGGGAGCCCCCGGTGACACAATGGGTTAAATCCATTGGACTGAAGACCAACAGGTCACCTGTTTGAATCCAGGGAGAGAGCAGATGAGCTCCCTCTATCAGCTCCAACTCCCTATTGCCGGGACATGAGAGAAGGCTCCCACAAGAATGATAAGACATCAAAACATCTGGGCATCCCCTGGGCAACATTCTTGCAAATGGCCAATTCTCTCACACCAGAAGCCACTTGCAGTTTCTCATGTTGCTCCTGACACACACAAAAAGAGAGAAACAAGAAACTTCTGGGGCACAACAATATGCTGCCCTCTATATACTATAAGTATCTGTCTCCATAGATGTAACAATCTCCAAAGCTTTCTTCTGTCATAAGGAAATTATATTGGATAGCTGTTCTGGGGATTTCTCACTACTCAAGAAAATAAGGAGCACAAAGTCAGGCATTTAGTGGCAGCTAATATATGTACTACTGCATATTTTATTGTGACATTTCTGCAAACAATTAAATAAGCACACTTCACAGAGTACTCAAAAATATCCATAGTTTTTTTATTAAGGGCTGCTATTTCTATTATTGTACAAAAAGGATGCTTGCATTGTGTAAGCAATCTATTAAGCAGACTGAATTGAGAAAAGGAGAAATATGCAATGATAACAGAGATTTGTGAATGGATTTAAATGAGCTAACATATTTAAGTAAGAAGTCTGCAAAATATCTCCCATGTCTTTTTCCCCTCATGAATACAATATATTAGAGGCTTGATGGAAAGAAATAATTAACATTTTAATCAATTAACATTCCTCAACTTTCTGAGCACTTTCATTAAATAAGCAACTAACCAAAATAATTTTACATGCACTCAAATACCATTAAAATCAATCTATTCTAAATATGAATAACTGAATAAGCATAGGCTACAACCCAGAACAATCTGGGTTTCTTGAGGGTGGAGACCAGCAGAATTTGTCCCAGTATTACATTTATATATTTTTTTCCATTTAATGTTATTTATTTATTTATTTAAAATTTTTATATCCCGATCTTCTCTACCTCCGCAGAGGGACTCAGACTGGCTCACAGCAAGGATTCAATGCTAATAATACAGTCTAAAACATCATAAAACAGAAAGATGAAAATACATATAGAATAAAATACATACAAGCCAAATCACCAAGATAAAATAATATCCAACTCAGTCCACATATGTGGTCGATAACTTTGGTCTGCAGCCAGTCTCATCAATTATTCTGGGAATGCTTCATTCCATAGCCAAGTTTTCATTAGCCTCCTGAAGGTCAGGAGGGAGGGGCAGATCTGATTTCAATTGGGAGAGAGTTCCATAGCCAAGGGGCCACCACAGAAAAGGCCCTGTCTCTCATTTCCACCAGACGTGATTGCAAAAGTGGCGGGCCCACCAGAAGATCTTAAGAGCCTTGAGGGTTCATAGGGGAGAATATGTTCAGACATGTAAACTGGGTCAGAACCGTATAGCGTTTTGTAGGTTAAAACCAGCACTTTGAATTGTGCTTGGAAGCTAATTGGCAGCCAGTGGAGCTGCCGCAACAAAGGAGTTGTGCGCTCCCTGTACCCTGCTCTGGTCAATAACCTGGCTGCTGAGCGTTGAACTAATTGCAGCTTCCGGACAGTCTTCAGAGGCAAACCCACGTAGAGTGTGTTGCAGTAGTCTATACGGGATGCAACCAGAGCGTGGACCACCGAGGCCAAGTCATGTTGTTAGAGATGCCAAACTCTCTCAGCCTCAAAAGAAGGCAGTGGCAAATCTCTTCTAAATAAATCTTGCCCAACACACAAAAAGCCTTATGACAGGGTTGTCATAAGTGACAGTCATCTTGAAGGCATGTTAACAATAACAACAAAGAAAATCAAGCAGAAGACCTGAAAGGGGTTTTCTGTCCATTGCCTTGGGTTTCCTTGGCTGCATGCCATATAGACCATGGAAAAAATAAGGACATTGCCCAGGAGGACTTTGGCATTATTACTGAGACATTTTTGAGATGCTGGTATCTTGTGTCAAGACTTCTCAAATAGGGCACAGTTTTCTTTTCCTTTCTAAACCCAGGTTTTATTATTTGCATTGTAACATGCAGAGAAGGGTGCTTTCTTTTTAATTACTCCAGCTCCTGTGTACATAACTCTGTTTATAGGTTACGGGCATAGCCACAGAGGGTGTGGAAGACAGGCAACGTAAAAAATCTAATAAACCAAGCTATGTTTAGTTTATATCCATGCTTCACAGCTGCTTTGTGTGACATCTTCCGAGGTATATTTGATTATTATTAATGCCTGAATCATAGGAAAATCCGTCACAGGTAAACAATAAACTAAAAAAGAACTTTTCCTTATTTGAGGAAACATGAGCTGATAAGCAAGAATTGAATAAACTCAATTACGTGCATATGCATGCCTGTGTGCATGGTTGCCTATATGTGTGCATGCAATTTGAGCAACTAATTATGACATTATAACATTTTCTTGGATATATGTGTTGGTTCTCTCATTAGAAGCGTCTAGGTTAGTATAATGGTTTGAATATTGGTCTAGAACTCTAGGACACTGGAGTTTGAATCCTAGCTCGGGCATACAAACCAGTATACTGGACAGGTAACATTCTTATAGGCCATATCTATATGAATACTCACCCTGAAGTCAGAGCTGGCAGCGTTCACAGCATACAATGACTTCTGACAAGAATCCAGATCATTTATCCCTCAATCCAAACTTATTCCATGATAAGCAAAGTTGGGGGATATTCCATACTTTGCAAGAAACTGCACTTGGGGTGTGTAGCTGTTTGGACAGCTTGTTCAGGTCCATTTCAATGTGAGCCACATGCACATACTGCCACCATCATCCTTTCCCTGTGCAGATCAGGAAGTTATGACCTCCACAGCCATTACAAGTGATGGCCAGGCTTTCCCAGAGCTGCTGACCAGTGAGAACAGGCATGTGTGTCATGAAGACAAAGGGGTGGACAAGCAAGAGGATATGACAGACCATGTGGAGATATGGTCCCAGCTTCAGCAGATACATGCTAGATTTGGGGCAACTCCAGGGCATAAATGCCCTGGAATAACCTACCTCATGTAGCCTTA